GCAGGTATCAGTTGCCATACTTGCACCGTGCAAGTGCAAGTCCACGAGCTTAAAAGCGGCGGGGACGATGGAGGAAACAGGTACTCGGTGAGGCGGAATCTGTGTTACAGCGACATCATTCTCAATCCTTTGAGTGGTCGGTTCAAAAGCCACAAAGTCATTACTACAGCCGGCGCTCCCTCCGGGTGCCATCTCCATTGCAATAGCAGCTGTTTCACGGTGACGGTGAAACGATGACGACTCTGCCACGACCGCTGCGGTCTGCTCATGCCAGATTTCACGAAGAGGAGCGTAGGGTGGACGGCTAGACCCCGCCGCCGGTTTTCTCGGCTTTGAACTGATCTGGATATCTCCACCTTGCCCTTCCGCAATGCGCACCCCTCCCTCATTCCCCGCACGCATCTCCACCTGACCCCCCACGCCAACCCACGCTGCAGTCTTCTCGGACAGGCCGCCACGCGCCGCTGGCCACGAGGACCCATCAGATGATCTCACATCCGCCGACGCGGCATGACTGTCCGGACAAGAACTGACATAACCAGACCCCAGGTCTGGGCAGATGGTGGTACTAGGCTCAGGCTGAGCCTCGGCAAGGGTCAGAGGCTCGGGCTGTGGGCAGATGGTGGTGGTACTAGGCTCGGGCCGAACGTCGGAATGAGTCGATCCCAAACCGGCTTGTTCGTTGGCTTGAAAGAAACCGCACACGCCGTTGGGGAAGGAGAAATAGTAGAACCGCAGACCGCCGCCGCCGCCGCCTGGATCGGATATGATTTGATCGGGTGCTACAGCTCTGATGCTGGGAACCGCTGAGCTCGTGAGTGTAACGGCCTCCGTTGCGTTCCGCGGCTCCTCTGCCAGCGGTTGCACAGACGAGAGTGGGCCAGAATTAGCTGTCAGTGGGCCGGCATTAGCTGGCAGTGGGCCGGCATTAGCTGCCAGTGGGCCGGCATTAGCTGCCAGTGGGCCGGCATTAGCTGCCAGCGGCCCATGATGCATAATGTGGTGTTGACGCGACACGCTGGAGAGATGGGCTGTTCCAGACGGTGCTTCTCCTCCGGGCCGCTCCGCTGCGCACATACTCGCGAGATGTTCAAGCAGCTTGTGGAGAGTGGTTGAGTCGAGGGATGCAAGCATTGCATCGCTGATGTGCGAATGATTCTGGTCACGTGCCTGGGTCTCATGACGTGGCAGCGATGGGGATGTGGAGCCATGATGCTGATGCTGCTGCGGCGGCTGCGGAGTTGCTGAGGTGGTAGGTGCCTTGTTCGACTCAGAGTCCGGATTTTGAGGAATGTGGGCTCTGGGGATCATGTGGAGCCGTGATGCTGATGCATGATGGGCGTCTACCTCACGTCGGCTGCCACGACGCCGCTCCTGCTTTCCAGAGGAGCCCTCCCAGTCGGGGCTACCACTGGTGGCATCCTCGGAAACGTCAGCTGTATCGGAGCAGGTTAGGACCGAAACTGAAGGCGATGCTGGTGGCGTTTCTGGTAGAGCTGCCTCAGCATGGTGCAGCCTCTGGCCGCTTTGCCGCGAATCAGAGCCGGGTGACATATTTGCTGTGCCTCCGCGACACAGGCTGTGACAGCCTCTCCTGGAACTAGTAGCACCACTTTGCAGGAGCCTACGCTGTGGTAGCGTCACTGGTGCCACTAGATTCGTAGTAGAGCAGGCGTTAGTAGGTCAACACTCCAAGAGCAGCTCCAAGCTCGGATGTGCAAGTTTGCTACTAGTCTTGGCAGGAGCAAACGAGGGTACCGTCGCACAAAACGTCCCCAAGAATACTGGATGAGGGCTCCCGTCCCGATTGCTCCCCACTTCCCATGGCGAAGAATGTGAAGGGTGAAACGCCAAGTCAGCGTCTCCCAGCGTCTTCGGGTGACTCTCTTCTCACTGCAGAATCCTGAGGAGGATGTCTGCTCTATCATGGCGACTCGAAACAATACCTAACGATTGGATCAGCATAACTTACACTATTCCTTCAACTTGAAGACGACCTGAAATCCTTATCCGACTTGAATACTACTAGACACCTGTGTCGTATCTGTGCACCTTCACGACGACAGCATCTGACCTGAGGAGGAATGCGCGTGCGGTAAAGCCGAGTTTATCTACTACACCCTCCACGACCTTCAGCAAGAGCTGACGTCACCGTCAGCTCTAGTTACCTACATGACCTGCAGCAAGTCCTAACGGCATTAGCAACCACTAGCTGATTCTTTGGGGAACTAAGATGGGTTGTATAGGAAGATTTCATTTGAAACGGTGGTATTTGAGGCTCCTATCCAATTTAGAGCAACCCAAGGAGAATTTCATATACCGTAAAGAACCCTCCCATAAACTGTTATAAGAAAGTGGAGTTTTGCAATATCTATGTATAACGACTTCATTTATGGACCCTACAGCATGCGTGTCTCATTGATCTTGTCGAAAAATACTTAGTGTCCCATAAAAATAACAGAAGCATTACGGCCGATGTATAACGGCTGTCTCATTGATCTTGACAAATTGTAGCTTCAGAGTGTTTGCGGCGATTAAATGTATCATAAAGTAGCTGGCCAAAATACGACTTTCCGAAGTTATGAACGTAAAGCTATCGCCGCAATCTCTGAATTTACTTTTTATGCTGATATAGGGGCAATCAAAGACAATATTTCACTTTAGTTCCATCCAAATTCCATTCAAATGAATTATCATGAGTTGTACTTGAATGATTGTTTTTTCCAGAAGGCCCGCAAACAACACAATTGATGCAAACATACCAGGCAAACAACTTAAATGTGATGTTTATGGACACGAACCCTATTAGATCCAAACACTCTACAAAATTCTAACTTGGTCAATCGAATTGTACCTAACTATACATGTTTGCAGTTCGTTATACCACATGCATCATTCAAAACCCCAAAAACGTGCTAGAACGAAACAGGGTGCATAGTAATGTCAGAAGAAATTGGATGTCGATCGACTTGCACTTGCTCTGCCTATAAAGACATATCGTTATTTTTTTTTCTTAACATTTGCACCTTATGCTTATTCATTCATTCACCAACGAACGTGGATATATCGCCTGCCGTTGTTGAGCTCGTTACAAGCAAGGTGTGACAATATTATGGAATTGTGTAGGTGGTGTCCATTGTTGCGATTGAGTAGTAGCTGCAACCGTGCATGTTCCTCGTCTCCATATATTTTGTCATGTTACGTATCTGCTCTGACAGAAGTTTCAACCTAGCAATGATGTCCTTATTAAAAACAATGATAGATTGCAATAGGCTAAGGATGTCCTTATTGAATTTACTGGTTATATTATTCAAATACACCCAATTCAAAAGGCACACCTCAAAGTGAACAATTCAAATGTGAATGGTTGAAATCTCAAGTATAATATATAATATTCTAACAGCGCGTGCAAATCATTGGCTCAGAGTGAGATGTTTGGCATGGCGCCTTCAATGTTCTATTGGCAACGTTGAGCAGTGTGATAGCACAGTTTTGGACGTGTCGGTGATATACAAACCCGTTCTGCACATACAGCTTTAGTCTAACGAGAAACAGGGTGTAATCGTTTAATCTCCCAACAAAACTCAGATTCAAGACTTTGTCCACTTGCATGGGGTCGTTCAAGATACAGTACGTGTATCAAGTCACTAGTCACGTTTGCTAGACTTTTACAAGTCGAGGATCACGACGACATTTGTTTAGAGCATCGTAGGACAAGATGGACTCCTGGTTGAATGCGCCTGAACCCCACTCTCTTGTGGCTAGAAATGACTGGAAAGCATGGAATGGAATGCCTAGCCGGGAACTGTACTCCACACCACACTCAAGGTCGTTGCGTTTGAATGCACACAGGCCCAGAGTGGAAGGGGGCACTCGTGGCTCAGGATTAGCCTTCTTTTCAAAGTTAATTTTGGTGGTGCCCTGCCAGAAGTGGGTTGTGATTTTGCCCCACCCTACATGGGTTTCGTGAATAACGGGCAAAACAGGGTTCTCCTGAACGTCACTCTGCCATTTGGCAGGGTTGCCCAAAACAGATCTTGACCGCGACAAATGTCATACAGTGCCAAATTCTCCATGCCTCGCACGAGCAAGGCATCGTTCAGTGGCAAAATGGATCACTGTGTGTATAGTGTCGATGAAAAATGACCTGCTATGCCTTCTCCTGGGCCGTTGCCCGTAAAGCAGTTGCACTGTCGGGTGTACACGGGGGAGTGTGAAGAATGAGTGGTAAAATGACCATCACGTTCATTGCTAATATGCCTTTACCTGTACCCGTGATTTCCATAGAAAGCACGAAAGGCTACCCAGAATTTTGGGTGCTGTACTTGCGGTGCGTAACTTCAGTGAGTTTCATTCTGCCCTACCTGACCCACACCGTGCGCAAGTAGGGAACATCAAGTGCATGTACATGGCAATCAAGAAAGAACTGTAGTGATTTCAACAAACACCGTGTACAGTGTATTTTGTGAAGATGTTTGTCGTCACGCGTGAAATCGGGATAGGATGGGACAAAATCCAAGAATACGAAAAAGGAAGTTCCTTACACGAGATGCTCAGTAAAGGAAAGCCAACTTCTCATCATGTAACGGACTGAATCTTGCATTATTTTAAAGAAATAAGTACCGGTATGATTAATCAGATCACCTTCCTTTCGATCTGGACCAAACTAATCACATCAGTGTCAACTCCAATACCCAGTGCACCAGAACTGCGTATCCAAAGGTACAGCAATAACTTCTTGAAAGCAAACACTCTCGTGAGCCATCCCTTTCTTCACCTCCCCATCCACCTCCTCCCCCATTCCCCTCCTTTCTTCCCCTGATCTCCACTCTCACTCGAACCTCTCAATCTCTTCCTGAATGTCGATAATCTCCTCCACCTCCACCTCCACCTCCTCCGCCTTATACTCCTGTTCATCGATGTGCCGCCACTCGTACAGCACCATGCGCCGCCTCTCCACCTCGGCAGCACCCCCTCCCTCTCACTCGAACCTCTCCCTCTCACTCAAACCTCTCAATCTCCTCCTGGATGTCGATAATCTCCTCCACCTCCACCTCCTCTGCCTTATACTCCTCCTCCTCCTTCACGCCTCCGCTAATCGCCGCCCGCAGCTTCTCCTCCTGCTCGTCAATGTGCCGCCACTCCGCCTGCCACTGCCGCCACTCGTCCAGCACCATGCGCCGCCTCTCCACCTCTGCAGCACTCGACGCCGCCCCGGCCTCCTCGTCCTCCACCTCATACTTTCGGCTGTACTCGCGCAGGTTCTTGGAAACTTCCGCCTCTTTTTCCGCGGGCAGCAGGGACGGGGGTCGGGGTCTCCACAGGAACTGGAGGGTGGGAGAGAGAAGGAAAGGGGGGAAGTAAGGCGCAGCAAGGGTGGGAGAGAGAAGGAAAGGGGGGAAGAAGTAACAAGGGTTGGCGAGGGGAGACGGGAAGGGGGAGGCTTTTTGAGACACTTCAAAAGAGGGGTAAGGGGAGTGCAGACAATGAGAGCGAGGGGTATGAGAAGGAATAGTAGGTACGGTACATTACAAAGTGGGAACGAGCTGGTATTTGAGGATTCTCAAAGATACGACGAGGACTACCAGGTACATTGAGACAAAAAAAGTGGGGAACGGAAACGAGAGAAGGGAGGCCAGAACACGGAAGGCGGGACAAAAGCGAACTGGTAAATGTCTTGTTGCTTTTGCATGCAACCAAAAAAAAAAAAAAAAAACCCTTCCTTTCACCATCACGAACCTTCCTCTGACGCACAAACCAATCTCACCTGCATGAAGCGGTCGCGGGGCAGCTGGTAGAGCAGGCGGCCACTGAAGGACCAGATGTGGAATCCGTTCTCCATCTGATGCACTGATGTCACTGCTGTCGCTAGGTACCTGGTGGGTGATAAGGGGAGGAGGAAGGGGAGGGAGGAGGAAAGGGGCGAAGATCGTGGGAGAGGGGACGGGGGGGGGAGGGGGAGGGTTTTGAAGGGAACTGAAGAGAGCAGTAAAGCGGGCGCTGAAGGACCAGATGACAGTGATGTGGTTAGGTAACTTGATTGCGACACGGGGAGATGCAGGGAAAGGAGGGAAGAGGAACGAGGGGCGATACAGGAAACGGCGGAATGTCCATGCCCGTGCCCATCGTCTCCAGCTCATCCACGTCTCACATGCCCAACCCCATCCCTTTCCCCTCCTCTCTTCCTCCCCTTTTCCTCCAACCACATCCCCGACCCTAAGAGCCAGCTCACCTGCCGGTGGGGTCCCACTCCACATCGGTGGCCATGAAGTGCTCCCCCGTGCCCATGGTCTCCAGCTCGTCCACATTGAAGAACTCAAACTGCCCGTTGAACCCCTTGAGCCCCGCCAGCACCAGGAACCGCCCCATGGGCGACCAGCACAGCGTGTTCGCCTGCTTCCCCTTCAGCGTCGTCAGCTTCGCCACCTTCACCACTCCCCCCCCTCCCCCCGCTCCCGCCGGCTTCATCGTGTAAATCGACACGTCCGGCTTCGGCCCGTCCCCGTGAATCACCGCAAACCGGTGCCCTTTGGGTTCCCACGCGAAGTCGATAACCTTATCGTTCTTGTTTTCTAACTCCAAGACTTCGATGGGAATGTCGCGCTCCTTGATTCGGAAGAGCTCGAAGCCCGAGTAGGTGGTTTTCTTGGTCTTGGTGTAGCGGTCGACCTTGACTGCCAGGTATTCGCCCGCGCTCTGCCACGCCATGCGGCACTCGCTCACGCTGAACAGATTCTTCTGCCTCAGCTCCTCCCTCGATGGGATGGCCACCAGGCTCACCTGCAGACAGAGTGAGGGAGGGGAAAGGACAGAGGAGGGGCGGAGGGGCGGAGGGGCGGAGGAGAGGGAACGGGGGACAGGGGACGGGAAGGAAGGAGGGTTAAGGGAAGAGCTCGAAGCCTGAGTAGATGGTTTTCTTGGTCTTGGTCTAACGGTCGACCTTGACTGCCAGGTACTCGCCCGCGCTCTGCCACGCCATGCGGCACTCGCTCACGCTGAACAGATTCTTCTGCCTCAGCTCCTCGCGGGACGGAATGGCCACCAGACTCACCTGAGCGCGGGGGGGAAGGAGGAGAGAGGAGGGAGTGGGGCAGGGAGGGCAAGGATGGGAAAAAGAGAGGGGGGTGAGGGGAAGAAAAGGGAGGGGCAGAGGAGGAGGGTGAGGGGCACTGGCACGCAAAACAGCTCAAACTGACAACCCATCCTGGGACTCAAGGAGGGTCCCTGGCAGGCGGCACTCACCCTGGCGGGCTGGCTTCCCCTGTTGGACTCAGCGGGGTGATGATATCGGCACTCGGGGATGTACATTGCAAGCAATGGCTCAGAGGGCGACCACGTGAAGTCGTGCACATGGCCCGCCTTGACCCACCCCACCCCACCCCACTCGCTGCCCTTTCATCCTCTTGCTGCCCCTATGCTGCCACGCCCACCCCACTCGCCCTTGCAGGCGACACTCACCCTCGCAGGTTGATTCCCGCCATTGGACTCGGGAATGTACATGGCGAGGATGGGCTCAGCGGGCGACCACGTGAAGTCGTGCACGTGATCCGCCTTGAGGGACTTGCCTCGCTGTCCCTTCACCCACTCGCTTCCACTCACCCACCTGCTACCAGCTGTGCTGCCGCACCCCACTCACCCTCGCAGGTTGATTCCCGCCTTTGGACTCAGGAATGTACATGGCGAGGATGGGCTCCGCGGGCGACCACGTGAAGTCGTGCACGTGGTGAGCCTAGACTCACTCACTGCCCGTTCAACCACTCGCCGTTCCTAGATCCCCCTGCTGCCCCACCCCACTCGCCCTTGCAGGCGGCACTCACCCTGGCAGGCTGGTTGCCGCCATTAGACTCGGGGATGTACATGGCGAGGATGGGCTCGGCGGGCGACCACGTGAAGTCGTGCACGTGATCCGCCTTGAGGGACTTCTTGTCCAGCAGCGCCATGGTGCTCGTCTCATACACAGACACACAGTTCTTCCCCATGCGCGCAAAATACTTGTCCTCCCGCCCGCCCGCCCACCTAAAGGAGACAAGTGGGAAAGGAGGACACGGGGGACGAGGGAAGCAAGAGGGGGGAGGGGGAGGGGGAATAAATGATACCATGCTGGAAAGTATGCTAGAGTTTAACGAGTACCGTGCAGGCTTCAAAAATTCCCGGAAGCAAGTCCACGATTAGACTCCTGCCTGCCCAGCCCACACACAACCAACCAACCAGCAACACATAACATCCCCCAACTTTGAGTTGCCTCAAAATTTAACAGGCAGATTTGAAGGAGCCTAAAAAGCCATCCCTCAGATGATTACCGACACCGCACACAATAAGACGGGTCATTGCATAACACCCACCTGAAGACGAGCAAACCACCTATCTGAGAACCACCTGGAAACAGGCCATCGCCCACCTGAAGACCACAGCCCACCTGAAGACCACAGCCCACCTGAAGACCACAGCCCACCTGAAGACCACAGCCCACCTGAAGACCACAGCCCACCTGAAGACCACAGCCCACCTGAAGACCACAGCCCACCTGAAGACCACAGCCCATCTGAAGACCACAGCCCACCTGAAGACCACAGCCCACCTGAAGACCACAGCCCACCTGAAGACCACAGCCCACCTGAAGACCACAGCCCACCTGAAGACCACAGCCCACCTGAAGACCACAGCCCACCTGAAGACCACAGCCCACCTGAAGACCACAGCCCACCTGAAGACCACAGCCCACCTGAAGACCACAGCCCACCTGAAGACCACAGCCCACCTGAAGACCACAGCCCATCTGAAGACCACAGCCCACCTGAAGACCACAGCCCACCTGAAGACCACAGCCCACCTGAAGACCACAGCCCACCTGAAGACCACAGCCCACCTGAAGACCACAGCCCACCTGAAGACCACAGCCCACCTGAAGACCACAGCCCACCTGAAGACCACAGCCCACCTGAAGACCACAGCCCACCTGAAGACCACAGCCCACCTGAAGACCACAGCCCACCTGAAGACCACAGCCCACCTGAAGACCACAGCCCACCTGAAGACCACGCCGGCAACGCCGCCGGCGCCGCCAGTGGCAAAGTCGTCCGCAGCCCCCTTGAACTCGCGCAAGCTCTTGCCTGTGCGCACGTCAAACACGTTCAGCACCACCTTCTGCGAAAGGAAGGCGGAGGGGGGGGGACCAGCTAACTACACCAACACGCGGTTCAGGAGTCAGGACCCACCTGAAGACCACAGAACCCACCAGAACCCACCGGAACCCACCTGAATACCGGCCACTGCACGCCAGCGACACCACCAGCGCCGCCCGTAGCAAAGTCGTCCGCGGCGCCCTTGAACTCGCGCATGCTCTTGCCCGTGCGCACGTCAAACACGTTCAACACCACCTTCTGCGTGTCCCGCGGGTTGGCCGGCTCGTGGCTGCTGTATGTCACCAGGAAGCGCTCCCCGGGGGAGAAGTCGATCAGGCGCACCTGAGGAGCACAGGAGGCACGGCACAACGGGAGGGGAGAGGGGAGGAGAGACACAGGTGAGGGCGCAGCGTGAGCGGGCTCGTGACTGCTGTACGTCACCAGGAAGCGCTCCCCGGGGGAGAAGTCGATCAGACGCACCTCAGGAGAGGGAGGGAGGTGGGAAGAGGGAGGGGGGGCGAGGAGGACGGGAGGGAGGGGGAAGAGAGAAAAAAACGGGTTAGCAGGCTCGTGGCTGGCTGCTGTACGTCACCAGGAAGCGCTCCCCGGGTGAGAAGTCGATCAGACGCACCTGCGGAGTGATTGTAACGAGTGAGGAGGGGTAGCAATGGAAGGGGGGAAATGATGGGGAAAAAACGGAAAGCTTACCTGTGGGAAAAAGGTACAACTCTAAAAAATGTTTGCTTATAAAGGGGCTAATCTGGGGAAGGTGGTACCTGCGGGTGTCTGGGGAAGGTGGTACCTGCGGGAGCGCGAAACGCATGATGCGTTGCCACGAGGGGAAGGCCCAGTTGGCGGCTCCACCATGTATCCCTCGCAACCCACCTGCATCCCTCACAACCCACCCCCCTCACAACCCACATGCACCCGTCACAACCCACCTGCATTCCTCACAACCCACCTGCGGGTGTGCGAAGCGCATGATGCGTTGCCACGAGGAGCCGGCCCAAATGGCCGCGCCCTGGCGATGGATGGTGGCGAGATAGCTGCCCAGCGGCGACCACTGCACGAAGCTCTCCGTCCAGAACTGCAGGGGTGATAAAGGGGGGATAAGGGGGGGATAAGGGGGGGATAAGGGGGGGATAAGGGGGGGATAAGGGGGGGATAAGGGGGGGATAAGGGGGGGATAAGGGGGGGATAAGGGGGGGATAAGGGGGGGATAAGGGGGGGATAAGGGGGGGATAAGGGGGGGATAAGGGTGCAGCTCTCCCCCCCTTCCCTCCCCCCACGTTTCCCCCTTTGCCCTACCGTGCGTGCAGCTCTCCCCCCCTTCCCTCCCCCCACGTTTCCCCCTTTGCCCTACCGTGCGTGCAGCTCTCCCCCCCTTCCCTCCCCCCACGTTTCCCCCTTTGCCCTACCGTGCGTGCAGCTCTCCCCCCCTTCCCTCCCCCCACGTTTCCCCCTTTGCCCTACCGTGCGTGCAGCTCTCCCCCCCTTCCCTCCCCCCACGTTTCCCCCTTTGCCCTACCGTGCGTGCAGCTCTCCCCCCCTTCCCTCCCCCCACGTTTCCCCCCTTTTTGCCCACTGTGCGGCTCGTCCCCCCACCCTTTGCCTTACCGTGCGTGCGGCTCTCCCCCCCCCCCTCTCCCTTACCGTGCGGCGGTAGACGGGGTCGGGCTTGGCGGCGCGCGCGTCGTTCCAGTACACCTCGGTTTCGGACGCGAAGCGGATCACAAACTGGTCGCGCCCGCGCTCGTCCGCCGCGAACCATTGCAGGTTCTCCTGAGCGCGGGGGGGAAAGGGGGGGGGGGGGGGGAAGGAGGAGGGGGGAAGGAGGAGGGGGGAAGGGGTGGGTGGGAAGGGGGGGTAAAAGGGAGGGGGGGAGTGAGGCGACTCAAAAACACAGCTCAAAGGGGGGGTGGGGAGGGGGAGGGAAGAGTGGGGGTGGGGAAGGGGGGGAGGAGAGAGGAGAAGAGGGGAGATGAGGGGGGAATAATCTGCGCCAGCCGACTCTAGCTAAACCTCATCCGCCGCCCATTCGCCCGCCCACGGCGGGTGTCTACTCCTCGAGCGGCGGCATGCAGTGGTGGCGGCATGCAGTGGTGGCGGCATGCAGTGGTGGCGGCATGCAGTGGTGGCGGCGTGCAGTAATGGCGGCATGCAGTGGTGGCGGCATGCAGTGGTGGCGGCATGCAGTGGTGGCGGCATGCAGTAATGGCGGCATGCGGTGGTGGCGGCATGCAGTGGTGGCGGCATGCAGTGGTGGCGGCGTGCAGTAATGGCGGCGTGCAGTGGTGGCGGCATGCAGTGGTGGCGGCATGCAGTGGTGGCGGCATGCAGTGGTGGCGGCATGCAGTAATGGCGGCATGCAGTGGTGGCGGCATGCAGTGGTGGCGGCATGCAGTGGTGGCGGCATGCAGTAATGGCGGCATGCGGTGGTGGCGGCATGCAGTGGTGGCGGCATGCAGTGGTGGCGGCGTGCAGTAATGGCGGCGTGCAGTGGTGGCGGCATGCAGTGGTGGCGGCATGCAGTGGTGGCGGCATGCAGTGGTGGCGGCATGCAGTAATGGCGGCATGCAGTGGTGGCGGCATGCAGTGGTGGCGGCATGCAGTGGTGGCGGCATGCAGTAATGGCGGCATGCAGTGGTGGCGGCGTGCAGTAATGGCGGCATGCAGTGGTGGCGGCATGCAGTGGTGGCGGCATGCAGTGGTGGCGGCATGCAGTAATGGCGGCATGCAGTGGTGGCGGCATGCAGTGGTGGCGGCATGCAGTGGTGGCGGCATGCAGTAGTGGCGAAGATCAGACGGCATTCAGACGAACTCGCCCTTGGCCCTAGTTGCTCCCTCCGCCCACCAACTTACCCACCCACCCACCCACCCACCCACCCACCCACCCACCCACCTGACCATCATCGCCCCACCCACGCACCCCCTCCACCCCTCCCACACCCACGCACCGAGGGCGAGTACTCCCTCCAACCCCCAGCCCACTCATTGCCCCCACCCACCCACGCACCCCCCCTCCCACACCAACGCACCGAGGGCGTGTACTCCTTGAGCGGCGGCGGCGCGTATTGGTCGGGCACGCGCGCGTACTTCTCAAAGTCGTCGAACATGGAGACCTTGAACACGTGCGCCTTGTCCAGCTTGTACCCGTCCATCTGCTCCCGCGCCGCTTGCGCCTCCTGTGGAATGAATGGGGGAGGAAGGGAGAGAGGAGGGGAGGAGAGGGGAGGGGAGGAAAAGGAGGGGAGGAGAGAGGAGGGGAATGTGAGAGCGAGTAGGCGGATAAACAGCCGTGCCTGTTCATCTGCTCGCCCGACGCTTGCGCCTCTTGCATGGACCAAAGGAGAAGACGAAACGATGAAGAAGGAAAGGCATTTGGATGGGACGGACGGAAGACCGGAAAACAGGCGAAAGAGGGACGACGGAAGGGGGAGTAGGACCGTGGGGGTAGAAGGAAAGAGGGTGGAAAGTGGGGGAAAACGGTGCAGAATGCAGCAGGGAAAAAGCACACAGGGAGGCGAAAACGAGACCATCGCTTCTTGGCCAGTACTTCTTTCGTACCTGGGGAGTGGCATACTCGATAAAGGCATATCCGTTTGTCTTCTGCGTTTCCTTATTCACGGGCATCCACAGCCCCCCCTCCCGAATCAACCCAATCTGCCCGAAAATCTTCTTGGCCACGGTCTGCAGCTTCTCAAACTTTTCGGGCGGCACGACGGGCAGGTTGTCGACGACGATGACGTTCCCGAAGCCCGTCTCCGACTCCACCACCTCCAGCTCCTCCTCCTCGTCCTCGCTGCGCGCAGCGGGGAAAGGAGGGATGGAAGAGAGGAGGGGGGGGAGGGGATGGGGGGTTGGGTGGAAAAGGGGGGGTGGGGGGGAGGGGGAGGGATACGATGTGAGAACGAACAGGAAAAACGGATAGGCGAAGGAGTTTGAACTCATCGAGGCACTCCTGCGGACGATTTTTTTTTAGGCGCCTAATGAAACGAACAGGAGTCGGAACTTGGACTCGTTGGCGACTCGGGCATTTTTTTCCTTCGGACCGAGTGGATGGGAGGAAACGAGGAGGCGCAACCAGAAACGATTATGATATTACCCTGATCTATAGAGAACGGTGCAGATCTTGTAACAGTTCGCGAGCCGCCATAGTACCTATGCCGTTACCGGATTGCATCGAGCAGGCTGTCAGCAAGTTAATCGACGCGCAGAGGTAACTTACAAACCCTGCGGCGTGATGCTCTAGATTGGAAACCCAAAAAGAGCCATGCGATCGCTCGACCTTAATGCTCCGCCTTGTCAGGCTGCGATTCCCCGTATTCTCCCTTCCTCCACCCCCTCCTCTCTCTTGTCAGGCTGCTTGCTGCAGAACCAATCCGCATTTTGGTCAGCCAGGAGTGCGTGATCGGCCGTAAATTCGAAATCTATCGTCATTTCTCACAATCGGATGGAAGTATCAAACCCGATCTTAGTTCTGCTTTCTCCACGTGCCAAGTCCACCTCTATGATTCGTGAGATTTAATAGCAACCAACTACTCTAAGACCCAGCCCACCTTTTGATGTCGAAATCCTCGCCTTCAGGCAACTGAAGCGCCTCGAGATTAACTTGCGACCAGTCGATGTTCAGATCGAACTTAGGAGGCGTGGGTAACGCCTCCACCTCCACCTCGCTGGACTCGACCTCGCGACCCATAGCGGCCGGCGGTAGCAGCACGATTCAGGTTACGAATCCAATCGTGCAATCGAGGCCTAAGAATTCACTCGAGTCCTGCTATCATGAATTAAGCTCCTCGGACGGTCTAAGCGCAGGGCGATCCGTGCTAAGGGACTAGGAGTCGCGAGGTCGGTTGGAGGACACGACCTAAGGAGGAGGGCGGGAGGAGGGAGGGAAAGGAGGTGTGCAGATTCCTGTGGATGGCGGTTGGAGGGGAGAGGGGAGAGGGATGCGGGCAGGCGGAGAGAGGCGAAATAGAAACATGCTTCACGAAATGTTGGCATTTCGTGAACACGTTTTGGGGCTTTGTCAAGAAGCTTATTTGAGGATTTGTACTTGCTTTAGACACCTCCTTTTCACTGTAGTCTGTGGTACAGAGTAGAGGCGCCCTTCGAGTCACATACACATTCTCCATTGTGAAGCTGTTCCCACCTCATTGTGACGCGGGTCGCATTCGGTCACACTGTAGGCGGCGCGGTGTGTACTGCATTCCTCGACGTCGAGGGATGTCGGTAGCAGCACGTGATGTGCGCTTTAGCGCGCGATTGCCAACCAGCGCGTGATGTGAACAGCGAATCTTTGAGGGCCACGACACGACCCGGTGCCACCACGAGCTCCCGGGTTTGTGCATCGTCCTCTGCCCTACCCGTCCAGCTCAGCATGGTGTGCTCGGGGCCTGCGCTGGGTGCGCACCTCCAACCCAACCGACAACCTCGAGATCGGTGTGGACGTGTCGATTTGGGCTTCTGTAGTTTTAAGTTCGTTTCGGTTCGGTTGTCTTATCGTTCGCTCGGCTTTGGCCTTTCTTGTAGCGAATCAAACCACCTCCTCAAATCTGTCCTTGTTAGATTCGCAGGTGCCCTTCCAAATCACGCCAGAGGTGTTTGCATGTCTACAGTCAGGTTTGGAGGGGAACGCCTGCGTTGCGCTTGGGCTTTGTAGACTGTAGTGGGTGCGAGATAATCTGCAACACTTTTGCTCTGGCCGAGTTGAGTCGAGAGACGAAACGAGAGCAATGGATAATGGAACTGATCTCATCCCTCTCCGTCCCGACGACGTGGGTGGCACGCAGAGTTGCTTGATTCACCGCAACCCACTGACAGACACACACTTCCATCCCAAAGTCTCCCTTTTCCAGCCACGATTAGCATATTTTCCGTTCACAATCCTCCACTAAGTTCATCACGTGCGGGCTCGAAAATCCTCCTTGAGTACCTCTCGAGTCTGCGTCCTACTATGAAAGTGTGTGTCCAGTGGAGATTGGCGATCATGTATTCGTCGTACGTATCAATTGCACGGCCAAGAACCGTAATATTCTCTCAAGTCGACGCGGCTAAGGACTAGGTTAGAAGTGTGGCTCCTCTTGACTCAACCTCGAAGTAGCTAAGGCCCGGGCTAGTGCTACTACGAGGATAAGCGTTCATAAGCAATATTACTATTTATTGGTCTACCGACCCGTGTCGTTATTTTACGAAGCGACTTCAGGCTGATCTTTTAAGTAGTGCGACGCGCACGCATCCATGGCCGACCGTCTTTTCTCACCGCAACGTGTCGCTCAATCTAAGCCGGCCCGCGCGCGTCGCAGCGGCTCGTGGCACGCGTTCCTCTCGCCCACTCACGCAGACGGTCAAGCCTCACCCGCGGTCGCCGCGGCTGCCATCCCTGCCGCAATTCCCGCCGCCGCGACCGCCGCGCCCGCCGCCGGTTCGTCGCAAGCAGAAAGCGCGGACGACGGCGCAAGACCCGCCGCAGAGCGCGGTCGCGGGGCCTCCCCGTTGCTTCCGCCCTCGCTCAGCGAAAGAGCGCAGTCCCCGCATCCGCTTACCTCCAGATCTCCGCTTGGAAACGCCGCCGCCAACGCTCGCGCGTGGTGCGCGCGACGGTACCGCGGAATCCTTCCGCCTGCTGGGGAAACCGCGACAGCGCCGCGGAACGCATCAGCCCGCGCGGCAGGGGCGGGGGGGATCACAGGGGCAGGCGGAGCTGCGCCGTCGAGCTGCGGGGAGGGTAGTAGCGTCGGCGGAAGCGACGACCGCCTCGCGGGAGCAAGGGGGAGGCGGAGCAGGCAGGGGGTCAATGCGGCGTCCGCTGGGCTCGCCAGAATTTCCGACTCGAGTCAACCGAGTCAACCAGGTCAACGGGGTCAACCAGGTCAACCGAGTCAACGAGCCCACGCCCCCCGCGCCCGTCCGCCTGCCCGTCCGAGCGGTCGAGCGCGTGGGGGCCAGGCGGAAGCAGCAGCACGAGTGATTATAGCGAGGGGACGGACGACGAGGATGCGATGTGGGAGGATAGCGACTGGATGTCCGCGGAAGGGGGGGACGGGGGAGAAAGCTGCGGAAAGTGGTGGTTTTTCGAGGGATCGGGGACAAAAAAACGCGGAGATACGAATACTGGGGGTAATCACCCCCCCTGGGCTGGTTGGGGCAGGAAAAGTTTTTGGGGAGGCCGAGGTAGGGCAGCGGGAGGAGAGGTGGAGGCAGCTGGAGGCGCGGAGATCCCAAGGGGGGAAGTCGAGGTGGTGGTGAGGGGAACAGCACGTGACAGAAACGGGGGTGCTTTTACCAAAACTGCGAATTTCCGGAATAAGAAACGACAGAAGCAGGGATCGTTCGGCAACAAGGGCAGAAGGGGAAGAAGAAGAAACGGAGAGGAGGAGGAGGAAGAAGGGAGGGACCGAGGATTGCTGTGGAAGCTTCTGAGCAAGTGCAGCGTGGAGAAGTGCCTGGAGCTGACCCACTTGGCGCGCTTCCTGTGTCTGCTGATGTGGGCGGCTGTGACCCTGGCGGTGGCGTTTGTCGTTTTCTGGGTGACGTATCGGAACTTTCAGGCGGCGAGGCTGGAAGATGTGCAGCAGGAGTGCGACAAGTGGACGTCTCTGCTTGAAAGTCATTTCAGTCAATCGGCTGACCAGGTAAGAGGGGGGTTAGGTGAGGTTGTGAAGGGGTTAGGTGAGGTTGTGAAGGGGAGGAGGAGGTTTAGTTTGGCGAAGAGGAACGGGCGTTAGTAGGGTTGCAGCAGGAGTGCGACAAGTGGACGTCTCTGCTTGAGAGCCACTTCAGTCAATCGGCTGACCAGGTGAGGAGGGAAGAGTGGAGGAGGAGGTTTAGTTGGGTGAAGCGGCATGGGCGTTAGGTTAGGGTTGCAGCAGGAGTGTGACGACAAGTGGACGTCCCTGCTTGAGAGCCACTTCAGCCAATCTGCTGACCAGGTCAGTGGTGGGGAGGGGTGGAGAGGGATGTAGGGAACGAGGTGAGGGAAGGGAAGGGGCACGGGCGTTAGGGGTGCAGCAGGAGTGCGACAAGTGGACGTCCCTGCTGGAGAGCCACTTCAGCCAGTCTGCTGACTAGGTGAGGAGGGAAGGGGGAGGAGGGAGGAGGAGCCATGGGAGGGCTGGAGGTGTCTAGTCTAGGTTCGGCAGGGTTCAGGCAGAGCAGGGACCAGGTTTGGAGAGCAGAGCAGGGACCAGGTTTGGACAGCAGAGCAGGGACCAACTGGCTCACAGAAATTATCAGACTCAGTCAGATGAAGCCTGTGTCCCTACTCCCATCGTCCTGTGGGCTTATCGCTTTATTTACAATCAATTATATGTACAAGAGGGAGGCACATTCACATGCTCCTAGAAAAAACAAAGCTCATCACTACGGCTGTATCATCTACCAATGCTCTTATTATACCCATGAGCTCATCTTCCTCCCCTCATGCTGCAGGGTGTTTTTGAGAATTCTCAAACACACCCTGCAACTGTATTATCTACGAATGCTCTTATACCCATGTGCTGATCTTCCTCCCCTCCCATCCCATTTCATCCCATCCCATCCCTTTCCACCGCTCATCACCGCATCAGGTGCGGCTGCTGGGAGCAGTGGTTTCCACCTTCTACTTCCAAACGCCAAACAGCACCCTCGATCAGGTCAGCTGCCCATCAGATCTGCCGCCCATCAGATCTGCCGCCCATCAGATCTCCCGCCCATGAGATCTGCCGCCCACCAGATCTGCTGCCCATCAGGTCAGCCGCCCAATGCCAGTGCCAAGTGACGCGGCACTTTTGTCTGCAGGTGAACAAGACACATTACGCCCGCCCGCCACTCTTAAAGCCCCATCGTCCCTCCATTCTCAACCTTCCCACTCCCTTCCACCCCTTCCACCCATTCCTCCCCCCATCCCCCTCCCCCCCCTCCCATCATAATCCATTCAACCAGCCCTCGTTTCCCTCGCTGGTCAATAAGCCGGTCTACGACTCTACGCCCGCCCGCCGCACTTCCTTCCCTTCTCCACCTTCCCACTTCCTTCCACCCCTTCCTTCCCCCACCCCAGCCCACCTTTTCCTCATTGGTGAATAAGACAGACTACGCCCGCCCGCTGGTGTTTGCCGCCTCCTTTGCCTTCTCTAACTTCCCCCATCCTTCCACCCTTTCCTCCTCTCACCCCAGCCCACGTTCTCCTCATTGGTGAATAAGACGGACTACGCCCGCCCGCTGGTGTTTGCCGTCTCGTTTGCCTTGCGGGTGACTGAGGCTGAGCGGGCGGCGTTTGAGAAACAGCAGCAGCAGCAGCTAAGGGACCCTGATTACTGCATCAGGTACGATTGTTGAGATGTCTTGATAAGGCAGCAGTAGCACCACCAGCATCAGCAGCAGTAGCAGCAGCAGCAGCAGCAGCAGCAGCAGCAGCAGCAGCAGCAGCAGCACCAGCACCAGCACCAGCAGCAGCAGCAGCAGCAGCAGCAGCAGCAGAAGCAGCAGCAGCAGCTAAGGAACCCTGATTACTGCATCAGGTACGGTACGCCCGAGCGCCGATAACCGGTGATGCTCGCAACCCTCCCATGCCCTTGCTGGCTTGGTAATAGGCCCAGAGAAGCGCAGCCACGTGACCTGGCGTAAGAAAAACGCTCGGAACGAGCGCTTCCAGCCCCAAAACGCGGAAGGATCCGCATATGTGCAGGAAGTGCAGCGGGCGCTCTTCATTCGCGAGCGCCGATGATCGATGATGCTCTTGATTGAAACAACAGCAGCAGCAGCTGCTGCTGGGGAACACTAGTTACTGCCTCAGGTGCAGTTTCCGAGACGTCTTAAAACAGCAGCAGCAGCAGCAGCAGCTGCTGGGGACCGTTGGTACTGCATCAGGTACGATTGTTGAGATGTCTTGATAAGGCAGCAGTAGCACCAGCACCAGCAGCAGCACCAGCACCAGCAGCACCAGCACCACCACCAGCAGCAGCAGCAGCTGCTGGGGACCATGGGTACTGCATCAGGTACGCTTATTCAGATGTCTCGCGGGGAGCCAGCCCGAATTCGTCCCCAGCATCATCCTCACCCGCGCATCCCATCTCTGCCCAACCAACTCCCCATCGTCTCACTCCCCCCTGCATCCCCCCCATCCCTCATAACAGGCACGGCAGCGTGTGTGCGGGGAGCCAGCCACCCCGAATACGTCCCCAGCATCATCCTCACCCGCGCATCCCATCTCTGCTCTCAACCTCCCATCCTTCCACCTCCGTATATCCCCCCCCCACCATCTCCCCCATCCGCCCCACCCGCTTTTCCCACTGACAGGCACGGCAGCGTGTGTGCGGGCAGCCAGCCGGAATACGCCCCCATCGTGCTCACCAGCGCATCGGCCTCCATGATTGGCCAGGGCCTGCTGGGGCGCTCCTACCCCCTTGACCACCCGTTGACTGCCGTTGACCCCGTTGACCAGCTGGCGTTGCAGGAATTTCTGGCGTGGGGTGAGTGAGTGGGGGGTTTGGGGGGGGGAGGGTGAGGGAGAGGAGGGGGGGGGAGTGAGTGTGGGTCGTTCCTTCCCACCGCCATTGACCACCCGTTGACCGGCGTTGACCCGGTTGACCTGCCCGCTGACCAGCTGGCCCTCCAGGAGTTCTGGAGTGGAGCGAGTGTGGAGCGAGTGTGGAGCGAGTGTGGAGCGAGTGTGGAGCGAGTGTGGAGTGAGTGTGGAGTGAGTGTAGGGTCTTTCCGCCCCTCTCTGTGAAGTGAAGCATGTGTTAGATTAGATCCCTCCCCCACAACCCGACCGCCCATCAGCAATAGAGGCGGCGACTCGAGCGCGGGGCTAAGGAGTAATGGGGCCACTCACGCCCGCGTTCCCTTCGCCCTTCCCCCCCCCGCCTTCCCCCTATTTCCCCTTCCCCCCCCGCCTTCCCCCTATTTCCCCTTCCCCCCCGCCTTCCCCCTATTTCCCCTTCCCCCCCCGCCTTCCGCCTATTTCCCCTTCCTCCCACCCCCTTTCCCCTCGCTAGACGTCTGGCCATCAACAATAGAGGCGGTGACACGAGCGCGGGACGATGGAGTGATGGGGGCACTCGCTCCGCCCTTCCGCTTGAACCTCTCTCTCCCCGCCACCAACCAGCCCATCTCGCGCGGCCTCTTTATAGTCTTCCCCGTTTACCGCACGCCCGACCCGCTCCCGGATGGTTTGTCTTCTAGCGAGTACCGGGCGGCGTGCCTCGGCTACATGACGGCGATCATGGACTTTGAACCCATGTGGGATGCGATGCTGCAGGTGAGGGGTGTGGGGGAGGAGGGATGGGTGGTGAGGGGTGCTGGCAAGTGGGGGGAGCAGGCCGCAGGCGGCGTGCCTCGGCTACATGACAGCGATCATGGACTTTGAACCCATGTGGGATGCGATGCTACTGGTGAGGGCGGTGGGGAGGGGTGCTGGGGGGTGCTGCAAGGTGGGGGATGCTGCGAGGTGGGGGGTGCTGCAAAGTGGGGGGTGCTGTGAGGTGGGGAGTGGTGGTAGTAGCCATGGATTGGCCCCACACCCGCCCACCCTGCTCCCTCCTCAACCAAATCCATCCCAATAGTACCACGGCTTGGCCCTGCCCATGTTTGCTTTTGAGTCAATCAATAGGTCTATCGCGCCCCCAATTCAACTGCTGCTTCTTTATTCCCAGGAGTACCACGGCTTGGCCCTGCCCATGTTTGCACGCATTTACGACGTCACCGGGAGCAGCGGGGAGAAGGGGAGGCGGGCGGGGGAGGTGATATACGAGCCTAAAGGACAAGAGTTGCCGCCCGGGCAGGAGGACTCGTATGCGCATGTGAACGTGGTGAATCTGGGGGACAAGTACCGCGAATACGAGATGCGGTGCAGGTGGGTGCAATGCGGTGCAGCTGGGTCAAATATATATACTTCTGTATATATAAGAATGTACAAGTACACTTATATACGTAATAAACGGAAGAAGTATATATACATTTTGTTTTAAGCGCATCTATATCGCTCTCCTTCTTCCATCCCCTGCTTTCCTCCTCGCATCCCCCTTACTCTACATATCTCACCCTTCTCACCTCAAACCCCCTCACTCACCACCCTCCCCTCCCCAGGGTACAACACAACCTGTGTATTCCCTGCAGCAAGCGCAGGGTGGGCCATCCTCGTTATAGTGGTGATGGGCCTCAACCCCCCCTCAACCCCAACCCCCTCAATCTCCCCTCAACCCCCCCCCTGCTCAGGTACTACACAACCTATGTATTCCTGCAGCAAGCGTGTCAGTAGCCTATTTTTGAGGCACCTAAAAAATACCATCCCTCAACCCCACCCCCCCCCCCCCACCCCTTCTCTCTCCTCAGGTACAACACAACCTATGTATTTCCCGCGGCGAGTGCAGGGTGGGCCATCCTCGTTATAGTGGTGATGGGCCTCGCAGCGTACGTGTACTGGGCGGCGTGTGAGCGCGTGCAGCAGCTGGAGAGGGATTACCAGCGGTTGGAAGCGGTGAAGAACCGCATGAAAGCGGCCAAGAGGGTTGCGGAGCGGGCGAGTAAAGCCAAGGGGCTGTTTCTCACCACTATGAGCCATGAGCTGCGCACGCCGCTGAATGGCGTCATAGGTGGGTGCTGTGCGGTGCTTAGTGGTGCTGTGCGGTGCTGGTGATTTCCGCCAAGAGGGTTGCGGAGAGGGCGAGTAAAGCCAAGGGCTCGTTTCTCACCACGATGAGCCACGAGCTGCGCATGCCGCTCAATGGTGTGTGTTGGGTGGTCGCGTGCGGTGCTGTGTGGTGAGTGGTGGTGCTGGTGCTGCCGGTTCTGATGGTGGTGGTGACGCTTCTGGGGCTGCTGGGGCTGTATGGTGCACGGCCGTTCAGCCAGGCACATGTGTTGGTGCGTGCATTCATACCCCCCCCCCCCCCCCCCCCCCCACCCTCCGCCATCCCACCCTCAGGCATGATGAACCTGCTGCTGGAAACGCCCCTCACAGTGACCCAACTAGACTACGTGAACACGGCTCGCACCAGCTTCGTGCTCATACATCCCCCCTTCGGCCTGTACCCCTTCATTCCCCGACCATACCGCACCGCACCCCCAGGCATGCTGAACCTGCTGCTGGAAACGCCCCTCGCAGTGACCCAACTAGACTACGTGGACACGGCTCGCACCAGCCCCATGCCCTCACACTCGCGCACACTTGCTGCTCACACATGCACCCATACCCCCACACCCCGCGGCCCCAGGCATGTTGAACCTGCTGTTGGAAACACCCCTCACAGTGACCCAACTGGACTATGTGGACACGGCTCGCAGCAGCCCCATGCTCTCACATACCCCCCATGCCCTCCGATCCGTGCTCATGTGCAATGCCCCCCATGGCCCCACATCCCCGCGCCCCCAGGCATGCTGAACCTGCTGCTGGAAACGCCCCTCACGGTGACCCAACTAGACTATGTGGACACGGCTCGCACCAACCTCATGCACACATGTGCCCCCCCATCCCCTTCCTATGCCCCCCATACCCCCCGCACCCAGGCATGCTCAACTTACTACTGGAGACGCCGCCCACGGTGACCCAACTAGACTACGTGGAGACGGCTCGCACGAGTGGACGAGCGCTGCTGGAGCTCATCACTGATATCCTCGACCTCTCCAAGATTGAGGTGATTTGCAGAGGTGGAGAGAGGTGGAGAGAGGTGAGGTCGGAATGTGCACACCGAGATGTGCGCGCACCAGTGGGCGGGCGCTGCTGGAGCTCATCACGGACATCCTCGACCTCTCCAAGATTGAGGTGAGTTGCAGAGAGATGAGAGGTGGGGCAGAGGTGGAGTGAGGTGAGGTGGAGCGAGGTGAGGTGGGAGTTTGCATGCACACACCAGCGGGCGGGTGCTGCTGGAGCTCACCACTGACATCCTCAACCTCTCCAAGATCGAGGTGAACAATGAGCATTGTGCACACCTCTCCACTGGTGCCCACGGACGCTGCTGAGATTTTTCAAAAGAGGTGACACCAGTGGAGAGGTGGGGGGCACAATGCTCATTGTTCACCACCACGCGCACAAGACGCAGCTGATTCTCTTCCTTCCTTCGCCTGCTTCCCTCCTTTCCACTCTCACCAGGCGCAGAAGATGCAGTTGGAGCACGTCCCCATGGATGTGAGGGCGAGGTGGACACGGTGCTCACAATGTTCATCGAGCGCTTCCCTCACCCAAGCCTTCCCCACTTTGCCTTCCCCAACCCTCTCTTCCTTGATTCCCCTCACCCACACCAGGCGCAGAAGATGCAGCTAGAGCATGTACCAATGGACGTGAGGGGAGAGGTGGACACGGTACTCACCATGTTGCCCCCCTCTGCCCTTTCCTTGTTACCCTTTTCTTTCCTTTAAACACCCTGCCTTCGTCGCGCCCCGCATCAGGCGCAGAAGATGCAGTTAGAGCATCTGCCAATGGACATAAGGGGAGAGGTGGACACGGTACTCACCATGTTCATGGAGCGCTATCCCTTACCCCAACCCTCCCCTCCTTTATTCCCTTTCCCCAACTCCTCTCTACCTACCACCCACCAGGCACAGAAAATGCAATTAGAATACGTACCAATGGACATAAGGGGAGAGGTGGACACCGTATACACAATGTTCATCGAGCGCTATCCTTACCCCAACCCTCCCCTCCTTTATTTCCACCCACTCCCTCAGGCGCAGAAGATGCAGCTGGAGCACATACCAATGGACGTGAGGGGCGAGGTGGACACGGTGCTCACCATGTTCATCGAGCGCTTCCGAGACAAGCCGCTGCTGCAGGTGGCAGCATACGTCGACCCGCTCGTGCCAGCATCTGTACTTGGCGACTCGCTGCGCTTCCGCCAGGTCAGTTTCTTCCGCCAGGTGGGCTGTCAGGTGGGCTGTCAGGTGGGCTCTTTCATGTAGTTTTATCAGGTGCACCCCCCTCCCCCTCCTTTCGCTCCCTGCTGTGCCACCAGGTGCTGATCAACCTGCTGTCCAACGCATGCAAATACACCGAACGTGGACACATCTTCATCGCCCTCCTTTCCCCCTCCCCCCCCCTCTCTTCCCTCCTGTGCCCACCAGGTACTAATCAACCTGCTGGCTAACGCGTGCAAATACACCGAACGTGGACACACCTTCATCGCCATCCTACCCCCCTCCCCCCCCCCTTTCCCTCCCTGCTGTGCCACCAGGTGCTGATCAACCTGCTGTCCAACGCGTGCAAGTACACCGAACGTGGACACATCTTCATCGCCATCCGCACGGCCGACATCCACGAGGACCTTCGGCGAGACGCGACTCGAACCCAGTCGAAGCGAGGGATTACCCATCAACAGCAACAGCAACAAGAGCATCATGAGACGGAAACACAGCATCCGCAACAGCGGCAGCAACAACGGCAGGAGCAGCAGGAGCAGGAGAAGCAGCTGGCACTGGCAGCACCGTCCTCTTCGGGGGATGCTTCCACAGCGATCAACAGCCTCAGTGCATCACACAGCACTCAAATCACGCACAGCACGCGCAGCACGCACACGACCACTGGCACTGGACCGCCAAGTCACGGCATATTCGGTGGGCTTTTTGGACAAACGGCAGTCTCCAGCCATGGGTCGACAAAAGAGGCAAGGGACGGGACGTTCAAGCACGGGCTGTTGCGGCTATGGGCCCTCTTTACAGGTGCGAACAGCGCCGGTGGCAGGGATTGGGATGGGAATGGCCGTACTGATAGTGGTGAGGGTGGTGGTGCAGTGCAAAGGGGGGAGGGAGAGTGGCAGTTAGCCCGAGTGAGTGGCAGGCAGGGAGATGGTTTGGCAGCCGGTGCGTGTTACCCCGGGTCTGCCAGTGCCAGTGCCATGCCTACCACCACCACTACTACTGTCTCCTTCCGCCCTGCTAGGCTGCTCTCGCGTACCAAGAGCGGCAGGACCCGCGCTGCTGCTGCAAAGGGAGCTGCTGCTGCTGGGGGGGGTGCTTCTGCTGGGGAAGGTGCTGCTGCTGCTGCTGCTGCCGCTGCTTCAGTGGAAGGTGGCAGTGATGCTGCTTGGCGCAGCAGCATGAGCGGTGCGTGCGGGCTGCCTCTGGGTGTATGCGTGGGCGAGCAGCGGCTGTTAGCGTATCAGCATCTAGAAGACGAGCGGGGAGAAGAGGAGGTGGGAGAAGAGGAAGAGGTGGAGAGCCAGGAGGTGGGGGACGAAGGGGCACTGGCTGAGGTGCAAGGGTTGGGAGGGATGAGAGGGTTGGCAGGGGAGCAAAGGCAAGAGGAGGAGCAGGAGCTGGTGGAGGTGGTGGTGCATCCCAGCAGCCCACCTGGCGCTGCTGCTGCTGTCACTGCTCCCACAAGCAGCGGGAAGCAGCAGTACCAGGAGGAGCAGGAGCTGGTGGAGGTGGTGGTGCATTTGATGAGACCACCTGCTGATGATGATGCTGCTGCTGCTGCTTCGCCTGTTCACACAAGCAGCAGGAAGCAACAGAATCAAGTCATCCAGGAGATGCAGCAGGCGGCGCAGCAGCAGCAGCAGCAGCAGCAGCAGGCGCAGCAGCAGCAGGCGGAGCACGTGACACTGAGTGGGCGAGCGGCAGTGAGGAGCTGCAACAGCTGGCACGTGCTGGCGGCTAGGCGGGCCGCGTGGCTGCAGCAGGGGCGGCAGCAGGGGCGGCAGCAGGGGCGGCAGCAGGGGCGGCAGCAGGGGCGGCAGCAGGCTGTGCAAGGAAGAGAGGGGGGTGAGAGGGGCGGGGAGGTTGATGGGGAGGGAGCCAAGGAAGGGTGCGTGGAGGAAGTTTGTCAGTGGGAGAGGAGGGAATCTGTGGCAGGAGGAGCAGCAACAGCAAGAAGGGAGGCAGTGTTGGCAGTGGCAGCAGAAGACAGGCCTCAAACTGTTCGACTGGTGGTTTCTGTTGAGGTGGGCAACACATGTGTAATGAGATGGGTGCGTGTCTGTTGAGGTGGGTGCATGTGTGTTGAGGTGGGTGCATGTGTGTTGAGGTGGGTGCATGTGTGTTGAGGTGAGTGCATGTGTGTTGAGGTGAGTGCATGTGTGTTGAGGTGAGTGCATGTGTGTTGAGGTGGGTGCATGTGTGTCGAGTTGGGTGCATGTGTGTCGAGTTGGGTGCATGTGTGTCGAGGTGGGTGCACGCACGCACCATTCTGCCTCTTCTCATTATCCTCCCGTTTCCTTCCCTTTTTGCTTACCTTGCACTGATGCCCACACGCCATCACAGGACACAGGCGAGGGCATTCCCAAGGGTCGCCTTGACTCATGTTCGAAGGGCTGCAGTGGTTGAATGAACGCTTAGCAAAGGAACAACAGTGAAAATTTCAGGTGAAAAAAAACAAATGAAAAAACGCAGATCTGAAAAACCCTTAGCTTCCGAAAAACCTCCTTGCGTAAACTAGTTTCGGCGGATGGGCGAACCCAATCACGCCTTCATCAGTACAGCACAATTCGGAACTCTGTGCAACGCGCCACACACAACGCGCCACACACATGCTGCCTCTGTTCATACCTTCAACTGCTACTCCCTCCCTCCCCACCCACCACACCACAGGACACAGGCGAGGGCATTCCCTTTGCAGCGCAGCGCACTATCCTCAAGCCATTCACCCAGGCAGACCCCAGCACAACGCGCACACACGGAGGCACGGGAATCAGGCTCTCCATCAGCCGCCATCTCGTTGACCTCATGGGGGGACGCCTCTCCTTCTCCTCGCGCCCTGGCCTCGGCAGCACCTTCTATTTTGACCTCCTCCTGCCCTGCGACCAGCCTCGGCCCGAACCGGTGCCGTTCCTGCAGCCGGACCTGGTTTCCGCTTCGGGAAAGTGTTTCAGTACTAGGAATGGGGCTGTGGCTGTGATGGCGGATGGTGTTGCTCCTGCTGTTGCTGCTGCTGCGGCTGCTGCTGCTGCTGCCACTGATGTTGGTACTGTGGGTCCTCTGAACGATTCCTTTCTTTCTCCCTTTGGTTTGGAAGAAAGGGACGGAGCGGTAGCAAGCCTGAGCGCGATCAAGGAAGCTGTGGTTCGGGCCAGGCTCGGAGCGATCCTGCTGGACGACCGGCCGGTGAGGCTCGGCGTGCTGGAGAGCCTGCTCAACAGGCTCGGCATGCCGGTGCTCAACTCCACGTTCGGCCCTGGCTGTGCTGATGAGGTGCCTCTGTTGCAGCCGGTGGTGGTTTTCGTGGATCATGAATGGCTAGAACGACAACAGCAGGAGGAGGAGGAGGTGAGGGAGGAGGGAGTGGAGAGTGAGGAGGGGGAGGAGGAAACGGAGGAGAGGGAGGAGGAGAGGGAAGAGGAAGAGGAGATGAAACAGCAGGAGGGGAAGGGTGGGGAGGAGGAGGAGAAGGCAGAGGGGGAGCATGCAGGGGAGCATGCAGGGGAGCATGCAGGGGAGCATGCAGGGGAGCATGCAGGGGAGCATGCAGGGGGAGCATGCAGGGGAGCATGCAGGGGAGCATGCAGGGGAGCATGCAGGGGAGCATGCAGGGGAGCATGCAGGGGAGCATGCAGGGGAGCATGCAGGGGAGCATGCAGGGGAGCATGCAGGGGAGCATGCAGGGGAGCATGCAGGGGAGCATGCAGGGGAGCATGCAGGGGAGCATGCAGGGGAGCATGCAGGGGGAGCATGCAGGGGAGCATGCAGGGGAGCATGCAGGGGAGCATGCAGGGGAGCATGCAGGGGAGCATGCAGGGGAGCATGCAGGGGAGCATGCAGGGGAGCATGCAGGGGAGCATGCAGGGGAGCATGCAGGGGAGCATGCAGGGGAGCATGCAGGGGAGCATGCAGGGGAGCATGCAGGGGAGCATGCAGGGGAGCATGCAGGGGAGCATGCAGGGGAGCATGCAGGGGAGCATGCAGGGGAGCATGCAGGGGAGCATGCAGGGGAGCATGCAGGGGAGCATGCAGGGGAGCATGCAGGGGAGCATGCAGGGGAGCATGCAGGGGAGCATGCAGGGGAGCATGCAGGGGAGCATGCAGGGGAGCATGCAGGGGAGCATGCAGGGGAGCATGCAGGGGAGCATGCAGGGGAGCATGCAGGGGAGCATGCAGGGGAGCATGCAGGAAAGCATGCAGGGGAGCATGCAGGGGAGCATGCAGGGGAGCATGCAGGGGAGCATGCAGGGGAGCATGCAGAGGAGCATGCAGGGGAGCATGCAGGGGAGCATGCAGGGGAGCATGCAGGGGAGCATGCAGGGGAGCATGCAGGGGAGCATGCAGGGGAGCATGCAGGGGAGCATGCAGGGGAGCATGCAGGGGAGCATGCAGGGGAGCATGCAGAGGAGCATGCAGAGGAGCATAGCAGAGCAGTAGAGCATCGTATCAACACACACACACACATACACACTCACACACACACACACTCACACTCGCACTCACAAACACACACACACACACACACACACACACTTTTCTTAGCAAGTCCCAAATTCTAATCCCTCTCAATTTCTCTTCCTCTTCCCAATCTCTCCATGGCTTTTTCACCATCAGATGCCGGGAATGGACGGGTACGAAGCAGTCTCCCGCATTCGCAGCATGGAGCAGGAATCCCCACCAACCACGGCAGAAACCCCATCCTCTTCAACCCCACCTGCAATCCCATCACCCACGGCATCAAAAACACCAATAAAAAGCTTATCAGATACCAAGAGCCCACCAGCCACCAGAAACCCGTCAGCATCAACTTCCCCACGAAGCACACCAGCAGAGGCAGCAGCAGAAGCACCAGGGACAGGTGCAGCGAGGGCAGAGAAGGGGCGGCTGCTGGTGATAGCGCTGACTGCGGATGTCGGTGCGGGAACGCGGGAGCGGTGTGCCAAGGCGGGGATGGATGGGTATATGACGAAACCTATAGAGGAGCAGCAGCTGTCTCGCGTGGTGCTCCCGTTCTTCACTTTTGATACGTCTCAAAAGACGTCTTCCCATTGAGGGGCAGCAGCTGTCTCGCGTGGTGCTCCCGTTCTTCGCTTTTGATACGTCTCAAAAGTCGTCTTCCCATTGAGGGGCAGCAGCTGTCTCGTGTGGTGCTCCCGTTCTTCACTTTTGATACGTCTCAAAAGTCGTCTTCCCATTGAGGGGCAGCAGCTGTCTCGCGTGGTGCTCCCGTTCTTCGCTTTTGATACGTCTCAAAAGTCGTCTACCCATTGAGGGGCAGCAGCTGTCGCGAGTGGTGCTCCCGTTCTTCGCTGCGCTGGCGGGTAACTTTTGGGTCAACTCAAAAGTCACCTTGCTCACATGGGAGCGGGTACGCTGGAGCGGTGTGCGAAGGATGGGGTGGATGGGTACATGACGAAGCCCATTGAGGATCAGCAGCTGTCGTGCGAGGTGCTCACCTTCTTCGCTGCTCTAGCAGGTAACCTTTGAATCGACTCAACAGGCCCACGGAGGAGCAGCAGCTGTCGCGCATGGTGCTCCCGTACCCGTACTTTGCTGCACTGGCGGGTAACACGTCGTGCCGGCCTAGTAATTGGATTTACCGCATGCATGGTTGCTGCGCATACAGTGTATATAAGTGTTGTGTGAGAGTAACCTGCTCCTGGCCAAAGGACAGGAGGGAAAGCTTTGTTAAAGAACGGACAATGCGTGGCACGAAAGGAACCAGAAGCTGGGAGGTCTTACACTGGTTGGACTGAACTGCTCTCTGATCCTTTTATTGTTTTTGTAAGCTCATTGTCCGACACTGAGTTGTACCGTAGTAAGTTCTGGTAGGTACACAGTCTTCTGCTGGGCGTAGGCACTATACATAGGCTAGGCATTATTCTGTGTTACGGTAACTTCACGGCTGTCCGAGTACCATATGTACTAGTAAGTATTGGCACATTAGTAAGATTGGCAAATGGATTACGACATGATGTGCGTACCGTCGTAATTTGATTCTCGAGACGATGGCGGACCAATGTTTTTGCGCTCTGCATAAAGAGACGATAAGACTCATTAGGATTCAAGGAATCATATAGCACAACCGAGGTTCTTGTTTGTAAGCAGGTACCATGTTGATGCGCTTTGGTTATTGGAACAACTAAAGCTATGAAGTTATTCAGTTTGAAAGTTCACTAGACTTTAGGAGGGTGTGGGGAGAGTCACACAGATTTTTTGCTGTACTATATTATCAGATATTGGGAAAGTCTCCCTTCTCATTGAGTATCAAGGCGAGTGGCATGCGTTGTCGTCGCAGTTCCAGCTCGGATCATAATATCTGAAGAAAAGGTACAGATTCCAATAAAAAGTGGTGCTGACTGCGTCACGGCTCGTGTCTTTACAAGATACTTTTTGTCCTTCCACACGCTTGATGAGGTGGATATTGCCTTTTCTCATTGAGGCACAGTGCTCTAGCAGCTTCCTCCTTTCTTCCTGCATTGTTTGACTGTTGATCTCCACGCGTACGATCAAATATCCCGGATTTGCTGGACAGACTCCTTGTTCAGCGTCAGCTTCCTTGAAAATGAGGAGGAAATGGGGGCAGGGCACCTGTGACACTTGCGTCCTTGTCAGCGCACGCGAAATGATGAGGTCAGTCATTGCCCAAATGTGGGAGTGGGGTAGGGAGTGTTGGTGTGCAGCCGGACGGGTGATGGGAGGAGGTGTCTCAAGAAAAGGGGGGGGGTGAATTGTACACATACAATAACATAAATGAGTTGGTACATTGTAAATTCAGTACGTCGTACTTAAAGGAGTACAGTGTTGTCCTTGCTCGAAGGGGAAGGTTGGAAGGAGTGAGCGTCGGGATTTATATTTGTTTACTCCTTACGGAGTTACACACTACCCTCCTAATAACTCGGGTAGGTTTTACAACACGACGAGCAGATTCTTTGACGCTGGGCGAGTGAATCCACGCTTGGGCATCGTCCATCCAGCCAAGTCCAGTCCAGAAAGATCTGCCCCAAGGTTGTCAATCTTGCCGCTGGTGTCAGATACTTGCGAGCGCCCCTCGTCGTGTGGTCCAAGCGCGTGTATCACCCAATTCGGTCCGCTTTGATATGGGTGTTGGGCCACTCTCTGATCAACACATCAGCAGCCCGATGATTGGCGAACGTTTTTTAGAGGATGTTCTGGTTTCGTAATGTATTCCACTCACGGGCAGCCCAGTTCGAATTCCTGCTCGTGCAGAACTGGACAGTTGTGCACCGCCATGTTCACATGCAGCATTGCCCTGCCAAGTAGCTGTGTCCAATCACCACAACCTCACCCGAAAACTGCAAACTGGAACACCTCAGCAGCATCTTTTCCTTCCAACCATCTCTCCGCAACGCCTCCACACCCCTCCCCGCCTCGGGCAATCATCCCCGCTTCCACAGTGTCACTTGACCACGGCTCCGCTTCCATGTCCGCATCTCCCCCAACGCCCTCCCGTCCCCGTTCACCGTACACTGGCAGTCTGGCACACACGCTCCCCTCCCCTCCTCTCCTTCCCCTTCCCCTCCAACGTTTCCCCCGCCTTCCGCATTCATGCAGGTATTATTTGCTCACCTCACACCGGTTCAAACTCAGTTCCAGTATCATACCTAAAACTATCTGACTCAGCTTTGGTTCTATTTAGTCTAGTGAACTTTTCCTGGCACCGTCATTCGTGAAATCGACTGCTTTCCAATTCTAGCTATCTTTCGTCGCAAGACTTACGAAGATAGCAAATGTGTCGCCCACCGGAATCCGGAGTTCCTGCGGGAGCTGGAACTTCAGGAGCGAACTTCGTCGCTGAAATACCAGGACATGCAATGAAGGCTGCTGGAGCAGCCAATAATTCAAACGCTCAGACTTGGGCGTGGAACGGGATGCTTGGAGCAACAGGCCTCCCAAATGGACGTTTCCAGGCGGCTCACGAGGAGCCCAAAGCCACTTTCACTGCCGCACAGTGAGTTTGCTTTCATTTTTGGAAGTTGGGTTCCTTCTTCTTATCGTTTTCCAGTGTGTGTGAGTATCTCGGTTCTTACAGAATTCCCGGCTCTTACTATTCTCACCTGCTCTCTTCGCAGGCTTCAGCAGCACGGTCAGTTCTTTCCCACAATGACGAACTCGCAACTCCACCAAGCAGCAGCTCAGCAGCAGCAGCAGCAGCTTCATCAGCAACTGCAGATGCTTCAGCAGAAACAGCAACTGCAGCTCCTTCAGCAACAGCAGCAGCAACAGCAACAGCTGCGAATGCAGCAGCAGCTCGCACAAGCTCAGTCTACGACGTGGAATCCCGCGAAGGGACTTCTCCAAGTTGGCTCTCAAGAAGAGCTGCAAAAGCAGTTTCAAGGCTCTATGGTCCCGGCCTGGCAGCAGACCGTTCCTGCAGGGAGCCTGGAGGCTTGGGCGAAGTCTACGGGAGCAGCCAACATCGCTCCGCGTCCAGTTCAGAGCGCGTCGGCGCCTGGATTCGCGTGGGGAGTCAATCCCGATATGGATCCGCATCACACGGAGGAGGATGAGGAGGAAATGGATGAGAAGAAGTACAAGCGGTAAGATTACCTTGCCACGCAGTTCGCTACCTCAATGTCTCAGTCCACGATAGCCATCCGCTTGTAGCCGTGTTACTTTCGCTTCCGACACGCGATTGACCTTCCCTGTTTTTTTTTTGTGCAGAATGATGTCGAATCGCGCTTCCGCGAAGAGGTCGCGCCAGCGCCGTCAAGTGCGGTTGGAGGAGCTCGAGATTCAGTCCGCGAAGCTCAAGATGGAAAACGCCGCAGTGCAGCGACGGCTGACTGAAGCAACCGACAAGATTCGTCGCTTCCAGGAGCAGAACTCGAACCTGGAACGCGAGCTTAAGCGGCTGCGGAAAGAGCTGGACGATTGCAGTGGCGGAAGCAACGCGGGAGCGGCGGGGTCGACTCTGTCGCAAGGCAGCAAGCCGTCGTCGCCAGGGAAAGAGTCTGCTCTGTCGTCCCCGCTCACGGCTGTTACGGATCGGCTGACTGACGAAGACGCGAAGGGACCGGGAAAGCGGAAGAGAACGGAGGAGAACGCGACAGATGTTGATGATTCTTCGGATCCGGTCCTCCTTCCAGCCGTTAACGATGTTGTGAAGGCTGAATCGCTCTTTCTAAGTGAGCAGGGCGATGTGGGTAGGGACGGTGAGGATGAGTCGGATTGCCAGCTCTCTGACTCCACTGCGATCACACCTGCTGAGGGAGCTGCTGCTGCGCTTCCCGCGGGTGATGGCAAGGGAAACCCCATTGCCCCTGCAGGCGGGTATCAGGTGATGGGCCGCGATATGGATGTTGCTGATGGAGAGTTCTTTGCGACCCTGATTGATTGCTTTGATGGAAAGCCCATGGAGGGTTTCTTTGTGTGAGGGAGAGTTATGTGGCTGGCACTTGTGTGTACATGATTCCTTGCCTCACTAACAGGAGGTCAACTTCTGAGGAAAGGGATTGGGTTATCAAGGGCAGGACTCAGCTGTAGGACTAATAATTAATGAAGGCATTTTGCCATAGTGATTGGTTGGTTTTCCTTTTATTATTGGATGTACTTTCATGTAAAACCGATCATGGAATGTCTTATGCTAAACTACGTAATAGTGAATCCTGTTTCAGCGCAACAGGACATTCCCAAGTTACAGCATTGTACCCACGCATGTACTTTTACCACCGCAGCTTACCCCAGAAACTAATCAAGGTGTTGGGGTTCTCGTACACACGGAAACGCGAGGTACGCAGTTGTTCACCACAGGTCCTGAACATTTGCCAAAATTCGAACTTTCAGAGAGGTTTTACACGGTTGAATACAGTTAAGCAAAGTTACGTCACCGTGCAAAGCGGTAAGAGTTCGAACTTCGAACAAAATGCGCCGAATGCAACGCGCGTTGCTTGATGGACATCCCAGACCACAGGCCCTGACGCATTTGGGCAAGCGTACGTACCGCCAGTCAGAGTCTGGCCGGCCTACGCACCAGACGCATCATCGCGACCGTTCAGTGAGGTGAGAGATGAAAAGAGTCGTATTTTTGGATTCGTGTGATAGGAGCGGATTAGGATCTCACAGCGACGAACCCTAAGGCCGACGCGAACTGTGGGCGAATCGCGAATAGGTTAGATTGGTGCGCTTTGTTACACCCTGTCTTCGTCAGCCCGCTCGCACCCTTCTTACTCACTTGTCGCAATCTTTCAGCGTTCACCTTAGAAGCTTACGGCGTATGCGATCTCGTCAAGCAGGTGCCTCTTTCACGCTTACCTCCACCGCTCTGGCATCTGTCACGCTCATTCACCTGTCCTGTGCTGTTGTCCCTTTCTCTGCCAACCAGCAGCGCTTGGCGGGAACCTGACTGTGAGGCACTACGCGACCCCTGAAAGGAATCAGTTGAAGGCTCTTGTGAGAGAGTGGTCGCATCAAGATCCACCATCATGTCTCGCCGACTAGCACAACAGGTAGCAGGGATCAGCTTCAGCAGCATCACCCGGGCCTTTCAGCCTGCTGGGACTTTCCCATCCGCAGGCTCCTCAGGGCCTCTCGGGGAGGTGTTTTCCCATCACGGACTCTCAGCAGCGGGGGCGTGGTTGCTGGTGCAGCAGCGCAGTGCGACGAAGAAGGCCATGGGGTCCACACAGAACGGCCGGGACTCGCAGCCCAAGCACCTCGGGGTGAAGAAATCTGGCGGACAGGTGAGTAGGGATGTGTGTTTGCCACGTGAACATAAATTCGTTTTAAGATGTCTCAGAGCGAATCCACTTTCATGCGGTCCAAGCACCTGGAGCTGAAGAGGTCTGGCACGTGTGATTGCCATGTGTGGTGTGTTGAGGGCATGTGTGATTGCTCTCGAGAGCTGCTGATTCCACCACTCAGTGCATCGCTTGTCAGCTGTCAATTTACTGTTTCCCCTTATGGTTGTCTTAGAGCTTGCCTTCTTTGATTTTTTCTTGCCCCTTTTTCCTGCACATGAACCTTTGCCCTTCTGTCTCCTTCACACGTTTTCGACAGGGAGTGGTGGCTGGGAACATCATCGTGAGGCAGCGAGGAACCCGTTTCTACCCTGGTGACTTTGTAGGCATGGGGAGGGATCACACTCTCTTTGCTCTCAAGGACGGTCGAGTGAGGTTTGAGACCCGATTCACCCCTGCCGGTTTCCAGCGCAAGTTTGTCCATGTGGATCCGAATGGAGGTCCGCCTCTTCACCCTGCCCTGGCTAACCTTAGAAGTATGATTGAGGGGCTGGAGCAAAGGAAGAGAGAAATCATGGCGGTGAAATCAGAAACTGCTCGTCAATGAGTAGCTATGAAACTCCTGTAAATTTGGAAACATTAGTTTTGATTCCTCAGGGATCTAGAAGGTTCTAAACCTTTATGTTAGGTCTGGTACTTCATTCTTTCGACCTGGGTGTACCACCTGTTACGGTTGAAGCGGAACAGCAGTCGCACCCGATTTGCGAGTTGTGTGTTTTGTCCTGTTCATTTCCAGTGCCGAATCAAATGCCGATATCGCCAAATGATTTCCCACTATCGTGTTGTTCGCCACACGCTTCAGCGACTGTCGCCAGGCTTTTCAGCGACATTGTCAAGGCATCCGAGCCGACGTTATCCATTTTCCATTTCGCGCCAAGCCCAACGGTAACATCAGCTGGACGTTTTTTTCACAAGCCAAACCAGCCAGAACCAGTCCAACCCCATCCAAACCTGCCTGATGCTGATCCCCCCCATCCCCATTCAAACCAAACAGCTGTTCCGAAATAATAGCCGCCGCCATTGATTATCAGCTTGAGTAAGGGCCTAATCAGGCCTGGCCTACATAGGCGTCTTGATCTGCTCTGCCATTGCTGAGCGGAGGGTCTGTTGTCGCGTGTCAGGGCAATATGGCAGGCGGTAAGGGAGGGAGGAAGAAGAAGAACAAAGGAGGGCCGCAGGGAGGTGGAGGAGGGAAAGCACCCGAATCAACTGCAGCATCAGCAGCGGCCGCGCCGGCAACAGCAGCATCAGCAGGAGCAGCAGCAGCGTCAGGAGCGGCGGCAACAGCATCTGACACCCGGAATGGCCCGTCAACAGCAGCCATTCCGTCAGCCACCCCTCCCTCTGCTGCCGCAAAATCCGCCGCAACTTCCGCAAAAAAAACCACTCCGGTTGCTTCGTCAGGGACCGTCGGAGGGTCGTCCGTTGGTGGCGGGGCCGCTGCTGCTTCTGGCGATGGCATTTCCGCCAAGAAGGCGGCAAATGCGGCTTCGAATGCAGCGTCAATTGCGGTGCCGTCAGCGAAAGCTGCACCTTCCGCGAAATCGGGATCCGCTCCAGCCGTTGCATCTGCTTCCAAGGCGTCTGCTAAGGCTGCTGACGCCGACGAGGATGTGAGTCACCGGCAAGGCCTTTACAATAGAAAGTTCTCCCAATATCCGTCGCTCCCCCTCGTTACGGAAGCCTCACAGCATCTGACGTCCCTTTTGATGTCCCTTTTAGCTTTGAGACGTTTTCAGAACTCAGTTCCCGATGACCGTTCCCGCAATGTCTCAAAGCCCTTAACCCTGAACCTCGTCACAGCCGTCGAAACCCTCAATCCTGCATGTGCTCCCTGCGTGTCCTCTGGAGAAAGCGGGGGGGAGTGGCGGGGGGGAGTGGTGGGAAGGGGGGGAAAGGGGGGGGGATGGGCGCGCGCCCTGGATGTGAAGGGTGGCGGGACTGATTATTTACATCAGCTACACGGTGTCTCAAAAGCCTTCCCCCAGTTGTCGTTGACACGCCTCAACCTTCGCTAGGAACCACACCAACGTTTCACAACTGCAGGTTTTCCGAGAGAGAGCGTCAACAGCTGAGGGGACATGCCATGGATTACATTTTTAGCTACGCTACGCCGGCAGGGCCCGCATCAACGAGCTGTAGCGCAGGCTGCTCAGCGTGTGTCTTAACCGCCACCGCAACCCTGTACTTTCTCCCCTGACAGGTGTTCCATGCGCAGGCCATTCAAGGCGGAGCGAAACCAGTAATTGCAGGCGCGAGCGGCACACACCGAGCTGTGACACAAGATCCATCCTGGTTCCAGCCGGGCCTGCCTCAACCGCCACTGCAACCCTGTACCTTCTCCCTGGCAGGTGTTTCACGCACGCGCCATGGAGCTCAAGGCGGAGGGCAACCAGCATTTTCAGGCGCGCGAGTATGCAGCAGCCATGGAGCGATACGGCAAGGCCATCAAGCTGCTGTCTTCCAGCCATGCGGACAGAGCGATTCTGCACAGGTGTGTCTCTTCTCTTCAATGCGGAGTGCACAGCTATAGGGTGCACAGGTGAGTGAGAGAGAGGCAGTTCCAGCCGCACGAGTGTGCAGCAGCCATGGAGCGATACGGCAAGGCCATCAAGCTGCTGCCCGCCAGTCATGCGGACAGGGCAATCCTTCACAGGTGCATACTGAATATAGAGAGCTCAGGTGTGGTTGACATGCGCCTTGTTGTGCACAGGTGAGTGAGTGAGTGAGAGGCAGTTCCACTGTTCAAGGGGTGCGAGTGTGCGGCAGCCTTAAAGCGATACGGCAAGGCCATCAAGCTGCTGCCTGCTGGTCACGCGCATCCTGCAAAGGAAAGTTTTGAACGCGATATATAGCATGTGTGTGAGTTTAGTTGTTTACGCGTTACATAGTTGTTGTGCACAACTTTGCTGTAGTGTAAAACACAGGAGTTGAAAAAGATACTTAAATGAGGGGTTGAGGGCGGAGCGGAGCGGAGGGGAGGAGTAGGACAGCGATCCCCACTCTCAACCCTGTTTCTCTCACCCCTACTTCCACCCCCCCTTCCCTCCACAGCAACCGAGTGGCCTGTCTGCTGCAGATGCGACCGGTGGACTACGAGGGTGTGAGGGCGGAGTGTGACGCCAGTCTTTCTCTCAACCCGGGCTTCACCCCTCCCTAGCCTTCTCCCTTTCCCTTTGTCCCTTCCTCCCCCACTCTGCTCCTTCCCGCCACAGCAACCGAGCGGCCTGTCTGCTGCAGATGCGCCCGGTGGACTACGAGGGGGTGAGGGCGGAGTGTGACGCCAGCCTGGCTCTCAACCCGGGCTTCTGCCGCGCGCTGCTGCGCCGCGCCAAGGCTCTGGACGCTCTGGGGGAGAAGGATAAGGCCGAGGCTGACGTGGACGCGATAATCAAGGTGAGGAATGATGGTCAAGGTGAGGAACAATAATCAAGGTTAGGGAGGGCTAAGGCCAAGGCGCTGGACGCGCTGGGGGAGAAGGACAAGGCGGAGGCTGATGTGGACGCGATTATTCAGGTGAGGGGTGGTAGTTAAGGTGGAGGAGCATTAGGCCAAGGGGCTGGACGCGCTTGGGGAGAAGGATAAGGCCGAGGCTGACGTGGACGCCATCATCAAGGTGAGGATACGGCAGAAGCTGACGTGGACACTATTGACGACAATGTGAGGTATACGCATGCGTGCATTCTGAACCGTATAGCCGCTTTCTGACGGCCGCAGTCTGGAATCTGACAGTCTGTTGGTTTTCCAGAGTTATATGCATGATCGATAGCATGTGTTAATATCCTGGTCAATCTGTCATGACCGTTACCATTCCCATCCCCACTCCCATCCCCACTCCCATCCCCATCCCCATCCCCATCCCCATCCCCATCCCCATCCCCATCCCCGTCCCCATCCCCGTCCCCATCCCCGTCCCCGCCCCAATCACCATCCCCATTCCCATCCCCATCCCCATCCCCATCCCCATCCCCATCCCCATCCCCATCCCTGTCCCCATCCCCATCCCCATCCCCATCCCCATCCCTGTCCCCGCCCCCATTACCATCCCCGTCCCCATCACCTCCCACAGGCGGAGCCCACCAATCAGGATGCATGGGAGATTAAGAAACGGCTGCAGAAGCTGAAAGCCCCCCCCAGCCAGCAAGCCGCTGCTGCTACCACCACGCCTCCATCCCTCTCCACCAGCCCACAACCCATCCCCACCGCTCCCACTGCCCTTGTCACACCATCCCCACCCGCCTCTGCTCCCATCCCCACCGCTCCCATTCCTGCCACTGACCAAGCAGAAGCAGCAAAGCCTCCCCCTGACAGCAAAGCCCTGTCTTCCTCCTCTGCTCCTCACTCTGCAACCAAGGGGCTAGGTGCTGATTCGGCTGCTGCGCCGGCTTCTGATTCGGCTTCTGGCTCGGGTTCAGGTTCGGGTGCTGGTTCGGATGCTGGTTTGGGCGGCGGGATGAGCCACATGCCGCAGCTGCCGCCCAGAAAGCAGCAGGCAGCAGCGGAAGCAAGGGAGGGAACGGGGACAGGGGCAGGGACAGGGGGGTCGGATGGAGACGGAAAGACGAAGGGTGGGAGAAAGGGGGAGGGAGGGGCAAAGAGGGGAGGGAGAGGAGGAGGAAGAGGGGGAAGGGGAGGAGGAGAGGGGCGAGTGGAGATGGTGAAGGAGAAGAGGGTAGTGAGGAGGAAGGTGGTGAGGAAGAGGATGCAGAAGGTGGTGAGGAGGCGGAGGGAGGAGAGGCGTGTGCCGATGCTGCGAGTCAAAGTGACGCTGGCAACGGGGAGAGACACAAGGCTGGCTCAGATGCCCGTGGGGTGTGGGTGAGTTCACTAGTAATCATGTTCACAAAGAATCATGTTCACAAGGAATCAGGTTCCAGCAGCTTCACTGCACAGAATCGTGGGCGCCTGCTTCACGTTTTGGTGGACAGTCCCTGCGTCAGCTCAGCTCTCACCAGTCGCTCGCTACCATACGTTTCATCAGCGTCTTCTCCCTCCTTTTGATCCGCTCCGCGCTCCTCACACCTTTCCACCCGACTGCAGCTTCCAGCAGCTGCACAGCATCGTGGGAGCCTGCTCTTCCCTGTGTTTAATTTAAGCCGTAGAACCCGTATGCAATATTTCATGAGTCTCTCCCGTCCCGTGTGTGTGTCTGCGTGCCCCTTCATCCCACCTCTCTCCTTTCCCGGACTGCAGCTTCCAGCAGCTGCACAGAATTGTGGGAGCTTGCTTCCCCCATCTGAACGGCAAGCCCATGCTCCTGCACTACACAGACACCGAGGTGAGTGTCTGCTACACAGACACAGCACCTTTCCACCGAGGTGCGACTATTGAGGTGCCTCAAAAGCCATTTGAACGGCAAGCCCTTGCTCCTACACTACACAGACACCGAGGTGAGGGTGATTTTGATTGATGCGTCTCTAAAATTCTGAGGCGACTATTGAGGTGCCTCAAAAGCCATTTGAACGGCAAGCCCATGCTCCTGCTCTACACTGACTGTGAGGTGAGGCAGATTTTGGGGTGAGGGTGATGCCGAGCCGAGAAGCTCCGAGACTGCAAAGAAAATATAGCCCATCCTATAAGGGCAGTTATCTTCACCTTGCAAGAATGCATTGTGTTCGTCTTTGCTTGCCTCTCCCGTATTCTCACACTAGCTGCAATTGCCATCCTTGCAACCCAATCTCCCAGGGCGACCTCATTACAATCACATCTAAGAAAGACATTGGCACGGCACTCAGTATCGGACGAGCAGCAGCAGCAGGAGCAGAGGGAGGAGGAGCATCGTCAGCAGTGGCAGTGGCAGCAGTAGCAGCGGCGGCAGCAGCAAGAGAAGCAGCCACGGCAGCAGCCGCTGCAGCAGCTGCGGCAGCAGACGCACAGGCTGCTCTCGCTGCCTCTCTGGGTGCTGCGCCTCTCGAAGCTGCTTCTCTTAGGCAAAGGGAACCAGCAGTAGCTCCTCCTGTTGTTGCCAGTGCTGCCGCTGAGTCGAAAGCAGAACCAGAAACCGAAGGGAAGGATCAGTCGAAGGAGGGGAATGGTGAGGGCGAACTGGAGCCTGTGGAGGTGAAGGAAACAGAATCAGCTGGCAAGGAGGCTAGTGAAACGCTGTGTGATGTCAGCAGCACCACATCAACCGGTACCACCGCCACCACCACCACAGCCTCTGCCACTGCTGCCACCATAACACCCGCCGAAGCCATCACTAGCAGCACCAACACTACCAGCAGCAGCGTCAGCAGCACCGCTGTTAGCACTGTGCTGCGGCTGCATGTGACGCCTCTCAGCCAATCAGAGCAGGCGCAGGCGCCAGCTGTGCCTGCTGACGATGCTGATGTGGCAGAGGTGGAGTGGGAGGAGGTGGAGGAGGAGGGAGAGGAGGAGGTGGAGGTGGAAGAGGAGGAGGAAGTAGAGGAGGAGATTGAGGTGCCTGTGAGTAAGGGGAAGGAGGAGGGAGGGGAGGGGGAGGAGGAAAATGTGGGGGAAGCAGAAGAGGAGGGAGAGGAGGAAGGGGAATGGGAAGAGGTGGATGAGGGGGAAGAGGGGGGAGAAGGGGAAGAGGAGGCGCAACAGGAGGTGCTGGTTGATTCGTGGATTATTCAGTTTGCCGACCTTTTTAGGGAGCGGCTGGGCATTGATTCGCTCGCCAGCTTTGACCTGGCGGATGCTGACGTGGCAGCAGTTAATAGGGCGCTGGAGGGGACGGTGGAGGCGGAGGAAGCTTCTGAGTTGCTGCAGCAGGCGGCTGCCAAGTTCCAGAGCATGGTGAGTGCGTGTAAATGACTAAGTGACTGCGTGAGTGAGTGAGTGAGTGAGTGAGTGAGTGAGTGAGTGAGTGGGTGAGTGAGTGAGTGAGTGATTGGGTCATTGAGTGAGAACCATCCCCATTCCCCTTTGGTTTATTTCCGTCATCTCTCTCGCCCTGCCCTTCCCCCCCTCCACCCTTCCCCCCCCACCTTCCCCCACGAGCAGGCAGCAGTGGCGCACTTGAACTGGGGCAACACCTCAATCCCTTCTTTATCTTTTCTTCCCCCCCCCCACCTTTCCCCCCGCAAGCAGGCAGCAGTGGCGCACTTGAACTGGGGCAACACCTCACTCCCTTCTTTCTCTGCGCTTCTTCTCGCCCTCTTTCCCCCACGAGCAGGCAGCAGTGGCGCACTTGAACTGGGGCAACACCTATGTCTGGATGGCTCGGCGCAGGCTCGGGCTCAAGCCCGCTCCTGATACTGCGCAAACCACCACCGCTGCTTCAGCAGCAGCTGCTGCAGTTAGCAACACAGAGAAGGATGGAATGAAGGCAGAAGAGGGGAGCATTGAATCAGGCACAGCGGGTGACGAAGCAGAGAAGGGAGTGATGGAAGCAGAGAAGGGGGGGATGGAGGCGGAGAAGGGGAGGGCGGAGAAGGAGAAGGAGGCGTTGAGAGAGATACGGGGGGATCCAGAGAGGCGAGCAGCCAAGCTGGGGGAGGTGGAGGCGGCTCGGGAGATGCTGGAGCAGGCTCGGGAGAAGTACGAGGCTGCTCTGACGGTGCAGCCGAACCTGCCAGATGTGAGTGGTTGACCTGGTTGACTTGGTTGTCCTGGTTGCCATGATTGACTTGATTGATTCGATTGACATGCTTGACCTGGTTGACCTGGTTGACTTGGTTGACTTGGTTGTCCTGGTTGACCTGGTTGACTTGGTTAATTTGATTGACATGCTTGATTTGGTTGACTTGATTGCTGTGACTGACGTGCCCTCAGTGCTTGCTGCTTTTCCGTGCAAATCCCCTCTCCCAACACATTGTGCTGACAGGCGCTGCTGGCGCTGGGGAAGTGCTTTGTGCTGATAGCATGCTTTCTTAGCTGCACTCCTGCACCTCTCCCCCTCTCTCATACGACCCCTTCCCATCCTGACAGGCGCTGCTGGCGCTGGGGCAGTGCTTTGTGGAGATGGCGCGAGCCGAGGAGTTCCTGGCAGTGCTGGAAGGGGAGGAGGGCGGGGAGGGGGAAGAGGGAGAGAAGGTAGAGAAGACGGAGAAGGGAGAGGGAGAGAAGCGGAGTGAGGGGGGAGAGGGGAAGAAGCGTATGAGAGGAGTGCTGGAGTGTTTGGCCCAGGCAGAGGAGAGATTCACCGCTGCTGTCAAGGTACATGCGATGTTGCTGTCAAGGTACATGCGATGTTGCTGTCAAGGTACATGCGATGTTGCTGTCAAGGTACATGCGATGTTGCTGTCAAGGTACATGCAATGTTGCTGTCAAGGTACATGCGATGTTGCTGTCAAGGTACATGCAATGTTGCTGTCAAGGTACATGCGATGTTGCTGTCAAGGTACATGCGATGTTGCTGTCAAGGTACATGCGATGTTGCTCTCCAAGTCCTTTTTGTGCGAGATTTTATTCTGCGCAACCAGTCTTGTTTTAATTTGGTATTCTCTTGTTCTCGCAGGATTGAGCTGACGTACGGTAGGTATCCTAGTCCACCTTCCATCTCTTTTTTGCACCCTTCCCTTTCCTGTACTATGCATGTGACTTAGAGGTCACCTTTTGTCTTTTGTCCACCTTTCCCATTTCCTAACAGGCATGTGACACAATCCAACAGGACCATTGAAGCAGCGCGAGGCAGCGGCAGCATGTAACATAATTTCACAAAAAACTCTTGGTCGCTTATCTGCCCCTTTCTCCTGCCTCTTTCTCTGACAGGCATGTGACACGATCGAGCAGGACCATCTGAAGCAGCACGAGGCTGCGGCAACAGCAGCAGAAGGAGAAGCAGAGGAGGACGACCCTTCTGAGGAAGACCAGGATGGGACGGACGAGCCTGGGCGCATGGCACATGCTGCCAAGCACGGCCACCCGGGGCACAAGCACGGGCCTGCATGCAATCATGAGCATGAGAAGCATGATCATGCGCACAAGCATGGGCCTGGATGCAATCATGATCACGGGCATGACCATGCAGGAGACCCGGATGCATTCCTCGCTGACGTGGCAGCGTTCCGGCAGAACGTCAACCTCCAGCTGGCCAACTGCGTGTTTGACAAGTCGCAGGTCCAGGTGAGGCCAGGCAGATGAAATCGTTTGCTTCCTTTCTCCAATCAATTCGTTCGCTAAGAATGGTGTGATTGTGGCCCGCCCTCTTCCTCTCACCTCCTTCGCTTTTACCCTTCGCTTCCATCCCCTCCTCCGCTCCCCCTTTTCTCCACCCCCCCTCGGCTCTCTCCACACCTCTATCTGGCTGCTGTGTCTGGTGCATGCTGTGATGGCTGATCAGTTCAAGCTGTCAGATGCTGGATGGGAGTCGTCTCTCGAGGCAGCTGTAACGGCATTCAAGGGCGTGGGAGTGTCAGAAGAGGAGGTGCAGCGTGTGCTCGCCACACACGCCTCGACTTCGCAGGCAGCAAGCTCATAGTTGCCTTGCCTTCTACGTTATGAAAATGTATCGTGGGTGAGAATGATTATGCATGCGCTTCTGCATCTTGTTCCTTTGACTGCTATCAGGTTGCATTCCAAACAAGAAATTTTGCTCAGTACGATGACCAGATTGTCAGCCAGTACTGAGGCATCCCACTGGGGATGGATGAACCTCATGGAGGATTCACTTCACAGATGCAGACTCAGGAAAGTGTAAGAGATCCAGCCTTTGGATATCCAGTTACACAGAACTTCGCATTTCTGTACATATCTTAGAAGGGAAAAGGAGCATTATACAGCCTGCATCCTTGTCAGGTGTCAGTTTCAAGAAGGCTTAAAACAGAAAAATAGTGGTGTAACCGAGTGTTCGTCCTGGAGGCTAGGTATTCCTAACATGCCAAGAGGACACACGCATCCACTGTAAAAGAAACAAATGGAGAAAATATACTCCGCTTTTCTGGCTATTCCAGTACTGATTATGATGCTTTCTGAAGCGCTGGCTTCACCCGTTTCACCGGCACGCTAACGTTGTAAATCGAGCCCACCACCGGGTCCCTGGTGACTCTGAAAATCACGTCGTCTTCGTCTTCCACTGCAACGTCCAAGAAATCGCCCATGGCGTTCACGATGTCTCCGCAGAGCTGCTTCTTTAATCTGGGATGGAATTCCTCGCGGTCGCTGTAAAGCACTAGACGCAATCTCTCCTTCGCCACCTCCGCAACACTGCATGGCATGACCGACGACGGATGATGAGAGAACCAACGAAAAGAAAAACCCTAAAAATAAACGAGCAACAACGGTAAGTACCTTGGTCCTTTCCTTCGCGTGGGAAACACGACTTGCCATGCTCTCGATAATCTGTGTGCGAAGGAAGGTTGAGGCACGAAGTCGTCTTCCATCCATGAAGCATTAGCTGTGCACGAGAAATACAATGGAAAGACACAAAACGTTAATGTCTAACGTCGAAACGAGGACATATCGGAGACGAGGGAGCTACTCAAGTGACTGTCAATTCGACTTAAAATCCGACATCGGTTGTGTTTCTTGTGAGAACGAACTACTCAAGCCAATCGCCGAGACGAAACCTACCAAAACAGCAGAAGGGACCCGACGACCGTTGTTTTGCGGCTTGGGTGGAAGGCGACTTCAGCTTAGAACCGCAAAATCCGTTTAATCCGCCAGAAGAAAGGCAGCTCCCAGGTGACTGAACACAGAGAGAAGAACCAAAAGTCAATTACACTGATGCTTCGAAAGGACTAAACGCTAATAACAAATACCCTCCCACCCCAATACGCACTTCTGAAAGACGGCTTCTCGATGAAGACTTCGTGTCTGGAAGATTAACTACAGGTCTAACAGAACGACTCCCTATAATAGTCGCCATTCTTTACGTCTTTACGTCACTGCCTGACAGAAGCGTATATATCGGCTAACTTGGCTAGAACTCTAAAACTGTGTGTTAGGGTTAAAATGGGGCTCTTGTTTCAATAGGGGCTGAATGGGGAGTGTGGTGGAGGTGGACCAACAGGGATGAAATCAGGGGAATGGGAGGAAGGGGGAATGGATGGACCGAGAGGGAAATCTGGTGGCGGCACTGATCCCGCAGCATGACCACGAAAGCGCAAACCTCTGGCGCGAAAACCTAGGGAATTCCGCGTCGAGCAGAGAGGTAAAGGAAGGACGGGTGAGGGGGGACGGTGTGGGGGAAGGTTGAGGATGGTGGGGTTCCGGAAGAGGGTTTGAGCTTGGAGGGAACGAGAGGCTGGAAAGTATGAAGGGTTTCCCGCTTCCATCTCGCTATGCTCTCGGAATGAAGGCTCATCTGGAACGTCCGTGAACCTAAGCATATCGTTTTGTATCCGTCGATTGGGTCATGCCATCGTCATCTCACGTGGCGCCACATCTGAGAACTGAGGTTTCGCCAGAGCAGGCCAGCATTCGAATCGCTAGCCAGGACCTGCCATATTCCCAGCATGGCGTATGTTGATTGGGCCTTACGATAACCGTGCTTCGGCTGGAGTGGTTCCCGCAACTGTATTTTTCATGGCCGCCCAGACCGAGCTCACCGCGGTCCAGGTCTTCCCGTGCTGTGCAGATGCGTGTTGTCGGAAGAGAAATAAGGAAAGTTCACCTGCCAAGATGTTCATAAACAGCTGGCTTGATTCTGTACAGCACCATGGTGAAAACGTTCCAGAATTGGAACACCAGCACATAATTTGTTTTTTGCCCCGGGCAGCTAGCATGCCGGGTGGAGTCGTCTGTCGTCTGTATCATCCTGTGTACTGTACTGGATGCAGTCTGATGGGTTTCACGGGTCCCAGAAGAAATTTGAATCCTTTCTGATTACTGTGCAGTATGGGGAGGATGATGGGGGGGTGGGTTTTATGGGGAGCGGTGTGGGGGGTGAAGGAAGAAGGGGAAGGGAAGGGGCGTGGGGGAGGGAAGGGGCGAAGCCCAAGCAATTCGTCGGAGGAGCGTGCTACAGAGCAGCAGAACTGTACACAATCAGGCAGGAGCAGGAAAGCAGATGCACGACCGCGGCTCGTGTCTGGTTGGTTTGAACTTTGGAATCAGTGGTCAATTTTGGAACAAACGCACAATATGAGTATATTACGGAACGAATATTGTGCAAATTGAGTTTATCATAGCAAACATTGCATCATGCATGTCGCGTGATGCAATACTGCGCGCGCTTGGAACGCGTACGGTGACCAGCGCCCCACCAACCTGCATAGTAAATGCCTTGATTCCTTCTGACGTCCGCTAAACGCGGCACACCATTTCATACATGTTTACGCGAGTCAGACACGAATCCCCTTAGATACGCATGGGGGCGTCGACGTACACTATGCACGGCTGCTGTCTTGATCGTCTCTGACCGGATGCTAGATAGCAAACTCTAGCCAGTGCGTGGAAATCTAGCACCGATGCGCCATCGAGTGTAACACTCAAGACAAGCATGGCTGGCAGCACGCCATCGCCGCGCTTTCATTTCCCTGCAGCTGTGACGCGTCGCCGCCGCGCCTACCGCCTATCACGCATGTCGCGTGCAATTTCAAAACTCCCGATTTTCTCACTGCTTCTGCTTTCGCTAATTCTTTCGCCAGTCCGTTGCGACGCTCGCCGAGGAGGCAGGCCGAGAGGGCGACAGCGGCCCGTCGATCCGGTGGCCCCAGGTGGAGCGCAACACGCGCAGGCCGTCGCGCTCTTCAAGGTGCGAGCCGCAGGCCGTCGCTCTTTTTAAATTGCGAGCCGCATGCCGTCGCTCGCGTTGATACTTACCTTCTTTCGAGTGGATTCAGGTAATGACCAATTAGGGTTTCTTTACAAACTTCTCCTGCCTCTTCCTTTTCCCTCCCTTCTGCCCCCTTTCCCCTTCCGCCCCCCTCTCAGGCATGGTCTTACATGTACGGGCTCGTACCGCGTGCTAACTACACCAGCAGCAGCACCGATATAAGCACGGACCGCGCGCACGCCGCGCAGCCGCCTTTATTCCCGCCCCGAACCCTCCGCCCCCCACCGGGCTTCGCCTCGAGCGCATCCGCGGGCGGAGGGACCGGCGGCGGGCGCGGGGCGCGCGTTCCGTTGGCCCCGCACATGGAGAACTGCGCGGCGCTGACGCGCGCGCGGGAGGCCGCGGAGGTGCGCGGACCCGCGGGGGAGATGCCCGCCTGGGCGCGGCCGTCCAACTGCTCTGATTGGTCGCCGGATCCGCCCTGGGTTAGTGTGGGGAAAGGTGGGGGAGGGGGAGGGGGATGGGGATGGGGAGAAGGAGGGGCAGGGGGAGGCAGGGGGAGGTGGGGGGAAAGGGGGAAGGGGAGGGAGATGGGGGGAAGGGGAATAAGGACGGGGGGCATGGAGGAACGGATGGACGCGGAGATGCAGAGGGAGTGAGAGCGAGTGTTTTATCAATTTGTAGAACCAACAGAATTCCACGAGAATTCTCACGCTCCACCAGGCCTCCTGGCCTCCTGGCCTCTTCCTTTTCGCGCTCCACCGCTCTTCCCGCGACCATCTCCTTACTCCCTTCCCCCCTCCCTTGTCCCCTTCCCTCCATTCCTTCGCCCTCCTACCCACTCCCGTTCTTCCCTCATCTCCTCACTCTTCCTCGTCCTCCTCCCTCCTCCCTCCTCCCTCCCCCTCTCATTTCCTCTCTCACTCTCCTCCTCCATTGACACCCCCCAGATCCGTGGCACGGACGCGGCCAATCTCGCGATGACACGTGTCGTGCAGACAGACCTCTGGGGGCACCAGTTCCCGCCGCCCGGCTCCTGCTCGGGGGAGGGGGAAGGCACGAGGAAGCTTCTGGTGGTGGCGTGGCCGCCCGTGCAGGGCTTTGGCATTGGCGCGCAGATGCACATCATGTCTGCCGCCCTGAGCCTCGCTGTGGCGTATGACCGCATTCTGACTGTCTTACCTGGGAGCTTTGAGCATGCTGCACATGCTGCATGCCGAGGTGAGCGTGAGGCTGTGGCATGCCTTGGTGGGTGCAAACATGGGCTTTGGCATTGGCTCGCAGCTGCACATCATCTCGGTTGCCCTAAGCCATGCGGTGGCCTATGATAGAGTGCGCACTGTGCTGCCTGGGAGCTTTGAGCATGCGGCTCATGCTGCATGCAGAGGTGAGGTGAGTGTGAAGCTGTAGCATGTGCTGCCCTAAGCCCCAACTGCAGAGCATGCACCAATTGGCGCGCAGCTGCACATCATGCCTGCTTCTTCCAGCCTCGCTGCGTGGATGCAAATCAGCTGCCACCATCAGTAGCAGCAGGACATCCAGGGGGAAGAGTAGAAAAATGGGGGAAGGAGGAAGTCTACTTCGCACTTGTATGGGTGGAAAGTACAGCTCAATATGGGGACTGAATTAGACGGCAAAGAAAGACAAAATGCTGATGGTTGCACGTGACCGAATCAAAAGTAGTTGCTAGCGTGGAAACGATGGGAAGTATTTTGGAAGATGGGAATGGAAGGTGCTGGTGTGGAGGATGAGGCTTAGGTCTGGTGAAAAGATGCCAACGTAAATCGAAAAAGACAGGATTGGTCTTTAAAGCAACTGTGGCTCGGGTTTCTAGAGGAGATGTGGGCACTCAACTGTGCTGATGGAGGCAGAGGTTACAAAAGCAATTGCCTTCTTGGGCCCGGGTGTGTGCCCACACCTCCTTTAGGAACTCGAGCGCACGAGGCAGTTGCTTTGCACCTCAATCCCGCCTTTCTTGATCCTCCTTGACATCCTTCTACCAGACCTTATCCTCTTCCCCATTCATCCTTAGCGCCAACACCTCCCCAACTTCCAAAACACCCCTGACATACTTCTGCATAACTCCGTATCAATTTCCTTGCTGTTTAATTTAGTTCTCAAATTGAGCTAGCGTGCTCCCTGGGGTTTTGAGCATGCCGCTCATGCTACCTGCCGAGGTGAGGTGGTGGCATAACAAGGTGCGGCTGTAGCAGGGATTTGGCATTCACATCACCACTCCTTGACAGTAGTGTGCTGTCTCGTCACCACTCCTCATCATGTCCGCTCACGCCCTATGTATGCACTTATGTAGCGCCTATGTATGCATTTATGTAGCGCCTATGTATGCACCTCTCTAACTTTACCTCGTGCCCCTTTCTACTTCGATCACCCACACCGCCCACCCGCGCCCCCACTGCTTTCTCCCAGCCAGACACGGTCCATCCATCCTCCCTCTCCTGCTACTTCCTCCCCCTCTCCTCCCTCGAATGCGAGCGCGCGGGTGCAGCAGCAGTGGCAGAGAACCACTGCTTGGATTTTTTTATAATCTTTTTGTGTCTCAATAAGTCAATCGCATGCCCCTTATCCTCCCCACCATGCCCCCACCGCTTTCTCCCAGACACAGGCCACCCCTCCTCGCTCTCCTGCTACTTCCTCCCAATTTCCTCCCTCGAGTGTGAGCGCGCGGGGGCAGCAGCAGTGGCAGAGAAGAGAGCACCGTATGCACCGCGCAACTTGGAGGAGATGAAGGTTGCTCTCGCCTCAGACGAGCCGGTTTTCTACATCGCCGCCAACTTCCCGTGGCCGCTCCGATTCAAATTCCAAGCTGATGCTGCCAGGTAGGTTCCCTGCCAGGTATTTTTGCTGCTGTCTCAGGTTCCTCAGGTGAGGCGCCTCAGGAGTCAGGTGAGTGGCAGAGAAATGAGTGCAGCAGCAGCAGCAGCAGCAGCAGCAGCAGCAGCAGCAGCAGCAGCAGCAGCAGCAGCAACAGCAGCAGTGGCGGAGAAGAGAGCACCGTATGCACCGCGCGACTACGAGGAGATGAAGGTTGCTCTCGCCTCAGACGAGCCCGCTTTTTACATAGCCGCCAACTTCCCCTGGCCTCTGCGATTCAAGTTCCAGGCTGATGCCGCCAGGTAGGGTTGCTGCCTGCGTGTAAGATTTGGCTGGTGTACCATCATCAAACCAGGATCCATGTCAGCAGCAAACGAGCCGCCTCGTTTGCTGCCAATCACCCAGAGGGAGAGAAGCTGCCATGCCATGGGCTCGTTCGCTGTCTGCCAACCTCAGCCATACATCCATCCATGTTATACATTCGAAGGTTATGGAATCTGGCTATTCCAACATTAACCTGGCTCTTGACAACCTCGATTTCCCCCGTTTCCCCCTTATCCTCCTTTCACCCCTCCCCCTCTTCCCTCTCACCCCTCGGTTTTCCTCTCCTTACCCAAACACCCATCACATCAGTCTCTGGGGATCTCCCTGGTACGACCGGCCAATCACAGTGCACCACGTGGGAGGCTCGCCTGCCATGTCAGAAGAGCTGCTCAAGGTAACAGACCAATCAAATAACACAGCAGGTCACTGTGCTCCTGCCTGCAATTGCCACTGCCTGCCTGCCCAAGAAGGCAGGCGAGCAGCAGCAGCGGTGTTGAAGGGAGGGACTATTAAGCCACCTCGATTCTTTAGGCGCCTCAAAACTGTAATAATTCTCTCCGTATGAAATCCGCGTGTAGAGAGGCAAATCTTCTTTTTAGGCGCTTTAGAAAAAAACAGCAGCAGCGGTGGTGAGGGGACTAAGCTATCTCGTGTTGAGGCGCTTCACAAACCTCCCGCGTCCCGCTTCCCCTCACCAGGCAGGCACCGCACCTGCGTTTGCCACCGCCTCCCTCTGTTCCCTGTCCACTCTCGCTCCTCGCCCCATCCCTGTCCACTCTCGCTCCTCACCCATCCTTGTCCATGCCCGCCGCTCCCCTTGCCCCTTCCCTCATCTCCGCCCATCCACTCCACCCATCCGCGCATCCACCCATCCACCCGATGAGGTGCACCGGTGGCGAAGCCAGTCAGTATAGTTCTTCCTCCACTCCCCCACGGCCTATCTCTGCCATCTCACCAACTTCCCCTTCCCTTCTCTCCCGTCCTCTTGCCCCGTCTCCATTCTCGTACCTCTCCCAAGGTGCGCACTGGTGGCGAAGGCAATCCCTGTGGTTCTTCCTCTATCCCTGTGGTTCTTCCTCTATCCCTGTGGTTCTTCCTCTATCTCTGCCATCTCACCAACTCTTGCTTCCTTTTCTCCCCTCGCCCCATCTCCCATCCACCCATCAATCCCAGGTGCACTGGTGGCGAAGCCAGTCAGTTCGTTTCTTCCTGCGCTCCCCGACAGCCTACCTGTGCCATCTCACCAACGCCGCCCGCCACCACACCTACGGCTTCCGGGCTCACCACTCTCTCGCATCCTTCCCTCTTCTCCCCTCCCATGGCACAAACCTTCCCACCCCACCCCATCAGGTGCACTGGTGGCGAAGCCAATCAGTTCGTTTCTTCCTGCGCTCGCCAACAGCCTACCTCTGCCATCTCACCAATGCCGCCCGCCACCACACCTACGGCTTCCGAGTCGCGCTCTCCCTCACCGCTGCTGCAGCTGCGAAATCCGCTGCTCTTGAGATGCTCCGGGGGGGAAGCAGCGGGAGCAGCAGCAGTGGGGGCAACAGCGGGGATGGCAGTGGTGGTGGTGGTGGTGGGGGGATGGATGAAGCATGGTTGGGTGCTCTAGCTGATGTGGATGGGGGGGTGGTGACTGACGGTGCTGATGGTGAGGATGGCGATCGAGGTACTGGTGGTGATGGTAACGGTGCTGGTGGTGATAATGGTGGTAACCAGGGTGACGGTGGTGGTAACCAGGGTGACGGTGGTGACAGCTCTGGGGAAGGAGGCAGCAGAAGTGGTGATGGCAAGCGTGAAGGCAAGCGTGATGGAAGAAGCGTCAGTGCTACTGACAGCAGCAGTAACACCGACATACAGCATCCTCTTTCACTCGGATCATCTCTCGACTCCTCCCTCCTAGAGACCTCCGTCTGGCCACTCAACCCAGCAGCAGCAGCTAGCGGACGCCTCTACACCCCTGCTTGCACAACCCTAGCACGGAGGGGGGAGGAGGGGGAGGAGGGCACAGGCGAGGGGGAGGCGGGGCAAGGGGAAGGGCGGCGAGGGGAGGCGGGGCAGGGAAGGGGGGGGCAGGGGGAGGTGGTATCCTGGGCGGGGTTATCTGAGGAGCCGTACCTGCCGCGGCCGATAGTGAGTGTGCATGTGAGGCAAGGGGACAAGGCAGGGGAGATGCGGCTGCTGCCGCTGCGGGCGTTTGTGGCAGCGGCGCAGCACATGAGGCGGAATGCGCCGAATCTGAACCACATCTGGCTCAGCACTGAGATGCAGGTGCGTGCCTTGGGTGGTTGGGTTGGGGGGGGGGGTGGATGGGTGATTGAAGAAATAGAATTGGTGATAGTGCTGCCTCTGCGGGCGTTTGTGGCAGCAGCGCAGCACATGAGGAAGAATGCACCGAATCTGAACCACATCTGACTCAGCACGGAGATGCAGGTGCGTGGGTGGGTGGGTGGGGGGGTGGGTGCGGTGTCTAATTACAAAAACCAGGCTGCTGGTTTCACCTCCTCCCCCTCACCGTACTTCCCCATGCCTCTCCTTCCCTGTTACCCCCCTCCCACCTTCCCAGAGTGTGGTGGTGGAGGCTAAGGAGCAGCATCGGGATTGGACGTTTCTGTTCACGCCGAACTCAAGACAGGAGGGGGCAGTGGCGATGCATGAATTCGAGCCTGTTAGATTCACTGCGTCTCTGTCTTCCTTTCCATTCCCCCCTTCTGTCTTCCCAGAGTGTGGTGGAAGAGGCAAAGGAGCAGCACCGCGATTGGACATTTCTCTTCACACAGAACCCAAGGCAGGAGGGGGCGATGACCATGCACAAATATGAGTTTGTTACCAGTAGATTCACTGCTTCCCCGTCTTCCCTCTCCCACCTCTCCACTCCCCCTCCTTCTTGCTCCTATTTTTCCAGAGTGTGGTGGAAGAGGCAAAGGAGCAGCACCGGGATTGGACGTTTCTCTTCACACAGAACCCAAGGCAGGAGGGGGCGATGACCATGCACGAATACGAGGCTGCTGTGGGTGCGGATGTGCTTGTGGGACTCAGCTTTGTCAACCTCATTATAGCGTCGCAGTGCGATTATTTCGTCGGTACACTAGGGTCGAATTGGAACAGGCTTATAGATGAACTCAGGTGTACCAATGGACGATTGTTTAGCGGGTACTTGGCACTAAACCATGGTCAGTGGAGATGATTTTGTGTATATTTAATCGTCGTGTATAATTCATTCATAATGGATGTGATGCTGCATGTACAGTGCAAATTATTGAATGCTGCACTGTACATCAAAATTGCCTGAAGAGCGTTTCAATAACTCTTTCAACTTTAGACTGCACCTACAGCTACAGTAGTTGCACAATTCAGTGTTTAAATCAACTCCTATACAGTAAACTAAAATCCATAGCCCTCTCTCTACAAAAAAAAAAATCTACACAAGGATCCCCCTCATCTTGTTCCCTCCATCCGCTCGTCGTCATCCTTCCATTTCAACTCCTCACTCCACTTCCCCCTCTTCTTCCTCGTCTCTCTCTTCATCCCCAAAACTCCCCTCTTCCTCCTCTTCCTCATCCTCCTCTTTCAATTCCGCCTCTTCCTCTTCCTCCTCTTCCTCTTCCGCCTCCTCCTCTCTCCCTCTATTCCTACTCTCCTCCTCTGCCTCTTGTACGCTCAAACTCCCCTCCTCCACCTCCTCTTCCATCGCCCCCAAACTTCCCCTTTCTATCCCGTCTTCCAAACTCCCCTTCCCCCCCAAGCCTAATCCTTGAGAAGTTTCAAGAATCTGTTCGTCTACAGCTAATTCTTGAGATGTATCAAAAGTATGTTCGCCTGAGATTGATCCACCATGTTTCCCCGATACTGCTACCGCCGCTCCTTCCCCTTCCCCTTCACCCACCGGCCGTTGTTCCTCCCGTGAACCTTCCTCTACCACCTTTTCCCCCTGCAAATCAGCTTGCGCCACGTGTCCTCTCCACATTGCCAGCTCAGCTTCTAAAACCCTAACCTCCTCCTGCTTCTGTTCCAGCATTTCCCTTAAAACCGCTACCTCTTCCTCTTGCCGCTCTAGCACATCTCTCATCAGTCCCATTTCCTCTTTATCAGATAACACCTTCTGCTCCAAAATCCGCTCTCTCTGGCCGGCACTGCCAGCCGCGCGCTGGGCGGCAGCTTTGTCCTGTTGCAGCTGGCGAATCAGATCCATGCTCGCCTGGGCGGCGCTGTCGGCCGCCGCCCGCTCCTGCTCCACCTCGCGGCGCAGCGAATCAGAAAGCTCCATTTCGCGCTCTAGAGCGCATCGCAGGATAATCAAATCGTCCTCTTGCTTCTCCTCACCCCCCTCCCTTTCCTCCTCTCCCTCCGTCTCTCCCTCCTCCTGCCACCCCTCCTCATCCTCCTCGTTTCGTACAAGCGAATCGTCACCAAGGTAGGTTCCGGACGACGCTGGTACCGAGGCTCGTTGGCAGGTTCGGCGCGAACGACGGCGGGAAGGTTGACGAGACGAGAGGGAGGGCGGGCATGACGGGGCATGGGAAAGGCTGTGATCGTGAGAGGGCACGCAGGAGGGGGCATGGGGATGGTTGCTGTCGTGGGCGCGTAGACGCCATGCATGCGCCCCCATCTCGTTGCTCGCCCCCATCTCGTTGCCCGCCCCCATCTCGTTGGCCTCCCTCATAACGTGGCTCGCCCTCGTCTCGTGGCTCTTATAACGGGTTGACACCTTCTCTAAGCTGTTGTGACTGTTTGGAGTGTCCGACGGGCGGTCGTGACTGTATGGGGGGGTCGCGTCGCGCAAATCTGGGAGAAAGCGGAGCTGCTGCGCTGCGCAAGGCGACCAATCCCAAGATCCCTCGACCACCGCGCTTCCCACCTCGCGGTCCGCCTCGTCCGCGTTATAACATCCAAATCCTGCCATTTTCGAGTCTTGTAGCCCCTCGCAGTTCTCCTTCTCTCCAAATCGTCCCTCGCTTGAGACTGTGTTCCGACGAGAGGCAGTCCTAAGCGCAGTTGCATTACGAGCAGTTTTCAGTGGCACTGTCCTCTGAGCAACCGCTTTTTGTGGCGACTCTGGCAGCATCACCATCCCTCCTCGCGTCGCCTCCTCCTCTCCCTCCTCGTCTCCCTCCTCCTCTTCCTCCTCCTCCTTCACCACCCCTCCTCTCCGAAGCTCCACAGTCACCACTTCTTTGTTTTCATCCTCCCCTGAATGCTCCCCCCATGAGTGTCCCCACCCTGCCTTATCCTTACCAAGCACTTTTTCCGCCTCCACATCCCCCTTATAAGGTGCCGCAAAAACATCCAAACAACCCTCTCGGCTCCCCAAAATACCATTCTTACGACGCCTGTGGTCTCTCCGTCCCTTCCCTTCTTCCCCCTCCCCTTCCGCCAACACGCGTCCCGACCTCCCCCTTTCAATTCCCCTTTCGCCAGCATCCCGGAACCTTCGCTTTCCCCTCCCCCCAAGTCCCAGTCTCCGCCTTTCCTGCCCCTGACAGCTCAGCAATACGCGGTATAAGGCCGCCTGACAGGCCATCTTAGCGCGCCGGGACCGCAGACCGCCAACGGCTATCCATTTCTTATCCGCTCCTACTGGCGCGTTCTCTCGCACTGACGGGCGTGACACTAACGAAGGTGACAATAGCGAGTGCGAGCGGCGGCGAATGACCCAATGGCTGGTCCGAACCTTCAAAGCTGGCGGCGAATCCAAGTTCGGAAATTTTGAAACTGACGTGGAAGGTTCGGGAACAGAAGAATTTGTCGAGCTGACGTGGAAGGCTTCAGGAGTTGGCCTGACGTTGCAAGTGCCATGACACGTGGCCGAATGACACGTGACAGAATGACATGACGGCAAGTGGGCGGCACGGAAGATCAGCGCGGCTGCGAACCCAAGAAGAGCTCTGGCGAAAACGAAGGCGATGAAGACCAGGTTACGCAGTTCGCTGATAACAGGATGAGCTGACTCGTGAACGACGACCGTGGCGAACACAGCCAGGGAGTAGAGAGCGGCGGCCGCCATATAAGAAAACGAGCCAGCGCAAGAGGCGTCAGTGATCAGGGAGGAGAGCAAATGGACGAGCTTTTCGGAAAGGAGGTGGCAGTGGAGGAAAAGTTATACGACACAGCCAAGGCCAAGACCAGCGACGCAGCCTCAATACGGCCTGGAAGGAAAATCTTGAAGTTGCGAGCTGGGGGTTCCAGCGAGATGCGCGAATGCGGGGGAGTAGAGTGCAGCAAGCGTGGGTGGTTGGATGAGTGCATGCTTGCGGGGGACGCGGCGAGGCCATGGCTGACTAGGGAGAATCGCGAGCATGGCCATGGCAGGTTGGGTGGCTGGGGAGGTGAGGGAGGTGAGGTGGTTTGGGTGACTGGTAAATTATTGAGGTTGTCCGAACCAGAGTTTTTAGCTCGGCTAGGGCGTGGCTGATGTGGCAGAGAGGTTTGGGCTCGTCTTCCCAGTTGTTGTTGTTCGGTCTACCACGCTTCAGTACGGTAAACAGAGTTCACTGTTCGGTTGAGTAATCATTTTTCTGCTGAGTCGCCTGCTTTCAACCATGAGGGATGGCTAATAGTGGATCACAGCCTGTGATGTAGGTTTGGGGCATGTGATTTCTGGATGACTTCTAGGCGTGGAACTGTACTGTACCACCATCCATCGTAAGGCGAGTCTTTTACGAGCTGTTCATGGTGCATGGTTGGGTTGGGTTTTGCGCAACGGAACAAGGAACGCATGAACAGGTTTGGTGGTTGGTGATTGGTGAAATCACAACTGCTGCTGGTGTCAGGTGCCTCATGCTCGGGCCTAGGCCCTTCCAGGCGAACCAAGCGATGAGGTCTCATACAGCTGCCGAACCACACTGTGCTGTCGATGTTGTCGCATCGCAGGGCTCCTGGGACGCGCTACGCGGAAGGTTCAGGTTTGGCGCCAGCTATGGGGCCGTTGGCCCCGCAACAACAACGCGACTCCTCACAGCAGGGAGGTCCGCAGCTCGCGGGAGCAATCCAGACCAGAAGGCGCCGAGGTTTGGAGGGAACCTGAGTCCTGACTACCGGTGTGGCTGTTCCTCCGAGCTTACATCGACACTCCAACCACCATACAGGTTGGCCCCAACAGCCCTCACAGCAACCTCCCTACCTCATAATTCTGGCAAATGCAATTCATCCAATAAGGTACTAATTTCACAATTCTATTAAAGATCAGTACCAGTAGTGCAGCACAAATTTTTTATTACACACATTCGCCAACATGCCAACTCAAGCACACATCAATCAATCAATTCTAGACTAATGAGCCACAGCAGCTACAAGGGCAGAAATCTACACGAGTAACCTTACTGAGGGGTCGCCTTACGAGTCCTACGAGATCGGCGGCTGCGGCGTGGTGTTCCTGATGATGGTGCCACCGCAGCCTTGGGTGTCGCTGGCACTCCTGGCTTGGACTCCTCTGCAGCCGCTCCATTCTGCCCAGCCACAGGAACCACCTGCAGAGGATGGGGATGAAAGGAGTGTGAGGAGAGGGGTGTAATGGATTGCAAAAAGCGAAAGGGGAGCAGGACGAGATGACCAATGGCCCCCACAGGCAACACCATCTCGAGTCATCCGACACATGTCAAGAAAACACCTATAACTAGAGGACTCCACTGTAGCGGACGACTCAAAAGGCACCTCAATGTTTTTATAAAAAAAAAAAATGCAAAAACAGCAGCTCACCTCAGCTTCCACCACCACCACCTCCTCCTCCCCCTCCCCCGAGATCTCCGCCCTAAGCTGTTCCAGCCTGGCCTTCTCCCGCGCCGCCTTCTCCTCCGCCGCTCGCGCCGCCTCCTCCGCCGCCCGCTTGGCCGCCCGGCGGGCGGCATCCGTCTCCTTCTGCTTGCGGAACTGTTCACCGCGCAGCTTTTCCTTGTCCTGTTCTGTGGCAACGACGGAAGAGGCGGCAGAGCGCTTGGCCTGCCCCACGTCGATGATGTCACCTCCCCCAGCTGCCACCTTGGGCGTGGCGCCCCCCATCTTGCGCAGATAGATGGTCTGCCCCGTGCTCAGCAGGTTGTTGGTGAACCTGGAAAGGAAAGAAGGGGAGGGGGAGAGGGGGGAGAGGGGGGGGGAGGGGGGGTGGGTGGAAAAAAGGAAGGGAAAGTTGTAAGTTCAATGCAAGGCTGTTGGTGAAACCTGGGGGGCAAGATGTGTGAGGGAGGGGGAGGAATGAGTTGGGGGTTGAGCGGAAGGTGGGGGTTGAGGGGGGAGTAGGTTTATGAGTTGACGGGCTAGTCACCAACAATAATAGAATGAGAAACTACTTGTAGTACTAGTAGACAATAAAAAGGATGGATGGGGCAGAGAGGGAGAGATATGGTGGTAACATTACATGAATGATGGTAACATGACCAGTAGATGGAGAGCCATGGTGGTAACCCAGCACAGTTGATCGTGAAATTACCAGTAAAGCGAGAGACCGGAGGGGACTGAGAGGGAGAACCAGCCAATCATGAGAGGCAGGAACTTGAGGATCACTTGTGTGTTCTTCTGTGCTGGGTCCTGGTGATAGGAGACGAGGGTAGGGTGGGTGGGGCAAGTGGCAGAGGGGAAAGGCCGGGAGATGGGCAGAGAGGAAGGAAAATAGTAAGTTGGAGCACTCAAAAAGCAGAAACGTGAGGATCATTATTTGTTCTTTTGTGATGTGTGCAGTGGTGTCGAGAGAGCAGAAAAGAGAGCAGCAAGGCAGCGAGCGACAGAGCAGGGAAGGGACATGCCACACCGCGGCACTCTGAGGGGGTTCAGACACATCTCATGACCTGCATGGCGTAGAACTCATTGGTGCTCACACACACGACTGTGTGAGTGCTGACACAGACTGCCACACTCACACACACTCTAACCACACTCACGTCGCTCTGAGGTGTTGCATAATCTGCATGGCGTAGAACTGATTGGCACTTAAGGACACACCATGACACACTTGATGTACACTAGTACACTCACACTGTCAGTCACACACCATCACACTCTAACCACTCACATCGCTCTGGGGTGGCTGCATGATCTGCATGGCGTAGAACTGATTGGCACTCAAGCACACACCATCACACACTAGTGCACTCACGGTCATACATACCCACAAAACAAACTCCAACAACTCACGTCGCTCTGAGGAGGCTGCATGATCTGCATGGCATAGAACTGCGACGCCACCAGCAGCACCGGCAGCACCAGGTAGGCTGCTGTCGCCTCCCACCCCAGGGGTGGGACCCCGTCCTGAGAGGGAGGAAGGATTAAGGAGAGAACGAACAGGGAGAGAGAGGGAGAGCTATGAGAGGAAAAGCAACACGGGCGTCGGGCAGCACCAGCTCAGCTGCTGTAGCCGCTTACCTGAGCAGTGGCACTCGGTCCTAAGGAAGTTGAACATGGTGTGGCGTGGAGTGAAGGATTCAAAGGGTGAAGGGTGTTCGGATTTTAGGGGGGGGAAGTGAGGACGATGAAGAAAATGTCCTACAGTGGCAGATCAAGAGGCACACGAGAACCTGTTACAGGTATACAGAGGATAAGTGCAGAATGAGCTGACTCACAATGAAGGGGAAGAGCCACGAGATGCCTGAGCCGCTGTCGCGAGCAGCAATGGACGTGGGGCCGGCGAGAGAGGGAATCCAGAAAAAGCCCTCCGTGAGAACGCCCTGTGACGGGGTTAGATGGGGGAAGGGAGGGGGGCACGTGGGAGGGGGGCGGATGAGGTGGGGGGGCGCAAGGGGTGAGGTGAGGGAATGTGGGGGGGGGGGGGGGGGGGGGGGTGGGGGGGGGGGGGGGGGGGGGATGGGGCTACAGACGTGAGCCTGGCCAGAGAGGGGATTCAGAAGTATCTCTCAATGAGAATGCCCTGTGATTTGGTTGCTTAGGGAAGTGAAGGGGACGACGGTTGGTGGACTGGGGTGGGGTGTGGTGGGGTGCGGTGGGTGGTTATGGAGGAGAAGAGGTGGTGTGGTGGAGGGAGGGACGAAACGATGGGATGCTGCTAATCCTTTCATTGCAGTCACATAGTCACAGCCTCTACTCTCACGTCCTTGGGCACGTTGCTATTGCCTTATACCTCTCTCTAGCCTTGTAAATCCTATTTATTACAGGCACAATCTCTACTATCACCTCATTCCTTGCCCACATTCCTCTCTCCAGCCCTTTAAACCCTCTTCTTTACTGTCACAATCCCTGCTCTCACCTCCTTGGCCACGTTGCTGAGTGCCTGATACAGTCCAATAAAGACCGGCAGAGTGGCTAGCGTGGGCAGGCACCCTGCAGGAGGGCACACGTTAAGGAAGAACAACCCCAGAGAACACACAAAACTCAGCTTATACCTCGTGAAGAAAGTGGGGATATATCAGCAGGGTGGTTTACCCAATAAATGTCTGGAGATTAGTGCAGCACAGCAATGCATCTAAGAGCCAACGAGTTGAAACTGAAGCCAATGCGTCTGAGAGCTCTAATCGCCGCGCTGGTGTCATCAGAGCCACCTCAAAGGGAACCAAGTGATCCGCGCTGCGTGCTTATAAGTCGCTTCAGGAATCCTCTCCGAGGGTTGAGCAAGCTTTTCTCACAACATCTTTGGGCTGACAAACACAGCAAGCTTTTCTCATCCTCAGAACCCCACTCGCTCATTTTCTTTTTCTGATACATCTTTGTAAATTCTTAAGAAAACTACAAAAAAAAAAAAAAAAAAAAAAAAAAAAAACCATGGTTATCCTCTCCTCACCCGCAAGTGGGTTGACGCCAGCCTGCTTGTACAGGCGCGAAGTCTCCAGCTGAATGCGCTCCTGATGGCGTCAGCGCGATGCAAGGGAGAAATGGAAGTAGGGAGAGGGAGAGGGGAATGGGAAAGGGGAACGGGCGAGGGGAAAGGGAGATGGGAACCGGAGAGGGGAACAGGGAGAGGGGAACAGGAGAGGGGAACGGGAGAGGGGAACGGGAAAGGGGAACAGGAGAGGGTAAGTGGGAAAAGGGGCAGCAATACGAAGGGAAAAGGAGCAGGTGCGGAAGTAAAAGGGGATGTTGCTGTTCGAATCAGCGGAACAAAGGTAGAACAGGATGGTGATGGAGGGGTGGCGGGTGGGAAGGGGGGGAAGGGAGGAAGGGAGGGATGCGGGAAAAGGGGAGGGTGGGAGAGTACCTGGTCGCCGGCATATTTGGTCTGAATGGCCTTGACCTTGGGCGCGAGGTTCTGCATCGCCATCGTTGATTCCACCTGCGAGGTGAGAGCAACGGAGGGAGGGGTGGAGAGAGGCGAGGCGAGGTAGAGGCGACAGGAAGTGCGAGGGGATCAGAGAGCGAGAGGGAAGGGATCGGCGAGAGAGGGGAATGACAAGGGAACCCAAGAGGATGTTTGCGTCAACGTGTTTGCTTTGAACGGGGTTTCAACAGGCGCGGGGTTATGATTTGTAGATTTCACAAGCGGGAATGAAAGAGGAGGGGGGGGGGGGGGGGGGGGGGGGGGGGAAGAGAGACTGGTGGAAATAGTGAGTGAGATTTAAAACAAAAGAGAGAAGGTGATTAAGTGAGCATACAATTTGAGAGTAAAAGCAACTTCTTGCACACAAAAACCGCGTACCTGCTGCTTGGTGAGCGGGAAGGTGACGACTTTGACGAGCAGCGTGAGCAGGATGATGGAGAACCCGTACGCGTACGGCACGTTCACCGACGCCAGCCCTTGCTCCAGCACCTGCAATGAGGAAAATTGCCGGATGAGTGGACGAAAAGGGGGGGGGTGGAAAAAGGGGTAAATGACAAGAAACGACTTCCCTCTGTCACCATTAGAAAGCTCTCCACGATATCCGCATGCCAAGAAACGACCAGCTAAAACTCCTCACGAACTGTCTCTAGAACAGGTTACATATAATGACGTGCCTCCAGAGTACGCTCCTCTCAAAACCTTTTTTCGGAAATAAGGAGGGAAAACACTGAGATATGTGAGTTTCCAAATCGACTACACCTCTCACTCTCACCTTCAAAATGCTCTCCAGAACGTTCGCGAGCCCAGCGAACCAGCCACCATCGGAAGCCGCAGCAGCCGCTGCGTCTCCGCCAGACGCCGCCGCGTCAGCTGCTACAGCCGTCACAGCGGTTGACACGTCAGCGGCCGCGGATGCAGCCGCGTCAGCCGCATCGGCAACAGCGTAGAGGAAATTGTGGGAAGTAAGGGTGGAAATTGCAGCGTCTAAATGCAGCGGATCGAACACGGCCCTCGCGGCAAGGCTAGACCTTCCTGCTTGCTTGCTGAAACGCTGGCCGTGAGATGGGGAAAACCTCAACGGTGCAGATCGTAGACCTCCGGAAAATTCAGAAGTTGAAAGCCTATTTTTAAGCCCAATTGCGGACTGGGATGTCAGGCTTGCTGACGTGGTCGCCATAGAGAGAACACTATCCATGGCCGAAGAACTGGACTGAACGTTAAAACAATAGGACACTGCAAGTTCAGCTCGATTAGAGCGTCTGGCAGACTCTACGGCGCGCGCAGCTAAACCAGAACGCAAATGCTATGACACAGGAAAAAGCTGCGCGCAGCAGCAAGCAGGGAGCGAGCTCTGAAACTGGTCAAAGAGGATAAGTAAAGGTTGGTCGAGGCGTTTTGATAGAACCTTGGGATGGGAGTTGTGAGGAACTGGGTGCAAAGGGTGTCTAGTCAAGCACAGCGGCAGAAGGTGCAGTGCAGCAGTGCGGAAAGACAACCTGTTGCGGAAAGCACCAACGATGATTGGCGCGGAACTCCGTTCCGCACGTTTCCCCGTTCGTTTGTTCCTTCCGCGCTGCACCGTCCACTGGCGCGGTAAATTCGAGATTCCGCGACAGCTCCGAAAGCATGTTATTATTGGCTGGAATGTTGCGCCCTGATTGCGTGATCATCCCAAAGGAATTGCGGTCGTGTCCGCTTGAGATTGCACGGAAAGGGAGGAGGGGCAACGTGACCTCAACAGCATCGGACACGGCTCGCCTGAAGACGACACGTAGCAGGCGAGCATCCTGTCAGCACATCCTTGAACCTTTTGACGTAGGCGAAACGCCACCGTGTGAAAGCTCAAATGTGAAAACTTGCAAAATTGTCAAAGTGCAACAGGTACATTTTTGTTTTCAGATGTAAGGCCCATAATATTATGATGGTGATGATGATGCATCAAGGCAGGCATACATTGAGATACAAGACATCATGTTGATTGATCGGTATCCTGCCTATGTTGATCATAGGTAGGCCCTACCTATGAACATGTATGCAACTTCCAAGGGTAATGAGCTCACAGATTGGATAGCCCAACAGCCAAGCACCCACCCCAGTCACAACTCAAGACGGTTCCTCCGACTTCTCAAAAATAAACACACCTCCTGTCGCAACAGCTCGGCCAACCAAAATGCGCTCGTCTAGAAACGTAATCATGAAGCGATTGGCGGGAATGGAGCTGAAGCATAGGCAAAGCAGGAAAGTGCAAAACAAAATTGAGCTCGTTAGCAGCAACCTGGCATTCAAATGCTACCAGCATTCAAAGGACCTGAAGATACTGCAGTCGTGCTCGTGTGGGTGGATACGAGAACGATGAGGACGGGCATGCGACATGCGCACGAGCAATATGAAGGCTACCTACCTATTATGTGTTGCAGAAAAAATAGATAACTGGTATGGGGTGTACCTTGACAATGCTTCTGTGGTGGAGCGAAGAGGGAAGCCAAGAGGCACTGACAGCTCCAAGGAACGGAAGAACTGCAGCGCCTGTAACACACAGAGTGCACCGTGCGAAATGTGGAACAGAGAGATTGTAACGCCTCCAACAGAAATACTTGGAGCGAAGCCCACAGGGACATGGGGTCACTCAAAGGCAGATCTGTTCCCATGCATTGTCCACGTACCCATGTGTGCCTGGATGTATGTCCGTCGGCGTGTATGTTGCACATCTAGTCACCACTGAGTGCATGTATGCTTGTGCGTCTCACATATAGACTAGTGACCACTGAGTGCATGTCCGCATATGTGCGTGTATGTTTGCATACATTAACGTGTCTCTCACATCTGGCGACAACTGGTGCATGACTGCATGTATATGCATGCATAATGTCTGCATGCATGCACATATCTCTCACATCTAGCAACAACTGCGTGCGTGGCAGAGCAACCGGCGCAAGCAGAGCCTGCAGCTGCATGTATGTCTCTATGTCTGCATGTTTGGATGCATGCATTGTATCTTCGTGAATGCATATATGCACGTCTCACATCAAGTGACAGCTGGGTGCGTGGCAGAGCAGCCGGCGCCAGCAGGGCCTGCAGCTGCATGCATGAATGTCTGGATGCATGCACTATGTCTCTGTCAATGCACGCATGTCTCACATCTAGCGACAACTGCGTGCGGGGCAGGGCAGCCGGCGCCAGCAGGGCCTGCAGCTGCTCGTTGATCTTCACGCCGCCCACTGCCGCCCGCTCAAACTGCAGCTGGATGGCGCGGCCACTGCGCACGTCAAACTCAGCTGTCACTATCAGCGACGCGCCCTCCTTGTCCTGTGTTGGGGAGGGGAGAGGATGGGGAGAACGCAAGAGGAATGAAAGGAGAGAAGGGGAGGGAAAGGTAAATCGAAAGCATGGGAAGACTGAAAATGAAGAATTAAGATAAAAGTCCAAAGGAAGAAGTGCCGCCTTGGGAATTGGCGGCGTTGACAGGTACTACTGCATGAAAAACTCGTTACCATAGTGCACCTACCACACCAAACCCATACCTCATTGCCATACCTGCAGGCCCGGCAGGCTCCACCGAACCACGTTCTGCACCGTGCCTCCGTCTTTCCTCCCGGCACAGATGTAGCGCTGGAAGATTCGACCCACCTGGATAGGTAAGGAAGGGGGACGGGAAGTGGAAGAGAGTAGAAACGTCTCACAGCGGGAAGGGGGAGAGAGCTGGGAGGAAAGAGGGGAAAGATGGGGGGGAAATGTAGCTCTGGAAAATACGGCCCACCTGGACAGGTAAGGAAGGGGCCGCGAAGGGGAGAGAAAAGATCGGGAGTTATGGAGGGACTGGGGTGGGGAGACGCAATGCTGGAAGACACGACCTACCTAGGCTTGTAAGGAAAGGAGACGGGGAAGGAAGGAAAGAAAAAGGGGAGAGTGGGGAAAGGGGGGGAGGAGGGGTGGAGATGCATCGGTGGAAGATATGGCTCAGCTGGACTGAGGCGGGTTAAGGGAAGGAGGGAGAAGGGAGAAGCGAGAAGGGAGAAGCTAAGGTCCACGTGGATAAGGGAAGGGGAAAAGGGGGATTCAGTGCTAGAAGGGGGAGAGAGGGGGCATGGGGAAGAATCAATCCTTCCCCATTAGGACAGTGTGGGGGAGAGAGGGGGGATGGGGGGAAGAGCGCAGAGCGAGTGGAGTGGAAAAGAGTTGGAGAGAGGGAGGGACGGGAAAAGGGGAAGGCGGGGGCGAGGGTGGGTGAAAATGGGAGCACTGAAAAATGGTTTTGGCAGCATTTCACTCAGAAACAGAGAGCACGGAGACGCACCTGTAAAATGGGCAGCGGAAACGACGAGGGGGCCATGAGAATGCCGGTGACGTCAGCAGCGGTGCTGTACTTGAGCTCCCACCACCCGTCCAGCCGATCTAATCCCGAGGTCAACGGAGTTCCGCCAAGTCTTTCCAAGTCAACGACCGCCTCCTCAATCTCGCCGCGCCGCTCCGAGTCCGCCTTCGCGCCGCGCTCCGTGCCGTCCACGTTCCACAGGAGCCGAGCCTGCCGCCGCCGAACCTCACTCCGCGCCTCCTCGTCCACGTCCGGGCCAAGCCTGTCGGCTGCCACGGCTGCGGTAACGACTAGCCTTGGAACCGGAAGGGTTGCTCTAGGGACGGTTCGAGAGCTGGCGACGCCATGTGTGGATGTACGGAGCTGACGTGGAAGCGACTGATATGCGCACGCGGAGCTGTTCGACGTGCATTGTGCATGCGATTCGTAGCAATGCGGTAGCGACGAGATCGCTCTGTGTCGCAGCGTCGTCGCGGCGGTCGAGAGGGTGACGGAGCCCATTGGGGTGTACGATATAGTCGACGCTATTCTGAGCGAAAAGTACGAGCTAATTACTCGCGACGAGCGACGTCCAGTCCACGTGCGACCCGCGTCTGAATTCACTAGTGACTGGCGCAAACGAACAGAGGTAATGAGGATCGAAGCCACGACACGTGGCTGACGCGTTTAGTCGTAAGGGCGAGCCGTCATGAAGAAATTGATCCAATTGAACGTTGTGAACCGTGATAAAACGTAGGATAAACGAATACATTTGGGCGAAAAGGGTGTCATGAACTCCCTCTTTTGTTTCTACTTCATCTTTGATTTTCTCTGTCCTGCTCATCTATCATTCCTCCACTGGTCAGGCTACCCAAGAACAAAAGCAACACTCTTCAGTTGGGCAGGCTCTTGCCCAAGATATGAGTACACCAATTGCAGCAAGAAAGGGAACAAACAAGAAAAGAAGAAAAAAAAAACTACTTACAGAGCCCAGAAATTCCACTTATCATACAGGTCCCTATGGCTACCATTCTGTGCCTGGAAAACGCTGCAGTCACAAGAAGTGATGTGCTCGGCGCCTCCCGAGGTGCAAGTGGGTGCCCTTGGGCCTGCAGCAGGATCACGTCAGCCCACCCACCGCCTTCCAGCCACTCATTTGGGCCGAACCCCCCCTTCCAGCCACTCATTTGGGCCGAACCCCCCCTTCCAGCCCCGCAATGCATGCATTGGAAACGTGTCAACACCGACGCCCACTCGACCCCCATTCACCAACCTCCCTGATTTGCTCACCCGACAAGACCCAGCCTTTCTCAAAAATGAACAGAACCCCTGTAAGAGCATCTCGGCCAACCAGAATTTGGTCGCCGACAAATGTTATCCTGAGGCTATAGGGGGGAATGAGGCTGAAACATGGGCAAAACAAAAAGGGCAGAAACACATTATTGAGTTGGCCACCAGCAACCTGCACTTGTTGAGGCAAAATGCATACATTGAGGGAATGGATTGAAGACGATGCAGCCATCTGTGGGTAAGAAGAAGTGGAGGAGGAAGAGGGGGGGGGAGGCGGAGGAGGAGGAGGAGGAAGAGGGGGGGGGAGGCGGAGGAGGAGGAGGAGGAGGAGGAGGAGGAGGAGGAGGAGGAGGAGGAGGAGGAGGAGGAGGAGGAGGAGGAGGAGGAGGAGGAGGAAGCGACATGGAAACAAGCAAAATGGTAAAGGTTGCACAGAAAAAAAATACAAGGTAAAGGGTGCAAACAACAAATTCTGGGTAAATGTTGCACCTTAACCAGGGCCAATGACCGTCGCGAATAAGAGAGTCACGAGGCAAACACTGCTGCAACCAGCGCGCAAAGAACTGGGCCTGCAACACACACACAGTGCACATACAAGCACAGTTTAAAAGCAGTTCCACAGCATTCCACACGCAACATGGATGATGGAACGCACGAAATGCAACGCCTACAGGTAAGCCAGTTCGGTTGCCGGCCGAATGCTTGACTGTGGCGCTAACCTACCTAAGGTCCCATGCTTCGCGAGATGAGCCTATTACAGCAGAGAGCGGCACTAGCTTGCTCACAGACTCAAGAACCCATGCCTCGTTACATGCTTGTACGACGCACATGTAGCGACAACTGAGAGTGTGTACGCAAGCATGTATGTACGTTTGCTTGCATGCTTGCATGCATGCACGCATGCCTCACCGTCAGCCCCAGCTCGTGACGCAAATGACCATCCGGCGCCAGGAAAGCAGACAGCTGCTCGTTAATCGTCACGCTAGACTCCGCTTCCCGCTTAAACTGCAGTTCGAGAGCTGAGTAGTTGAGCACCCGAAACTCTGCTTTCATTGTCATGAGCCCAGTGGAGGGAGTGGTGAGGAGAGGGGGATACTGCGAGGGGGAGAGGAAGAACGGGAGAAGGTGGAGGACGGAGGGCAGGGGAAGGGAGAGCAGGTAACGAATGCGAGGGGAAAAAACTGTGGGAAGGAGAAGAAGGAAGACGAGAATCCAACAATCCATTTGTCATGATCCTTATGACTCGCAGGCAACATGTAAGAATGCGCGTAACCTGTTGCCCTCCGTTGCCCTACCTGCACTTACCGAACCGTACCCATACCCCCATGTCATACCTTCATGGCCGGCAGATTCCACCGAACCACATTCTCCATCGTGCCTCCATCTCTTCGCCCAGCACAGTGGTATCGCTGAAAGATTTGGCCCATCTGGATATAGAGAACGGGAGGGGAGGAGGGGAGGAGGGGATGAGGGTACATTGCTGGAATATACGGCCCACCTGGTCCGAAGAGAAGACAGATGCAGGGGCAAACAGAGGGAACGAAAGGGGACAGGGAGGAGGAGGGGAGGAGGGGGGGAAGGGAACAGTGCTGGAAGATACGCCCCTCCTTGACACTGACAGGGGGGATGAAGAGGCTTAAGCTGGGAAGAGTGCGTCCCTGGAATATGTGCGTAACCACGAGCCCGCCCTTAACCAACCAACCAACCAGGACGCGTATGAGCAGGTTGGTTGGTTTCTGGGATTCTCAACCCAACTCGGAACTCTGACTCCCCTTTTTGTCGGAGCCAGGTATAGGCAGCAGGAAGGGAGAGCGGAGAGGGCAAGAGAGCAAGGAACAGAGTACCATGCGACATCGGAAAATAGATTTGAGACGTCTCAGAGCAGCATTGAGAATAAGGCTACCTGGAACACGTTTCTAGATAGAAGGGAGGAGCATCTTTTCCGTTCAGTCAACACGTGTGCCTCTCTCAAAGACTCACGTGTATTTAATGAGTCAACTAGAGAACAAAGCATCGGAGGATCGCAGAGCGGTGAGACGCACCTCGAGAAAGTCTGCAACCTGATCGTTCCGATCCGTCATGAGAAACTGTGTGAAGTCAGTAGTGGTACTGTACTTGAGCCCCCACCACCCATCCAGCCGATTCAGCCTCTCAGTCAACGTCGTCGTTTCGCGGAATTTTTCCAAGTCAGCCACCTTCCTCTCAATCTCTCCGCGCGTCTGCCAATCCACATTCGCGCCTCTCTCCGTACCGTCCGTGAGCTGAGACACCATGCGCTGTAAATCCTGCCGCCGCCAAACCTCATACCGAGCCTCCTCGTCCAGGCCCCGGCTGGCCCTGTCGGCTACCACGGCTGATGTCACGAATAGCCTCGGAACCGGGTGAGCTGTTGGGAGCGTTTGGGAGCTGACGACGCCATGTCTGAAGGGTAGGAGCTGATGTGGAGGCGACTGATAGGTGCAAGAGGAGGAGCTGGTCGCGTATTCCGCAAGCGAAGCATACCAATGCGATAGCGGCGAGATGGTGCTGTGTCGCAGCGTCGTCGCAGCGGTCGCAAAGGTTACCGGAGTTGGCGTTAGGAGGCGAGCTGCTTTATTTGTGAAGCCAAAGGCACGTGCGACCTGCATGGTGTTCCACCAGAGACTGGCGTGAATCAGCAGTAAGAAAAGAGAAACGAGGCGACGGAAAGTGGCTAAGGCATTGAATAGGGGCGCTACCTACGTCGACTGAATACACCGTGGCCTAACCCTAGATTACGGGGAAATGGAGCGTTTGCTACCTTGAATCTCACTGAGTATTAGAACACATCGCCCAGTAAGAGGCTTGGCCCAAAGACAATTACAGATTTGGAGGCTATCCCTTCAGTAGCCTTCGAATTTCCCGCACCCCGCGTTGTATCCAACCTCGAATTCCGATGTCCCGCCAAACTAGGCGCCCTCGGTATATTTGACCTTGTTCTCATTTGTACATGGCAGAAATTGTAATCACTTTTAGATATAGACAAATTCGCACTCTCCTCTTACAACTCACATTATTTGGTATTAAGTAAAATATTCTAGGTTCACGTTTTCAGGGTGGTTCAATATAAGGGGTGCAGTAGACATGGTGCGTTGACAAGAGGCCCGAACTGTCCAAAGGGGGGATTTCTATGGTGACGCGGTGTTGTGTACGCTTCACAAGATCAAACGTAGTTTTGTATACCCTTATATATCTTTACTTGCTTACCTCTGTGTAATTGTATTCGTGCAACTCATACGGGTATCATTTGTGCTTATGGAGAGTTTGTGTAAAATATGTAGCACCCCACTTATTATTTCTATGTACAAAACTACACGCCTAAACGAATACACAATCACATCTTGCAACCCATTTCACTCACCCGCTTCATTTCATTCATCCTCCTACACCACCATCCCCCCCCCAGCCCCCCTCCCCCCCCCCCCCCCCCCCCCTCCAATTCCCCACCCTCCTCCCCAACCTTTCCCCTCCTTTCCCCTCCCCCCCCTCCCCTTCATTTCCCCTTCCCGCCCTACCTATATACACACTGTACAGGAACAAACACTTCACTTATTCCGCACTCTATGATGCTTTTCCCAGTGTTGCCAATTTATTGTCCTACTTGGGGTGCATTGGAGAATTTCCCCCTTCACTTCACATTATTCATGCACTCAACAAGAGTCTCAAACTTGCGAGGCTTCTGCAGCTTGCGTGGCAGGATGACTTCGTCGACCCCCTGCACCGACACGTACTTGCTCACAAACACATCCTCGTCCACAATAGTCGCCACGTTCTTACCCTGCTTGGCCGAGATCATTACTGGTTCGTCGTCTGCCTTGCTGCGCTTAATCAGCTTGGCTTGGCCGCGAGCAGCAGGAGACTCATACTGGCGGGAAAGGTAACAAAAACAAATCAGTAGGAGATGAATTCAGGGCTGTTAGAAATTTTCAACTAGTAAACAAAAATAAAAAAATGGCGGTTTTACATGGTCAAAGAACGCAGAACGAGTTTATCAGGTGCAGTTTTTTCTTACTTGATGGCCTTGTTCCTGCTCGAGGAGGCGTGCGAATGTCTTCTTCCCTTTGACGACATGCAGCAGCATGAGCTCGCGTAGGAGCAGCTTGTCCTCCTTCACCTTCTTCTTCAGGTCGCTGTCGAGCGACTTGAACGCCTCGTTTGTCGGCGCGAATATGGTGACCGTGTACTTGTTCAGCATGTCGGGAAACTCCTTGTCCAAACCTGAAACAAGAACATCACGTTTGTTTCAGTCAGTTTGTTTTACGGTTTTTGTTATTTTTTTATGCGTGAACTCGCGTTTCGAGGAAGGAGGAGGAGTCAAGAGACGGTGGAGAAGCTGGTAGATTCGGTACGATTTTCCGAGTCCTCACATGCGCGTTTGAAGAAGAACAGAAATGCAGAGTAGTCGTCCTCCAGAGCGTCAATCAGCGCTTTGGTGGCCCTGTAGCCAGGGTTGTACGTTGCAGGCCTTGCAACGCCAGTCGGAAAGAAGTCGTCATCAGTTGCAGCTGACAGCGTCAGTAGAAGAAGAGAGAACAAAACGAATAGCTGAAGACGAGCCATGATAGCTTTTGTGAAGTTCTTCGAGAAAAAACACTTCGTGAATGGTTGAAGACAGGATGAGCGAGCAGCAGCGAGAAATCTTGGTCTTCTGAGTTGGTGATACTCTGAAGAGCAAATTCCTGCCACATTTGTACCCAACCCACGCAATGAAATTCCACTTCAGGAAATTTCCAACATCGAGCCGCTGCGATGTCGGTGCGACCCTGTCGCGTGCGGAAGGCGCGGCTTGCTGAGCTCCCAAAAGTGGCTTCCAGATCCGAGTCCAGCTCGGAAAAGTGCCACCGTGTCGAGCTGTCAGCAGTCGACGGCGCGAATGGCGGTCTGATGAAGGTTGCGATTGGCTTCCGTCGTACAAGGTTTGTTGACTTGGCATGACTGTTCTGCCCAATCAAGAAAACAATGGTGTGGCCTGCTTCTCTCCCAAATGTACTTACACTAAGCTTACAGTATGCAGATACGTGACAGAGAAGCACCCTATAACGAGAGTTAACCTCGTCTCAGCTTCCCTCAACACCTCACCATGACAACTTCGAGGCGCCGCAAGCAGCGCGAAAGGCTGACAGGTGTCGACTGGCCGCAAACTCCTAGACCTCTTAGGACGCGGTACGCGGACCTGGTGACATTGGTTCCAGCTTCTTTCAGTTTCTTGGTTTCTCCGTTCCGTCAGGAAGCTTTCGAGGCTGCCGCTGGGGGGCCACTCTCAAAGATAATCCCTTCGCCGTTGTCACTTTCGCTGCAGTACACTTCTCGACCATCCCGCTGTCCCACTCACCCTTTCTCTCCGTCGAGATAATTCTCGCTGCTTCGCCTCTAACTTTCAATCTCCAGAGCGTGTCGTTTATGGCAAAGCTGAATCCACCAACTACCAACTAGAAAGTCAAACCCGGCTAACCCTATCACACCAGCCATTCTGCTGCTCTTTGCGGGCTGACGTCACCATGGTGACGGCCATGATGCAACGTCCTGGAACCTTCCAGAGTGCGAAGACTGATGTTTCCTCCATCAGTCCTTTCCGCGGTTCCGCCAACGTAGCGTTTCCTCCTAAAACCGTCGCGCTTCGTGCGCCGTCATTCGCATCCTCGCGTCCACGTGTCGCTCTCAGCCTGAAGCAACACCGTCAATCGCGGGTCGCGCTCTCCTCTTCCTTCGCCTCTCCTTCGTTCTCCACCTCTCTCTTCCACTCTCATCCCTCGTGTTCGTCTCCCCATTCGTCTCACACGCGGCTTTCCAAAACTCGCCTATCCGTACGCGCTACAGCAATCCCCGCTTCTGTCACCACCGCTGTGCAGCCAATCGTCGATGCCTTCCTTCTCCAGCCTGCCACGTGGCAATCCGCTCTCCTTGTCACGTCCACAATTTTCGCAGTCGGTCTGCCCGGACTGCTCGCAGGGCTGACCATGCCGGGGGTGCTGTCCGCGTTTCTCCTGGGTGTGACTGTATGGAGGGCGTTCTACTGGCCGGGCTTCCTCATCGTCTGCCTGTACTTTATTCTCGTGTGTAATTCGTGCAATACTGTGACTGTATGGAGGTTCTGCTGCTGTTATCTGTTTTCTGTAAGGATCTATATATTTTTTCTCACTCTCAAGGGCATATTTACCAGGTAATGGTGCAGCTGAAGCAGCAGGAGCATCTTGAAGGGACGAAACACCTCTTCCCGCTGCCTCTCATTTTTTCATCCCGTTTTCTCTGCTCCCAGGGCACACTGGTAACGAAGGTAAAGCTGAAGCAGAAGCAGCAGGAGGGGATAGCGGAGAAGCGGAGCGGGCGGCGGGGGCCGTGGAGTGTGGTGGGATCAGCTGCTGCTGCGGTGGTGTGCTGCCTGGGAGCCATTGCTGCTGCAGGAGGGGGAGCAGGAGGGGGGATGGAGGGGGTGGTGCTGCCGAGTGTGGCGGTGTGGCAGTTGGGGTATGTGGCCAGCTTTGCTACCAAGCTGTCGGACACTGCTGGCAGCGAGATTGGCAAGGCGTTCGGCAAGCGCACGTGAGTGTGTAATGAGAGGAGCTGTAGTAAACAATACCATGAAGCGAGCTCATGTTAATAAAATTGTGTGTGGTGCGCAAAACACACAGTAAGTAGTTCTATGGTGGTGTACAGGTCAGTGCTATGCTCAGTTAGTGTCCCTTTATGCACAGTGTGGAATTTTTCGTGGACACTGCAAGTGGCACTTGCGCTTAAAATCAGCCTCTTGTGTCCCTGGCCTGCCCTGCACTTGCAGTTTCCTGGTGACTTCCTTCCAGCCAGTTCCCAGGGGCACAGAGGGCGCAGTGAGTCTTGAGGGAACGTTGGCAGGTCTGGCGGCTGCTGTGGTGCTGTCTGCTGCTGCTCTGCTCACTGATCAGGTGAATCTCAATATTTTGGGTTAAGGTGATGTTTGAGGTTCTGTTTTGAGACTGTATCTTAAGATGGTTGGGGCGTTTCAAGACTCAGCTGCTGTGGTCTGCTGCTCTGCTCTGCACACATGCACGCGCTGAGGAGCATTCATATGCATGTTGCAGACGATATATCCAAATGAATTCACATTGTTGTTGTACAAGTTTGATGCTCCCCTTTGTTGAGCTCCTCCAACCCCTTCTCCTCCCTCTCCCCCCCCCCCCCCCTCTCCCCATTCCTGCCGTCCCCTCGCATGTTTTTAAAGGTAACCTCTGTTGGAGCCTTTTTTTTTGCAAGCTGGCATCACAAATTTGTGGCGTGTAAGCAGATAAATTGTGGCAGCCAATCTCATTGCACACTGCACCTCGCATTTTTGTGCACCATTCATCCCTATTGCATGTCTGCAGGTGAGCCTGCTTGGAGCTCTCATCTGCATACTGGCGTCACAAATTGCCAATTTTGGAGAAAGTTATGTGGGGGCTACCCTCCAAGACAAACCCGGTTACGAATGGGTAAGTGCAGACACATTCTTGTTGATTTGTGTACCGTTCTGAACAATCTATTCAGCTCAGGTTTTGTGTGATTCTCAGTATTTGTGCGGTCCAGTAAATCTAATTCGTGTGGTTGGTTGTTTGTGTTATGGCTTCTTGTGCAGATGACAAATGACATTGTGAATGTGATCAATATTTCTACTGGGGCTTTGATAGCCATGGCCCTTGGTACCATTTTCGTCCCATAGATTGATCTATGCACTCAAGGAGGTGCCTCCTTCTAGATATGTCTTCAGAGTAGAATAGACCAAGAAATGGGTATGCTGCTTGCTTCTCGTTATGAGATTCCTAAAGTTTTCAGTCAATTTCTGTTCGTAGCTTGTAAGTGAGCATGCACATGGAGCTGTCGGATCTTCCTGCAAGTTGAACATCCACGCTGTAAAACTCCGAATCCAGCGTGCCGAGCATTCGGAAGTTGAACACCTTGGAGGTCGGTTGCCGTCGCTTCGTTGCTCCTAAACGCTTGGGAGGAAACTGACGTTGGCCGGCTACCCACAGTGCACACCTTTCGGTGAGGACTTTCCTTGAACCGCCTTGGGCCAGATGCCATATCAAGATGATCCGGTAACGGCTGGAGGAGACGGCTGGTTGGAACAGTCGAGAGTAAAAATGGGTGATTTATGCTAACACTTAGCGGTAGTCCCACACTCCGAAGTGTCACTGGCTGGCATGATTGTTTGCTTAGGGTGGGTCCCGAAACTACGGTTTTGCATAATATTCTACCCAATCGTTCTAAATCTTAAATGGACCGCTTTACAGCACTCCCCGCTTCTGTCGCTACCCTTGTGCAGCCAACCGTCGATGCCTTTCTCCTCCAGCCTGCCACGTGGCAATCCGCTGTCCTTGTCACGTCCACAACTTTCGCCGTCTTGCTGCCCGGACTGCTCACCGGGCTGACCGTTCCAGGGGTTCTGTCCGCGTTTCTCCTGGGTGTGACTGTATGGAGGGCGTTCTACTGGCCGGGCTACCTCATCCTCTGGCTGTACTTCATTCTCGTGAGTAGTACTTCAGATAACGTGACTGTATGGAGGTTAAGCTCCTGAACTTTGCTTTCTGTAAAAACCTATTTTCATGTTCTTTCATTCTCAAGGGCACAGGGACCAAGGAGAAGCTGCAGCAGAAACAGCAGGAGGGACTTGAAGGGACAAAACGCCTCTTCTCGCTGCCTCTCCTTTTCTAGAACCCCTGTTTCTTATCCCTGCCTCTCCCATTTCTCGAACCCCTGTTTTTTCTACTACCAGGCCACACTGGTAACGAGGTGAAGCTGCATCAGAAGAAGGAGGAGGATCAAAGGGACGAAACACACCTTCTCATTGCTTCTCCTTCTTTCGAACCCCTGTTTCTCTGCTCCCAGGGCACACTGGTAACGAAGGTGAAGCTGAAGCAGAAGCAGCAGGAGGGGATAGCGGAGAAGCGGAGCGGGAGGAGGGGGCCGTGGAGCGTGGTGGGATCAGCTGCTGCTGCGGTGGTGTGCTGCCTGGGAGCCATTGCTGCTGCAGGAGGGCGGATGGAGGGGGTGGTGCTGCCGAGTGTGGCGGTGTGGCAGTTGGGGTATGTGGCCAGCTTTGCTACCAAGCTGTCGGACACTGCTGCCAGCGAGATTGGCAAAGCCTTCGGCAAGCGCACGTGAGTGTATAATGAGAGGAGCTGTGACTAACAATACCGAGAAGCTAAGTCATGACTGTAGAACTGGGGGTAGTGCTGCCTAGTGTGGCGGTGTGGCGGCTGGGGTATGTCGCCAGCTTTGTCACTAAACTGTCGGACACTGCTGGGAGCGCGTTCGACAAGCGAACGTGTGTGTAACAAGTGGAACTGTGACAATCACTACCGAGAAGATAAATCATGTCAATAGAATTGTGTTAGTTAAGTGTGTACAGTGCGATAATTATAATGCACATTGCACAAGTGGTAGGTACATGCAGTTATAACAGCCTCTTGTGTCCCTGGCTGGCACTGTCCTTGCAGTTTCCTGGTGACTTCCTTCCAGCCAGTTCCCAGGGGAACAGAGGGCGCAGTGAGTCTTGAGGGAACGTTGGCAGGTCTGGCGGCTGCGGTGGTGCTGTCTGGTGCTGCTCTGCTCACCAATCAGGTGAATTTCAAGATTGCGGTTTAAGACGCCTTCGAGATTTTGTTTCAATACTGTGTCTTACAATGGTTGGGACGTTTCGAGATTCAACTGCTGTGGTGCTGTCCGCTGCTGCTCTCCTCGCGAGCCCAGTGAGTCTCAAGAAGGGGATTTTTCACGCTCGCTGCATACGTGCACGCAGACAGGGGCATTCATATGTATGAGGCAGACTATGTATCCAGATTAACTCACATCGTTGCTGTGCGAGATTGATGCTCCCACCCATTGTTGTTCTCCACCCTCTTCTCCTCCGTTCCCCCCACGCCCCCTGTCCCCCCACCCCTGGTGGAGCCCTCTTTTGTATGCTGGCATCACAATTTGCGACATGCATGGACTTCACAGCTCATTCCACTCTGCATCTTGCATTCTTGTGCCCCATTCACCCTCTTGCATGTCCTGCAGGTGAGCATTGTTGGAGCCTTCTTCTGCGTGCTGGCATCGCAAATTGCCAATTTCGGAGAGAGTTACATTGGGGCTACACTCCAAGACAAACCCGGATACGAATGGGTAAGTGCAGGCACGTTCTCGTTGATGTGCATATGGTTTTGAGCAATCTATTTAGCAGGTTCTCAAGCGTATTTCTCATGACTTATGTGGTCTAAATTAATTCGTGTGATTGCTTGTTTGTGACTTGGTGTGCAGATGACAAATGACATAGTGAATGTGATCAATATCTCTATTGGGGCTTTGATTGCCATGGCCCTCGGCATGAGTTTCGTCCAATAGATAGAGGTATGCTTAACGGGGTGCTGTTATATGGATGAGTATATAGAGTAACACCAAGGAAATTGATATGCTGCTTGGCGTGTTTTCCTTAACGAGTTTCGTATTTCAGTGCTGTGCTTTATATATGGACATTCAGATCTTTGTGGAAGCAGCCAATCGCGGGCTACATCCACGCTGTATCACCCCGAATCCAGCGTGTCGAACATTCCAAAATTGAATACTTGATTGGACTACACATTTGGAACATTCGAACACCGGAGATTCTATCAACATTCGAACATTGGGAGGTTCTACTGTAAAATGCCCGCGCTTGACAGCAGCCCACAGTTCCGAGACCTTTCTGAAGTGTCACAGGCATAATCGCATGCTGATAACATCCTGGTGCGATAACCTTGTTTCCTAACTACGATCCTTCACTCGTCGTAATTATTCCGCCATGTCTCCGCATTTGTCTCTTTCGCTGCGTGCGAAACTTGGCGCATCATGCATCGTACCCTGCGTTTCCGCGCTCAAAAGCGTCAGTACTCGTGGTGGTGGCGCGCGCATGCAAACGGTTCATTTATTACCGCGTACATCTCGACGTGCTTTTTGTAGCGAGTCTAACGGATTTAGCAGCAGGTGTCGCCGTGCTGACGTCAGGTGCAGCGCGAGCCAATCGGATGCGTCGCTGCCAGCTCGGGCAAGCGCGGAAGGTGCTGCGTTCAAAACTCTACAGGTGGGTCTGAGGCGAAGGGGACAGTCAAGGACCAGGCGCGGATCACGCGCGGAGCAGGCGCAGGGTAACGGGCGCAGGTGGTCAGGCGCAGGGGAATGGACGCAGGGGAACAGGTTGGACTAATATGCTGAAAGGCACCCTTTCAAATGCACTTCCGCTTCCCCTTCCCGCGCGTCCTCCAACCCGCGCCCTCCTCTCCCCCGCAATCTCCCCCATTCTGCCACGTGCCGTCCCCGGCCCCCCAACCCCCCCACTCGTCCTTCACCCCCTTTCCGTGCAACGCCCTCCCTCCGCTTCCCCCTCCTCCTCCGCTCCCCCTTCCCTCCACTTCCCTCTCCCCATTGTCCCCCTTCCCCCAGTCGTCCTTCGCGTCTCACTCACCAACCTCCTGCCTTTCCTCGGCCCCTGTCGGCGCAACTCTCTCCCTCCGCTTCCCCCTCCCCCTCCGCTCCCCCTTCCCTCCACTTCCCTCTCCCCCTTGTCCCCCTTCCCCCAGTCGTCCCTCGCGTCTCTAGACGCGGACTTCTTCTCTTCGCTCCCTCGGGACCTCCAAGTCGATGTGAGTATAACGGGGGGGACCTTTTAAGTGGATGTGATTGTAGCGGGAGGACCTACAAGTGGAGGTGACGATCGTCACGAAAAGTCACGGGCGGGGAGAAGGTGCAGAGGAGTGGGCGGGGCGGAGGGGACAGAAGTGGGGTGCATGGGGGGAAAAGGGGAAAAAGGGTGATGAGTTGTGGGGGAGAAGGGGAGACGGGAGCATATCAGCTACGTCATCAGTTTGCAACTCCCCCCCATGCCCCCATCTCCCCCCCATGCCCCCATTTCCCCCCCCATGCCCCCATCTTCCCCCCATGCCCCCATTTCCCCCGCAAGCCCCAACCTCCTCCCCATGCCCCCCCATGGCCCCATCTCCCCCCCATGCCCTCACCTCCCCCCCTTGGCCCATCTCTCCCCGTCCCCCACCCCTCCCGCTCCTCTGCCCTTTCCCACAAGCTCGAGGACGGGCTGATGTTTCCCATCTGCTCCTCTGCACTCCCACTGGTATTTGATCTCACCAGGGGGAGTGCCGCCTCAAATGCTTCACCCTTTCTTACTCCTCCCCTCCTCCCCTCCCCCTCTCCCTCCCTTTCTCCCTCCTCCCCTCCTCCCCTCCCCCTCTCCCCCTTTCTCCCTCCTCCCCTCCCCCTCTCCCTCCCTTTCTCCCTCCTCCCCTCCCTCGTTCCCATCAGCTCGACGACGCGGTGTTTGATCTCACCAACGGGAATGTGCTGGCAGAGGTGCGTGGGTGGCGGGGGGGGGAAGCAGAGGGGGAAACGGGGGGAGAGACGGAAGGGGGAGACAGGAGGAGGTTTTGCCTGTCCCCTATACTATCAGCACGAGGACGCAGTATTTGATCTCACCAACGGAAATGTGCTGGCAGAGGTGCGTGGGTGGAGGGAGGGGTAGAACAGGGGCGGGGCAGGGGAGGGAGGAATACGGTGGGGAGGGGGATTAGTGGCGGTGGGGGGGACGGGGAGGGAAGACAGGAAGAGGGTTTGACGAATGTAAATCTTGTTGGCAGAGGTGCGAGGATGGGTACAGGCAAAGACAACAATCAGCAGGGTAAACTGGCTATCCTACTTCCCATTTCCCGTTTAGACCCCTACTACCCTCCCTAACACGGTCCTTTGCATTACTGCGGGTATTGGTACAGGCAGATTGAGATAAGGAAGGCAAAGTCTAAACATGCAGTTCTGACCCTAAACATCCCTCCCTCTCTCTCTCTCCCTCCCGTTCATATCCATCTTCCTGCCACTCTCATGGCGGTCCAGCAGTGGCAGCATCTCTCTCTGCCCTCATGGCTTCAGAGGGCCCTCCTGCCGCTGCCATGACGTGTCTTCCCGTACCCCGTGTCCTGTGCTCTGCTTTCCCCTCCCTTCTCTCCTCCTATTGTTTCACCCAGTGCGGCCCAGCAGTGACAGCGGCCCTCTCTGCCCTGGCAGCCGCTCTCACGGCTTCAGAGGGCGCCCCTGCTGCTCCTCCTGCTGCTCCTCCTGCTGCTCCTCCTCCTGCTGCTGCTGCTGCTGCTGCCTTGTCAAGCCCTCATACGGTTTTTTCCCTCTTGCTGGCCCCCCACCCCGTCTCTTCTTCTCCCAGTGCGGCCCAGCAGTGTCAGCAGCTCTCTCCGCCCTGTCAGCCGCCCTCACGGCTTCAGAGGGCGCTCGTGCTGCTGCCGCTGCTGCTGTGGCTGGGCTCAGGGATGCTGCTGCGAAGCTTCCCCCTGGAGGAAGAGAACGGGCAGGTAAGGGATGGAGGGAGGATTGGGGAGGGCAGGGGGGCCGGTAAGAGGGGGTGAGGAGAGGACAAGGGGGCGAGGAAGGGGAGAGGATGGGCGAGGTCAAGAGGGAAAGCGGGAAAAAGAAGGGAGGGAGTGGAAGAATAGTAGTGCTAGTGCTTGGAAATTACCTTGTGAAAGAAGTAGTGTTTTGAGACGTCTCAAAACACTCTTCATTCGAGTGGAAGAGTTGTAGTGCTCGGCAATTCCCTTGTGAAAGAAGTAGTGTTTTGAGAAGTAGTGTCTTGAAAGAAGAGACGTCTCAAAGCACTACTTCTTTCAGAGTAGTAATGCTTGGCAATTCCCTTGTTCACTAACCATCCCGCCTCCCCCAACCAGACTTCACCCTCCCTCTCCCGCTCCCGCGCGCCCATCTTCTCCCTCTGCCACCTCTCTCTTGTTTCTCTTTTTTTTCTCTCTCTTCTTTCTCTTCCCCCCTTCTCGTCTGCTCCCCTGGCGATGCTGGGCAGGAGGCTGAGAGCAGCAGGTAGGCGGTTCACATGCAACTCCATTATGCTCTCCTCCCTCTCCTACCTCTCACTTCTTTCTGTTTTCTTTCTCTCTTCCCTCTTCCCCCTCTCTCCTCCCTAGCATTGCTGGGCACGAGGCTGAGAGCAGAGCAGCAGGCAGGACGCTCACAGGCAGCTGCAATGATGCTCTCCTCCCTCTCCTCCCTCTCCTCCCTCTCCTCCCTTTCCTCCCTCTCCTCCCTCTCCTCCCTCTCCTCCCTCTCCTCCCTCTCCTCCCTCTCCTCCCTCTCCTCCCTCTCCTGCCTCTCTCTTTTTTCTCTCTTTCTTTCGTTTTTCCCTCTTTCTCTCTCATCTCTTCCCCTGCCAGTGCTGGGCAGGAGGTTGAGAGCAGCAGGCAGGCGGTTCACAGGCATGGGGGCGTACGCACAGGGGAAGGCTGCTCAGGTGAGACGAGAGGGGGAGAAGAGGGGACTAATGAGGGGAGAGAGGAGAAAAAGGGGAACTTTGGGACCTTTCAAAGGTCAGTGAAGACCGCAGCAGGTACGCGGTTGGCAGGCATGGGGGCTTACGCACAGGGGAAGGCTGCCCAGGTGAGGACAAATTCCTCCAGCCCAGGTCAACAAAGGGTTATCCAGGTCAGCTGGGGGTGCTCCATGTCAGAAAACGATTATCCATGTCAGCAAACGATTATCCATGTCAGCAAACGATTATCCATGTCAGCAAACGATTATCCATGTCAGCAAACGATTATCCATGTCAGCAAACGATTATCCATGTCAGCAAACGATTATCCATGTCAGCAAACGATTATCCATGTCAGCAAACGATTATCCATGTCAGCAAACGATTATCCATGTCAGCAAAGGATCATGTGTCTGCCATTATCCCCGACCCTCTCCCCCCTTTCCTCTCTGTTCCCTCCTTCCCTCCCTCATTTTCTTCTTCCGAACCATCATCATTTCGAAAAACGTATCCACCGCCCCTTGTATCAGCTTGGCAAGGCAATGGCAGCGGCAGGGGAGGCGGTAGCAGCGGGGTGCACTGATGATGGAGCCTCCAACTTCGACGCTGTTAGAACCTTCAAGGTGTGATTGAGGGGGTGTTCAAGGGGTGTTCAAGGGGTGTCAAGATGAGTTTAAGGGGTGCCAATGCGTGTTCAAGGGGTGTCAAAGGGTGTCAAGGGGTGTCAATGTGTGTAGCAGCGGGGTGCACTGACAATGGAGCCTCCAAATTGGACCCTGTTAGAACTCTAAGGTGCGGTTGCTGTTGCTTAATGCTGCTGCTTTGATGTCTCGAGCACCCTCTATTCCCTCTCGAATGGTCCTTCATTGATTAGAGCAGGTAGTACAGCACAATAGAATCGTTAAGTACAGGCAAGCATGGAAAGGACCTAGGGCAGCTCGATCTCGGGCTCGAGCATGTGTAGAAGATCACCGGTGTCGAGGGGCTTTTCCTGGAAGGACTTTTGAGGCGCCTTCCTGGAAGGCAGTCGAGGGGCTTTTCCTGGAAAATTCCTTCCTCAAAAGTCATCACCGGTGTCGAGGGGCTCTTCCTGGAAGGCAGAAATGGTTGCCTCGGCCTCGAAGGCCGCTCCCCAACCTCTCCCCAACCTCTCCCCAACCTCTCCCCAACCTCTCCCCAACCTCTCCTCGCATTAGCTCGGTCCGCTCACAGCGGACGTCACTCACAGGCGCTGCTGCTCCCTTGGTGCCTCAAGCGCCCTGTATGATCTCTCTGTTCTCTCATCCCCTCTCTCCTCCCTATCCCCATCTCATCTCATCAGCTCGGTCCCCTTGCAGTGGATGTCACGCCATCTAAGGCACTCACAGGCGCTGCTATTGCTGCAGCCTTTGCGTGAGTTTCCCGGTCTTTTCCTCGCACTCCCTTGCGTTTGTATGTCTAAACCCTAAACCCTCTCCACGCCCATACTCCATGTTCACGCGATATCCCTTCTCGTTTCCAAATTTCGCCTCTCCCATATCCCCCAATTCACGCCTCTCCCATATCCCCCAATTCACGCCTCTCCCATATCCCCCGCTCCCATGTCCGCCTCTCCCATATCCCCCTCTCCATATCCGCCTTCCTCCCTTTCCTCCTCGCCCCACACACAGAGTGGTGAGCTGGCAGCTGGTGACAGGGCTACAGGCAGTGGACGAGAGCTCACTGGCCTACGCCAACGACAACGCTCTTATTCTCGCACTTGTGAGTGAGGTGGGAATGATTCGTGTGTGCGGTGTGTGGGAGGTGCTGTCAGGGCTACAGGCAGAGGACGAGAGCTCACTGGCCTATGCTAACGAAACGCCCTTATTCTCGCACTTGTGAGTGAGCTGGAAATGATTCTCGTGTGGGCGCAGTGTGTGAGCTGGCTACACTTTTGAGACTACTCAAAAGTAACACCAACTATTCAGCTCTCACGCTCGCCCTCGTGAGTGAGGTGGGAATGATTCTCGTGTGAGTGCAGTGTATGAGGTGGTGAGAGGGTTACAGGCAGTGCACGAGATCTCTCTGGCCTATGCCAACAACACCTCCCTGACACTCGCGCTCGTGAGTGTTGTGCAACCTCACAGGCTTGTATGTCACCTTGCGAGTTCTGCGTGCTGTGCTGCCGCAGCAGTCGCACTCGCCTTCACCTGCCTCCCTCGCCTTCACCTGCCTCCCTCGCCTTCACCTGCCTCCCTCGCCTTCACCTGCCTCGCCTTCACCTGCCTCCCTCGCCTTCACCTGCCTCCCTCGCCTTCACCTGCCTCCCTCGCCTTCACCTGCCTCCCTCGCCTTCACCTGCCTCCCTCGCCTTCACCTGCCTCCCTCGCCTTCACCTGCCTCCCTCGCCTTCACCTGCCTCCCTCGCTCGCGTCGCGACCTTTCACCCACTCCCCAACCCCTTCCCAACTTCCCCCTTATTCACCCCACTCCTTGCCCGCACCAGTCACTCCTAGCCATGGGCTATGGCTCATTCCTCCTCCCTCCCTTCAACACTCTCCTGCAACCTTATGTCCCCTTCCTTCCTCTCTCTCCTCCCCGCCTACCCACCCTTGCCCGCACCAGTCACTCCTTGCCCGCACCAGTCACTCCTTGCCCGCACCAGTCACTCCTTGCCCGCACCAGTCACTCCTTGCCCGCACCAGTCACTCCTTGCCCGCACCAGTCACTCCTTGCCCGCACCAGTCACTCCTTGCCCGCACCAGTCACTCCTTGCCCGCACCAGTCACTCCTTGCCCGCACCAGTCACTCCTTGCCCGCACCAGTCACTCCTTGCCCGCACCAGTCACTCCTTGCCCGCACCAGTCACTCCTTGCCCGCACCAGTCACTCCTTGCCCGCACCAGTCACTCCTTGCCCGCACCAGTCACTCCTTGCCCGCACCAGTCACTCCTTGCCCGCACCAGTCACTCCTTGCCCGCACCAGTCACTCCTTGCCCGCACCAGTCACTCCTTGCCCGCACCAGTCACTCCTTGCCCGCACCAGTCACTCCTTGCACGCACCAGTCACTCCTTGCCCGCACCAGTCACTCCTTGCCCGCACCAGTCACTCCTTGCCCGCACCAGTCACTCCTTGCCCGCACCAGTCACTCCTTGCCCGCACCAGTCACTGCATGGTGCCCTCCTTGCCATGGGCTATGGATCATGGCTCCTGTCTTCCAATACTCCCCCTCATAAACCTTATGCTATCTCCTTACTCCCACCCTTCCCTCGTCCCCTCATCACCCCCACCAGTCACTGCGGGGGACCCTCCTCGTCATGGGCTATGGCTCATGCCTGCTCTCTGCCTTTGCTGCGGCCGGCCTGCTTGCACTCGCGAGGGATCTCAGCTCACAGGGAGGAGGGGAAGGGAAGTGACTCATCAGAAGTCTCTGCAAACGCACCAACTACAGGAGAAAAAGTTCTGGGATTCTCACAATTTGCACAGGGAACATTGTGCTTGCGAGGGCTTTTGAGACGCCTCAAAAGGAACATTGTGCTTGCGAGGGGGCTGAGCTGGCTGAAGTCGCTAAGGGAGAAGGGAGAGGATGTGATTACTTGTTGTGAACCGTTAATGGGAAAATTGGGTTGAGTTGACTGTTCAGCTGCCTAGGAGATGCAGACGGAAATACGAAGTGAATTGCTTAGTGTGCAATACTAAATAATAAAAAGTAGCCTGGCGGCGGTTCTCCCTTGTTCCACTGGTAGGTGCTGTTGGCAGGGTGGGTCGGGTCATGGGCGTACAGCTGGGGTATGTGTCTATTCATGGGTTTTGTGTCATGTAATATGTGTCACACAAGCTAAGATGTGACCATTCTTTTCCCGAGCATGCAGCGCAGGCCACAGTGATGCTCTTACGGTACTCCTACTCAAGTGTTTGATGCTGCAAGTGCAACAGGCTTCTAACAGTCACCCCGTTTTTAATCAAAATCATGCGTAAGTGTCGTACGGTAACAGTTATCCCAAAACTCCACTAGTTTGAAGTAGATTTTACACCAGCGAGAGGCCGTTCTTGGGAGTAACCCGTTTGACCAGCTTCGACCAGAACTTGGTCTCTTCAATCACCCGTCAGTACAGTAACAAAACATTTGTGTCACATCATTTGTTTGAAGAAATAGAAATCTACACCAGCGAGAGGCCGTTCTTGGGAGTAACCCGTTTGACGAGCTTCGACCAGAACTCATTCGTCTCTTCAATCACGCGCAGTGCCGTGGCCTTGTCAGCCGGCTTGTTGCCCAGGCCAAACTTGTTGGGCGGCTTGCCGTCCGGCAGCTTGTAGTCTCTGAACCAATCCCGCACCGCCGTCAGCGTGCCCTGGTGGTGGGAGCAGGGTGAAGTGGGGGGCCGAACAAGGAAGTAAAACTTTTGTTACTCCCTGAAGACAGGAGGTGAAAGCAGCTCTCTGAACCTATCGCGCACTACCTTCAGAGAGCCTAGGATAATGACGTTCCAGTGGGGGGGTGATAGCAGGCGTAAAGGGGGTGGAAGGTGATGGTGAGGAAGGGGTTGGGGGATGATGGGGGGAAGGGGGGTGCAACGTGATGGTGGGGAAGGAAGGGGATGAGGGATGATAGTGGGGAGGGTTAGTTGGTGGGGTTATTAAGGAGGGAACAAACAATACAGCATTGATAACAACCGGAGGTGAAGGGACAAGGAAAAAGTGTCTTCCAGTCAAATGGTAAAAGGTACAGAGCCATACAGGAGCGCGGATACAGATGACCTTCCAGTCTAGCTAGAGGCAGAGTGCTACTGGCACTAAAGGAGCGGAACAGACACAGGGATGGCATCATGGTAGTATGGATAGACAGGGGTAGGAAGGTGCTCGAGTGGCACTAACACCAGGTACTCAGCCAGGCACGGAATTCCTTCTCCACATCGTCCACATCGTCCACATCGTCCACATCGTCCACATCGTTCACGAGGTCCGCCTTGGGATCATCAGCGCGGATGCAGATGACCTTCCAGTCGAGCCACAGGCACGGCGCTACTTACTCTAAGGGAGAGGAGCAGGCACAGGGATGGCACTCAGGTCAAGCAGGCACTCACAGGGAACTCCTTCTCCACATCGTCCACGTCGTTCACAAGGTCCGCCTTGGGGTCATCAGCGCGGATGCAGATGACCTTCCAGTCGAGCTCCCCGTCGTCAATCATGGCCAGCACTGCCAGCGGCTTCACTGCATACACCTCTCCCAATGCCGCCTGCTTCTCGCCAATCTCCACCACGTCAACTGATTGGGTCAAATTAGACGGCACGCAGGCAGGCAAGCAGAGGGAAAGGGAGGAGGGAGGAGTGATTTGACTTGCCGATCATGGCGTGCACTAGCTGTCGCTTCACTGCATACACCTCGCTCAGCGCTGCCTGCTTCTCACCAATCTCCACCACGTCCATTGGTGGGCGGATAGACACATAGACAAGAGGGGAAGGGGGGTGTGACTCGAGTCAGCAATCGTTGCCAGCATTGCCAGCGGCTTCACTGCATACTTCCCAGTGCTGCCTGCTTCTCCCTGATCTCCACCACGTCCACTGGTGGGCAGGTAGAGTAGTAGAGGGCAGGAAAGGGAGGAGGGGAGGAGGAGGGGTTGGTGGGGGGATTGAGTTAACCCCGCCCAGCGCTGCCTGCTTTTCCCCGTTAGCTGCCACGTCAACTGATGAGGGCAAATCAGACAGAGGGCACGCAGGCAGGTGGCCGGGCAGGCAGGCAGAGAGAAAGGAAGACAGATCTATGTGGAAAGATGTCTATGTAGATTGAGGCGCCTCAAAATACACCTCTATTTTGAGGCGCCTCGAAATACACCTCTATGTGGAAAGATGTCTATGTAGATATATGATATATGTAAAGACTGACCGGGATCATTGTCGCCCATGGTGTTGTCAACCTCGGGGTTGGCATGCGAAGGGTCCTCCCACGTCTGTGGCAGCATTCCGTAGTTCCAGTGGATGTTGTACCTGCAGAGGGGGGAGAGGGGATAGTATGATTCGATATTCATGTGTTTGAGTCTACTCATATCATCATTCCTCCCACGTCTGTGGCAGCATTCCGTAGTTCCAGTGGATGTTGTACCTGCAGAGGGGGGAGAGGGGATAGTATGATTCGATATTCATGTGTTTGAGTCTACTCATATCATCATTCCTCCCACGTCTGTGGCAGCATTCCGTAGTTCCAGTGGATGTTGTACCTGCAGAGGGGGGAGAGGGGATAGTATGATTCGATATTCATGTGTTTGAGTCTACTCATATCATCATTCCTCCCACGTCTGTGGCAGCATTCCGTAGTTCCAGTGGATGTTGTACCTGCAGAGGGGGGAGAGGGGATAGTATGATTCGATATTCATGTGTTTGAGTCTACTCATATCATCATTCCTCCCACGTCTGTGGCAGCATTCCGTAGTTCCAGTGGATGTTGTACCTGCAGAGGGGGGAGAGGGGATAGTATGATTCGATATTCATGTGTTTGAGTCTACTCATATCATCATTCCTCCCACGTCTGTGGCAGCATTCCGTAGTTCCAGTGGATGTTGTACCTGCAGAGGGGGGAGAGGGGATAGTATGATTCGATATTCATGTGTTTGAGTCTACTCATATCATCATTCCTCCCACGTCTGTGGCAGCATTCCGTAGTTCCAGTGGATGTTGTACCTGCAGAGGGGGGAGAGGGGATAGTATGATTCGATATTCATGTGTTTGAGTCTACTCATATCATCATTCCTCCCACGTCTGTGGCAGCATTCCGTAGTTCCAGTGGATGTTGTACCTGCAGAGGGGGGAGAGGGGATAGTATGATTCGATATTCATGTGTTTGAGTCTACTCATATCATCATTCCTCCCACGTCTGTGGCAGCATTCCGTAGTTCCCGTGGATGTTGTACCTGCGGGGAGAGGAGGGAAAGAGGGAGTCATATTTCCAGTATTCAGGTGTGCTTGAGTCGACTCAAAGCGCTCATTCCCACGTCTGCGGCAGCATGCCGTATAATCGGCAAATGTGTGTGCTTTACTTTGCAGTTTCTGTGGAACCTCTTCTTCAGGTTTGGGCAAAGTTCATTCAGGTTTACTCTTGACGCCCCGCTTGATGGGCGACTGGGCTTGTCTGCGGCGCGGCCACATAAAAACAGAGTCTCTACAAAACAAGCTTCCCTTCATGACTCACGGGTAGTATCGGACTTTGCCCTTCTTGGTGTCCTGCTTGATGGGCGTGCCAGGCTCATCCGTGGCAACCTCAACAAGACACTAAAAAACCAAAATTCCCCTCAGAACATGACTCACGGGTAGTTTATTTTTGAGAATTCTCAAAAATACTCAACAAGTCACTAAAAAACCAAGATTCCCCTCAGAACATGACTCACGGGTAGTATCGGATCTTGCCCTTCTTGACGTCCTGCTTGATGGGCGTGCCGGGCTCGTCAGTGGCGACCTCCATCTTGGCGCTGGTGTCCTTGGGGATCTCGCAGATGAAGTTGAACAGACCATCACCGGCGCGCAGAGGAATGTCGTGCCACGGGGACAGCTGCAACGGGGTGGGGGTAGGAAGGGACATTCGACCTTCATCTTGGCGCTGGTGTCCTTGGGGATCTCGCATATGAAGTTGAAGAGACCATCACCGGCGCGCAGCGGAATATCGTGCCACGGGGAGAGCTGGAAGGGGAAAGGGGGGGGTGGGTAATCAAGCATCAAGCAGTGGAGAGAGGCCCTGGTCAGTGGCGACCTCCATCTTGGCGCTCGTGTCCTTGGGGATCTCGCATATGAAGTTGAACAGGCCGTCGCCCGCCCTCAGGGATGTCGTGCCACGGGGACAGCCGAAAATGGGAACGTGGGTCGGGGGAAAAATTACTCGCGGTTTCGCCCTGATCGTTGGGGAAGGAGAGGAGGTACTCGAAACAGTGCGCTTGGCAGTACAAGACAGTGCGTACTCGATAAAGTGGGTACTCTATACAGTGCGTCGTGATTCCCAAGATAATACTTTCGCTCTTATTGTGGAAGAAGAGGCGGTACTCGAGCGTCTCAAACTCGATAGAGAGCGTCGTGATTCCCAACAACATACTCACGGTTTCGCCCTGGTCGTTTTGGAAGAAGAGACGGTACTCGAGCGTCTCGAACTCGCCGGACGGCGATCGGCTGAGCGACCGGGTGAGCTCCGCGCACACCACGGGGCTGCGGTGGAACGACCTGCGCGGTGCGAGGTAAAGGGGGAAGAAGGAAGGGGGAGTGGCGGGGGTAGGAGGGGGGGGGGGGGGGGGGGGGGGGGGGAGAGGGGGAGAGAGGAGGGGAGGAGTGTGTTTCGAGTCAATTCCAATCACAGCCGCTGAGCTCCGCGCACACCGCGGGGCTGCGGCGGAACGACCTGCGCAGTGCGGGGTAAAGGAGGGTTCGAAAGAGAGGGTGGGGGTGCACAAGACGAAATGAGAATCTATTCCCGAGGGAGTTCGAAGTGTTGAACGGCTCATGCCATGGCAGTTCAACGCGCGCCACGTGGTAGCGATGGACAAATGGCGTCAGCGAAGGAGATCGCGTCGCGTAGTCCGCGTCCGTTGGAGACGACGCGTCTCTTGTCGGGATCGGAACGCGGCGCAGCGCACATTGGGCATCGCGCGACACGAGGGACCACAATGGAAGCTTCGGAACACTCCAAATGTCCGAAACCACTGCAAGATTACAGGCGCTCAAAATGGGATGCCTCGAATGTTCCTATTTAGAATCATGTATCAAGACAAATTCTTGTGTATTTCAGTTAAGGCTGTGAACACCACGAGAGCGATGGTCACGGAAGTACCTGGTAAGACATGCATTATGGGTAGTCTTTACTACCTGGTGGGGAGGGATGCTAGTAACGATCGTACCTGGTAAGACATGCGACATTATGAGCAACCTTTAGTACCTCGTGAGGGACCACGTGGGTCGCTGCATCATCTGACGGCCGCTGAAGCTCGCCGCCTTTAGCGGCGCAATGGCCGCCGTCTGCAGGGACCCCAGCGCGGGAGCCGGCGCCCTGAGCGCCGACATGGCGGCCCGTGAGGCGACGCGCGTGCAGGTCGCGAGGGAGAGAGCCGCCATTCTGGACACAGCCATTGGGAGCGACCGCAAAATTAAAACCGGGCGAGGAGGAGATTAGACGACGGCGAACGACGAAATTAGGACACGAAGTCCGACGCGACGGACGACCTCTCTGGAAGCTGGTCAATGCCTAAAATTGTGGCAAATGAGGATCGCCAACTGACCTGGAGGCGGTGTTATTTGAAGGGTAAGACGAGGAAGGCGGGGAGCGGGCAGATAAGGCACGCCTGAAGAGATGGCGACTGTCAGACGACCAGATTCAATGTAAACTCCCAGGGCTGGCTTCTTCTAGCAGGATAATGAATGTGGTGCGATTTATTCAACTATGGCTGGCTTGGTGTGTGGGTGACTTGAGCGGGTGATGATGAGACTTGCTGTAATTTTCGTGACTTGGTGTACACCCGACGCTCAGCCAGCTGTATGTATGGCTGGAAGCCATGAATATTCAAATCCACCCTGGGAAGTGTTTGGTGCGACGAGTGCGTGTGACGCTAACGAATATGCTAGATCCTTCACGTGGCAATTTCTGTGAGGTTGATGGCATTCAAGGGCTGAAATGGTGACGGATCCAGGTCACGCTGCCAGGTGGAGCTCCTTTTCATTGAGAGACCTGCCACGCTGGTTTGGGGGAAGGTGTTCATGGTTGGAAAATGTGACGATCTCGTACCCGATTGTGACGTTTCATTACCACGGAAACTTCACTCTCTTGCACCTTTCGTTTATTCAGAGATGATTATTTCAAGGAATGAAACTTGGCTCAAACATGCTTCAGGCCTTCGAAGTGATCACCTGACACAGCTTGACCAGTGGAGTATGGCAGCCACTTGCCAGCGAAACACAACCTGAGACCCCTGTCGCCAACAATTTCCTCCCCCTGTGTTACACCACTCCATGCATCCTTCAGACTCGCCAGCCTGGAACATTTCGTCACGCCCAATAACTCTCCAAACCATCAAAATGCGGTTCGCGCTGCACCAATGGGAAGATCCACCTTGCAGTTACCCTACACTAACCTCCTCGCCAACGTGCCTCGCAGCAGTCGCAGAACCTCCACCCCTCGAATCGCCTCCGTAAATGCTAACCTCCTACAACTCGCAAACCTACCTAAAAAAGTCACGTCTCTAGTTTTGCCCGATTCCTCCCCTCACTCCCTGCAGATTTTCTGGTCATTCCTGACAAATTAAGTCCGGTACAATAGATTGCGTCATCCCATGAGCATAGACAACGTGTCGTTCGCAGGCGGCCAACTCGCGGAACCTAAGATAGAAGAATTGCTGATCGTGCAGTATACTAGTTCCTGCATTCTCGCGTTGGAATAACAATCTGAAGCATCACTTTCACGCCTAATAAGCTTCGACGGAAAATCCATCTCACCCCACCTGCCTGCATTTCTACCACTCCTCTCTAATGCCCGCAGACGTGTGCGAGACTCGAGCCTTGGCCCACTAACGTGTCCGACCATAACCTCAAGAATGAGTCTCACAAGCTTCGATCTATCGCGGTACCTCCTTACAACCGTCGTTCTTATCTCCTTGCTAGCTCCCCCGCACCTACTAGCAGTCTGCAGCACGCATGACAATGGCGCCGATGCCGACTCGCGTCGGACCGCGTCACAACAACTGGCACATACCCTCCACCCGCACAGTCTCGTACTGCCACGTCGGAGACTTCAACCTGGCGCCGACGGCCGACGTGGCAAGATCCAATTGGAGCGGCCTGTGGCGGCGGCGGAGCCGCAACACCAGGCCGTGATTGACGGCGGCGTTAGACCCGCCGCCGTGACGGCATCCAAGCCGCCAGCAGCAATCCTACAGCCCGCCGCTCAAGGCCGTCGGGAAGCTGCGGACACTGCGGCGGGGAATGCGGGCAGTAGAGAGAGGACACAGGGTGGAAGCACGCTTAACGAGGGTATTCTAGGAAAGTCTCTAACTCAAGTTGGCCTGATCGACTATTTCTCGAAGAGAATAGGACCCGCGGGCCAATCGAAATCCAAGCCGCGACTGCCTCTCTGCCCGGAATTCGCGCCGCCTCTCGCGGGCGCGTCTCCCGCCGTCGTCTCCGCTTGTCAATGGGGAGATCCGCTCCCGCCCTCCTACTCAGCTACGGCCGTTGGACTGGGGCGCTCAGGCTCGGAACCAGGCTCGGAATCAGGTTCGGCTATGCTCGGTGGTCCGGGTAACGCGGTGCAATTTATGGGCGACTGGTTGAGGTGGAAGCAAGAGGGAGGAGAGGCGGCGGAGAGGGAGTGCATGCGGCAGCGCGCGTGGTTCTACGCGGGAATCGCGGAGGAAACGTGCGACTTGAGCGCGTTCCGCGCTGCTCAGGCGGCTTCCCCGCGGGTCGCGGCGGAAGGTGCGGCCGCTGCTGACGTGGACGGCAGCGGAGGTGGCATACTCGTGCTGCGTGACGTGTACGTCAACGCGCAGGGGATGGTCTTCAACAAAAGCCACGTGTTCGTTGTTGATAGGTGCGGAGCCGGCCAATGGAAGCAGCAACAGCAGCAGCAGCAGCAGCAGGTGAAAATTCCTTCGTACCCACCTGGAACCAGAGTCACTGTGCATCCCCACCTGATAAATCTCCTGCCGTACGAAGCGCACGAAGAGGAGGAGCAAACAGAAGCGAGTGACTCCGGGGCAACCGGCGGCAATCCCGAGGGGCGGGAGTGGGTGGCGCAGGCGCGGCTGCACAGCAGCAAGGAGCGGCTGGTAGCGCGGCTGCTGCCCGTGCTCTTCCTCCTCTCCTCCTCGCTCATGCCCGCCGCCCGCCGCTTCCCTCTCCTGCTCGCCGATCGCCACGTGCTGTTCCACCTGGGCCTGGGGGTGTTCGGTACGGACCTCTCCTCCTTGGCCATCTCGCCCGAGTCTCCCCTGCTGGGCGACAGCCGGGAACATCTCTTCTTCGCCAAGCAACTCTATGTGGTGAGTTCTGCTCTCCTTTTCTGCCCCGCCGCTTCCCTCTCCTGCTCGCCGACCGCCACGTGTTATTCCACCTGGGCCTGGGGGTGTTCGGTACCGACCTCTCCTCCCTCGCCATCTCGCCCGAGTCTCCTTTGCTGGGGGACAGCCGCGATCATTTGTTCTTCGCCAAGCAACTCTATGTGGTGAGTTCTGCTCTGCTGCTCTCCTCTCTCTCCTCCCTCTCCTCTCTCTGCGGTCTCTGGTCTCTCTGCTCTCCCCCCTCTCTCTCCTCTCTCTCCTCTCTCTGCACTCTCTGTATCCGCCTGTTTAACTCAAGTGTGTCTCTTCCCCTACCATTCCCTCCCCATCCCTTCCCAACACCCCTTCCCAACACCCCTTCCCAACACCCCTTCTCAACACCCCTTCTCTCCCCCTCAACCAGCCCATCCACGTCAGCAGTCTCTGCGGCCTCTCAGCCGCCGGCCGCCCGTCCCGCCCTGACGCGCTCTGGCTCGCGCTGCGGGCCAACCACCTGCTGCCACGTGGCGGCCTGCCCATCCTCAACCCCGATTGGGCACCCAAACCACCCGCCCCTTATATTCACAACGTAGTCTTAGGAGGGCGATCTGTGCCTAAGGACTGGGTGGTAGTGGTTTCACTAGTATGGAGCTCTCAAGTTATGAGAGAAGGAGGAGGGGTGGGGGGAGGGGTGGGGAGTGACAGAGATGGAGGAGAAGGAGGAGCGGAAGCAGGAGAGGAGGGAAGACAGGGAGCCGGAAAGGGGAGCAAGGGAGCGGAGGGAGCAGCAGCAGCAACAGCGGACGGCATGCAGTCAATAATCAAGTTCCTGCAGCACATCTTCTCTAAATCCCGTGTAGTTGTGTACGATGAGCATGTCCCTCTCACAGAAGCCCGCGCGCTCTTCTCCCGCGCCCTGCTGCTCGTGGGCCCCACCTCGCCTGCGCTCTCGAATCTCATCTTCCTGCCGTTCAATGCAACGGTGATTGAGATTCTCCCCTACTCTGCCCCACAGACCACCACAGCCACCTACCCTTTCCTCCCAACCACCAACATCTCCTCCTCCTCTTCCTCCCCTTCCTCCTCTTCATCATCCTCCGTGCCCTTTGGTATCCAAGCGTCGGTCGTCAGCCAACAGGACTCTGCCACGTGGCACTACCGGCTGGCAGAGCGGGCGGGCGTGCGGCACTTTTTGTCCGCCTGCGACCCGGGCCGGATCAAGCGCGAGCTAGGGGAGCAGTGCCACGTCAGCGAGGTGTACAGCATCGTCATGACAGCTGTACGCAGCGGATGGCTCGGATGGAACGATCTCGCCAACGTGCCACATCACCCCGCCTTTCCACCGGCCACCCCTCCTACTACTGCTGCTGCTGCTACCACCACTGCTGCCACTGCTGCTGCTCCCACCACCACCCAACCGGCACCGCCCATCCTCCCAGATTTCCAAGATGCCATCCCAGGGTCAAGGCTCCAACCACGCACCGGCGCCGTGTCATCATTCCGGCAGTGGCTATCCTGCGTGGCAACCCGGGGCGAATGGCGCTACAACCCCACCCCCCGCGTGCTCCCCTGGAACTGGAAATCCGTTGACCACTGCGACCTGAGGCACGTTGACCAGGTCAAAGGGGGGGTGGCATACACAGAAGCGGACGAGATTGCGCGGCAGGGCGGGCGGGACGCGGAGAAGAGGTGGCGGGTGCGGGAGGAACTGAAGTACGAATGGGTGGTGCCGAGGGGGCGCTGCCCTGCTGTTGCTGCAGGGGCGTTTGGGTCACTGTTTGGGCCGGAGAGCGAGAGAGAGGCAGGAGGTGGGGGCGGGGCCGGTGGTTCGGATTATGATGACAGTGCTGCTGGTGATTCTGCTGCCGACTCTGCTGCTGCTGCTGCCGCTGCTGCTGGTGGTACCGCTGCTGGTGGTGTTGCCACTGCTGGTGGTGCTGGTGAGGGGCTGTTTTCACGCTTTGACGGGCGGTCTCTGTGTCAGCTGGCTCGCTTGCGAGACGACGGCCTTCGGATCGCTTTCCTAGGAGACTCTCTCTCCAAGGAAGCGCACACCTCTTTCCTAAACAACATACTTAAGCATGTGCCGAAACCGGCACTAAAAGCCGTTACTTTCCGCAAATGCATGCCATGGCTCGGGACTCACACTGGGTACTGCCACGAGCGGTTCACCGGGCTTGGGTGCTCTGGGCTGGAGCTACACTTTGTCTTCAATAAAAGGCTCATGCCGGTGGATTCGGAGAAGGACGAGCGGCTGTGGTGGAAAAACATGCCGTGGCTTGATGACCCGGGGATTGAGAATTCCCATGTGTTGGTGATCAACCGGGGGGCCCATGCCACGACTGACGAGCGACTGGTTACCGCCGTGCGACGCACGTTACAGTTCGTCCGGCAGAACTACCCGGAAAAGCTGGTAGTATTCCGGTCAACCGCCCCAGGGCACACAGACTGCACGAATGCCACAGGACCAATCAAGCAGCGGCAGGATCCGAAAACGCTCCCGTTTAGTTGGGGGAATTTTAAGCGTCAGAATCAGTTGCTGCGAGGGGTGGTGGAGGAGATGGGAGCTGTGTTTATGGATATCGAGCCTATGACTGCTCTCCGGCCGGATGGGCACAGGGGAAGGATCACGGAGCAGAAGACAGACTGCTTGCATTACTGCTCGCCAGGTCCTGAGGATGCCTGGAGCGAGTTCCTGTATAACATTATTCAGAGAATAGTGCCTGAGTATTAGGCTTACTAGGGAACGGATATTTCAAGTTTGGGAAAGAAGCGTGGGTGTGCCAAGCCCCGTACTGCTGAATCTCAATATATTATTAGATCCTCCTCACCATGTCACAATCTGGTACAGGTGTGGAACGACAACCGGTACACCATCGTCCATACGTTAGCGTTTCGCAATTAGGCAGAGGTGAGCCTGTGAGGATCCTCAAAACAACATATCGTGTAAAATTCTCTCAAAACAACACAAAAAACCCAGCTTGTCACAATTTCTGTGGATTAGTTTGAACAAGCTAACCCACAGGTGTGTTTACGTATCTACAGGGAGTAACAAGGGCCCTTCTGGCGAAAGCTGAAGCTCTCCAGACCACGGTGCTGGTCCTTAAGACTTCTTGCAGCTGCATCCTGCGCCGCAGCCGCATCCGTCGCCGCAAGTGCAGGCGCCGCCAGATGCGCAAGCGCGGGTCTTGCAGGAGCACCCTTCCCCGCAGGAGCACGTGTCGCACGCGCAAGTCTCGCCGCACGCGCAGGAAGCACCGCCCTGTAAGATGGAGAGCAATAACGAATATTAAACACGCGGTAACATGTCAACTTCACATGTGGTATGAATAAACGGCATGACGAAGTATAAACCATGAGCGACCAGTCAAGGCGTAAGCTGCGCAGTAAAACAAACCGTAAGGGAGTGGAAGATAAAGGGAGCAGCTAATTGACCTACCTTGCAGGAACAGCTAGGTCCGGCCTTGCATCCGGCTCCGCAACCGCACGAGGCTCCGCCAGTAGCGCAGGAGCATCCAGTACCGCAGGTGCACTCCTTGTCAGCCATGGCTAGAATAAGTGAAGGCGAAAAAACTACGAAATGGCTGTAACTGGATAATTTTGGCAGATGCGCGGACTAGAAAAGCTTTATGGCAAAGATGCAGACTGGTGATGTTTGCCAATGTTGTCAGATGGTATTTATATGCGAAGAGCCCAGGGAATCTCCAAAGCTGTGCCGCCAAAAACGTGATGAAAAACCAACTCCGACATTACCAGGCAGGCGGAGTTTGCTAGAGAAATTTGAACGAAGAGGAGGTTTCCGTGTGATGCTGGCGTCGCTCATCGAAGAGGAGCAGAGAATGCGGTTCGTGACATGGTTTGAACCAATCGACATGCATCGCTGGCACGGATAAAGTGTAGTTTTGTGACAATCAACGGCCATGTAATCAAAAGTGGTGTAGGTTCCACCAATAGCTTACGTGAAGACACGGACACGAACGCAGATTCCACGCAGGACAGCCCGTTGGAGCTGCGCACCGATTTGAGATCAGAACGGCAAGGCCATGCAAATATCGCCTCCCCCACACTGTGTGGTAACACATCGAAGGGATGCTGCTTCCAAAACTATAATCTCATGCTGTATTGGGTAAAGAAACACGTGTTTATGACTCTACCCTCATTCCGACATGACTATGTTCACACATTAATCCAAGAGAGCAGGCGAGACAACAGGCGAGTTTGAACAGGAGATCCTAAAATAAGGGTTAACACGATTCAAATTGTAAAATCCGACCAAGAGCTGCAGCATCTACTACCATCACAGCAGCAGATCCTAAGAAATGCCAGCAGGGGCTTCAATGGCAGTGGAAGTGGCTGTGCCCGTGTTGCCATTGAGCACCGTCACATTGCCATCAGCATCAACATCAATGATGGCGCTGTCACCCTCCTTGATCTCCCCAGAGAGCATGCGCTCCGCCATGCTGCAAATCACAATAACACGAGGAGAGAATACCATAAGTAATGCAGCGCCAGCAGGAGTGACTGGTAGGCTTTGAAGATACAAAGCAGAACTGCTGAATGCTGTGTAAGCACATCATTTGCCCTCAGCACCCTTGCATTGCTAGACTGACAGCTGTAGCAGCCTCATGATTGCTCACCTCTCCTCAGCCCCCTCACACCCCTCACCTCTCATCAACCCCCCCCACATGTCATTGAAACTCCCCACCTATCCTCTACCCCTCACATATCTCATAGCAATCCTCACCTGTCCTCCAGCAGCCTCATGATGGCTCGTCGCAGCGGCCTGGCACCGTAGCTGGGGCTGTAGCCCTCATCCACCACCCGGTCCCTGAAGCGCTCCGTCACCTGCGAGCGGGGAGGCGACAACACAGTAAGAGGGGAAAGGATGAGAAAACAGCACCCGGTCCCTGTTAGCAGGCCACTGTAGCCCTCATCCACCACCCGGTCCCTGAAGCGCTCCGTCACCTGCTCGCAGGGACAAGAGGAGAGAACAAGGGACAAGAAATACGGACACAGGTGGAGAGGAACGGACAGGGAAGGGAAGGAACAGAGGGAGAGGAAGGACGAGGAGAGGAAGCATGAGACAAGGACACCTCCTTCAGAAGGTGGTCACACACCTCTTGAGCATAATGTCGCTCATCTCCATCATTTCCCTTGCCTTACACGCACCACCAACACACAAAACACACACCTCTTCCACCTGGAGGTCGATCTCCTTCTTGAGGAGGCGGTCAAACACCTCCTTGAGCATGATATCGCTCATCTCCTTCACCTCCTGCTTGATGAGCTGGCGGAAGACAATGATCTCGTCCAGCCGGTTCAGGAACTCAACCCCCCATCCCTACAGCCACCCAACCACACCCCCCGTCCCGTCCATATAGTCACACCCACCTGGAGGTCGATCTCCTTCTTGAGGAGGCGGTCAAACACCTCCTTGAGCATGATATCGCTGATCTCCTTGACCTCCTGCTTGGTGAGCTGGCGGAACACAATGATCTCGTCCAGCCGGTTCAGGAACTCGGGGCGGAAGTACTGCTTCAGCTCCTCGTTCACCAGCGTCTTGATGCGGTTGTAGCTCGTGTCCTTCTCCCCGTAGTCCAGCTGGAGAGAAAAACAGCAAGAGGGGGAAAACGGCAGGGAGGAGGGGGGTGGGAGGGGGAGAAGGGACGAGGACAAAAGGCGTGTGAAGACAGGAAGAAACAAGGGGCAGCGGAAAGGGAAGCGAGTTGTGGGGCGCCTCAAGGAACTCGGGGCGGAAGTACTGCTTGAGCTCCTCGTTCACCAGCGTCTTGATGCGGTTGTAGCTCGTGTCCTTCTCCCCATAGTCCAGCTGCAAACGGGTGGCAGGGATGAAAGGGGTAAGAGCAGGGGGGCGAGGGGGAAGGGCGGAAGGGATGGACAAGGAAAACACGGCGGTGAAGGTTGTTATCTGGATGGCGTGTGGAGACAGGAAGAAACAACAGGGGCGGGCAGGGGAAGGGGAAGGGTGGAGAGAAAAAACTTGGGAATAAAAAAGGGGGGGTTTTCCACCATGTAGGAAGCAATATGCAACAGAAAAGGTGAAGACATGACAGCAGCAGCCTACTTCAAAGCCCAGGCCACCTACCTGGAAGCCGATGCCTCCGCCGCCCTTCTCAATGACGGAGGAGCCGACGTTGGAGGTCATGATGAGCAGCGTGTTCTTGAAATCCACCGTGCGCCCCTTGCTGTCCGTCAACCGCCCATCCTCCAGGATCTGTCGTGTGGGGATTCAGGGTGCAGGAATGAAGGAGATGGTTTGACTTAGCACAAAGGTCACAGGAACCAACACTCATGAGTGCCGGGTTTGAGGCAGGGATGGGGAGAGGGGGGGGTTATTATCATTAAATTAAAGAAATTTGCGAACATGGTCCCATTCTTACTTTCACAACTTCGTCAATCGGCACCACTATGTACAGCCCCCACCTAACTGTTTCCCACCACTACCTATTCTTAAGTAATCCCCATGTTTCCCCCATACCTGGAGCATCATGTTGAGCACGTCAGGGTGTGCCAACTCAATCTCGTCAAACAGCATCACCGTGCACGGCCGGCCGCCGCCTGACTCTTTCCCATCACTACCTATTGTCCCGTTAGAGATCCCCATGGTTCCACCGTACCTGAAGCATCATCACTACACCATCATACCTGGAGCATCATGTTGAAGACGTCAGGGTGCGCCTTCTCAATCTCGTCAAACAGCACCACCGTGTACGGCCGCCGCCTCACAGCCTCTGTCAGCTGCCCGCCCTCGCTGTACCCCACGTAGCCGGGCGGGGAACCAATGAGCTTGGACACGGTGTGGCGCTCCATGAACTCCGACATGTCCAGTCGCACCATGGCCTGGAGAGGGGGGGGCGGGGGGGAAGAGGATTGGGGCAAGGGAGGGGGCAGAGAGGAGGGGGAGTTGGGGACAGGACAGCATGCGTGGATGAGAGACCTGATGAGCTTGGACACGGTGTGGCGCTCCATGAACTCCGACATGTCCAGCCGCACCATGGCCTGGGGG